CGGTGAGCCGGCGGAAACGGTAGCCAAGCCAGGATTGACGGCCAGGAAGGTTTTGCTGTGTGTTTGATGGGATTGGCAGGGAATTATTTACTATGAGCTGCTCCCCTACGGCAAAACTCTTAACTCGGAACTGTACTGTCAACAATTAGACCGTCTGAAGGAAGCAATCGCCCAGAAGCGGCCAGCTTTGGCCAATAGGAGAGGAATTGTGTTCCATCAGGACAACGCCAGGCCACACACATCGATAGTGACTCGCCAGAAGCTCCGGGAGCTTGGTTGGGAGGTTCTTATGCATCCACCTTATAGTCCGGACTTGGCACCAAGTGAACTGTTCCTGTCCATGGCGAATAATTTTGCTGGTGAAAAATTCGCTTCAAGAGAGGCTTGTGAAAATCGACTGTCTCAATTTTTTGTCAATAGGGACGAGGGCTTCTATGAGAGAGGCATAATGAAATTACCTTCAAAATGGCAACAAGTTATCGAACAAAACGGCGCATATTTGACCTAAATCGGATCATTCTAACTATGGTAATTAAAGCCTTCAATTTCATGCAAAAATAATGGATTTCTTTTTACTACACCTGATATATTGTCTGGGAAAAAGTTCGTGGTGTTTTTCCCGATAGATGACGTCAATTGTAAATAACTCAGGAAACAGATCGCAGCGACACCACTAAACGCTCGTTGGAAAGGTGACACTTCGAGCGTTACTTGGAGTGTATAAATATCAAAATTGGTGCAGTGGTTGGAAAGTTGTTTGCGTTTGAAAATAGAGAAAAGTAATGAAAAATTGCGCTATATTTTGCAATATTATTACGAGAAAAGGAAGAACGCTGCGCAGGCTTGTGAACAAATTTGTGCTGTGTACGGTGTAAGGTACTTTATCAAAATCTGCTGCGCGGAAATGGTTCGCTCGCTTTCATTCTGGTAATTTTGATGTGAAAGATGAGTCACGCTCTGGTCGTCCAATCACTGAAAAAGAGCTGATCCAATCACTGAAAAAGCTGATGAAATTCTTGAAAAAGTCCAGCAAGATAAGCATATCAGCAGTGTCGATATTAGTATGGAGCTAGGAATTGACCACAAAACTGTTTTGAACCATTTACACAAAGCTGGCTACAAAAAGAAGCTCGATATATGGGTTCCTCATGAGTTGAGCGCGAAAAACATGATAGACCGAATTAACATCTGCGATGCGCTGCTGAAACGCAATGAAATCGAGTCATTTCTGAAACGTGTCATAACCGGTGATGAAAAATGGATCACGTATGACAATCGGAAGCGTCAAAGATCGTGGACAAGGGATGGTGAGCCATCACAAGCGTTCGCGAAGCCAGGATTGACGCCGAAAAAGGTTATGCTGTGTGTGTAGTGGGACTGGAAGGGAATCGTCCACCATGAGCTACTTCCAGTTGGTCAGATGATTAATTCTCAACTCTACTGTGGACAACTAGAGAGATTACGCCAGGCAATTGAAAGAAAACGGTCCGAATTGAATAATAAGAAAGGTGTTGTCTTCCATCATGACAACGCCCGACCACACACTTCTTTAATGACCCATCAAAAATTGCAAGAGCTTGGTTGGGAAGTTTTGATGCATCCACCGTATAGTCCAGACATAGTACCCTCTGACTATTACTTGTTCCGATCTCTGCAGAACTCTCTCAATGGAATTAAGCTGGTTTCAAAAGAAGCCTGTGAAAACCACTTAATTCAGTTTTTCAACCAGAAATCATAGAAGTTCTTCACCGATGGCATCATGGCTCTATCCGAAAAATGGCGAAACATTGTCGATAATAACGGAGCATATTTGGTTTAAATAAATTCATTTTCACACTATAAGAAAATCAGTTGAATTTTACTAAAAAAGCGCCACGAACTTTTTCCCAGACCCAATATTATATCAAGATTGGGAAGTAATTCGTTATTTGTAACGAAATTATAGTTACAGTTATTTTTTTTGGCAACTATAACTTAACTTCCTTTTTATATCTATTATAACTGTAACTTAACTTAGTTACATTTGTTTGACAACTAGTTTAATAGTTACTTTAATAGTTACTATATATATTTCAAACTTAAATTTCTGGCAGACTAGCACAATAATGCGACGTGCGATGCTTGATATCCAATAAACATGTAGTTATTCTGGCTGCATTTGGAAAATGCGCTATTGCATCATCTATCTTTATCGTTCATTAGATTAAAACAAGGATAAAATGACATTATAGCACTGATAATCTCCTCTCCGAACGCAACCTGTATTTCTTTCAAGAAAATTAGACGCCTATTGGACATTTCCGTCGCGCATCGCGACAGATTATGTCAACAAATCCTTATTTATTGACATAATCTGCGTTCAGCGTGAAGTGCGCTGCGTGAATTCAGTTATATAAAAAATTCGAGCAATAGGTAAAGCATCTCAATCTTTGGAGAAAGATTGTAAAAAATGCCATAACCAGCATATGTAAAAATATTTGAGTTACAGCAAAAACTTGGAAACGAAAGCAACTGGACATTTCTCTGCCCAATTGTTATTGATAGTCTTAAAGAATAAATAAGAATTGCTTATTTAAATTAATGAATCTAATTTGTAAAAATTATATACAATATGAGGAATATAATAATCAATAAACTACTTTTATATAAAATTGAAGGAATTTACACAATTACAAAATTTAAAATAATAATAAAATTGTGAAAAAGTAACTGAAAAGTAACGACTCGTTATTTTCTAAATAACTATAACTGTAATTTTTGTTGCAACATGTTATTTTTGAAGGTCAGTAACTTATAACTTTAACTACAGGGCTTTTCAATTGGTGCGGGTCGATGTTGGCAGCCTGTGGCGGCCATGTTATTTTGGCGGCGTCTGTCTAACCTGTTGTTTATTATTCAGTCACTGATACCAAATCACCATGACAAGTTACACGATTGAGCAGCACGTCCAAATGATAAAACTTTATTATCAAAATGAGTGTTCGTTAGTGCAAACGTTGCGCGCGTTGCGCCCATTTTACGGCGCAGACACGGTGGCCCTTCAAAGTCGACTCTCCAACGTTTGGTGGTCAAATTTGAGACGACCGGTTCGGTAAACGATCAGCCAACACCCGTACGTCAAAGGAACGCCAGATCGGCCGAGAACATCGCCACTGTAAGTGAAAGTGTGCAGGAGAACCCGAGGCAGTCAATTCCTCGCCGTGCACAAGAACTCGGCCTTTCGCAGACTTCAACTTGGCGAATTTTGCGTCGAGACTTGGGTCTGCACCAGTACAAGATCCAATTGGCCCAGCAGCTCAAAGTTAATGACCATAGACAACGCCGTTTGTTCGCTGACTGGGCTTCGGAGCATTTGGAAGAGGACCCCAATTTTGGCCGAAAAATCATCTTTAGCGACGAGGCGCATTTTTGGATGAATGGCTATGTTAACAAGCATAATTGCCGTATATGGCACGACGCCAACCCACACGAGGTTCAACAGGTAGCAATGCATCCACAAAAAGTTACTGTTTGGTGCGGATTTTGGGCCGGCGGCGTCATTGGTCCGTACTTTTTCGAAAACGACGTTGGTGAGGCCATCACCGTCAATGGCGAGCGCTACAGAACAATGATAACCAATTTCTTTTGGCCCAAATTGAACGATATGGACGTGCACGATATGTGGTTCCAGCAGGACGGCGCTACGTGCCACACAGCGGACGCCACGATGGACATTCTGCATGAACGATTTGAGGGTATGGTTATCTCTCGCAGAGGTGACGTGAATTGGCCATCAAGATCGTGCGATTTGACCCCGTTAGACTTTTTCTTGTAGGGTTTTCTGAAGTCGCAGGTCTATGCCAATAAGCCGCAATCGACCGATGCCTTTAAAATCAACATAACCCAGGCTATCGCTCAAATTCAGCCGGATCTATGCGGCAGAATCATTGAAAATTGGACCACTCGGATTCGTGCCACCGTGAGAAGCCGCGGCGGACATTTGAACGATGTTATATTCCACACAAAATGGCATACATGGGCCTTTCAAATAAAAAAAGAATTTCGTTAATACCTCACACACAGCTTGTTTTATTCCATTGCAACATCGACCCGCCCTTATTGAAAAACCCTTTATTATAGTTACTTTTTCGGTGAAAAAAACTATAACTAAATACTTTTACAAAATAATTCTCCCGACCCTGTATTAGATAATATAAGATATGATGTGTTACCGACTGCAATCGTGTTCCAATTTCTGATTGCAACCTTTCAAATGCAAGAATACAAGAAAACTATAATCCTACCTTTGAGAGTCGACTCTGGTCCGAACTGGATCCTTCAGTACGACATAGAAACAGCCATAGAAGCGGTATCCTCGCGTGGCTGCGAACTCTGGTGGATATAAAACAAGAAATTCCTTGGTCAATTGTATCAATAAACAGATACTTAAGTATCAAGAATATTGGAGCCCGAAAGATTTTCCTTCGAAAACGCAAATAAAAAAGCAAACCTGTAATTAATCTCAAAGACCATTCTAGAATTATTCAAATTCCAGCGGTCTTATGAAGACCGGAAGAAATGTTGACATTATAGTGTATTGCAAACAAACAGGGTACCTATCATGGAACTCGTCGGAATTGATTTCGATCGGAATAATTCCATTTCCTTTAGAAAAGACATTGGGTATATTCAGTACTACAACCGCTTACTGAGCGCTAAGTGAGCTCTTGCATCTGATTGGTGTATATTTTTAAATCTAAAAGAATATACCAATCAAATGCAAGAGTTCACTTAGCGCTCAGTGAGCTTTTACATTTGATTGGTATATTCCTTTAGATTTAAAAATATACACCAATCAGATGCAAGAGCTCACTTAGCGCTCAGTGAGCGGTTGTAGTACTGAATGCACCCAATAGAAATCTGGGAAATAACGGAATAAATTCGATCGGAATCGATTCCGACGAGTTCCATAATAGGTACCCAGGAATTACTTTGAAGGTGACTAAATAGATATTGACGAATAAATGAATACTTTGCGTTTTATTCGATTTGTTCTGGAACTTTGGGAATAGAATAATACATATGCAATCACGACGATGATTTTTCGCGACAATATCCGAATCGCCCCAATGCGACATGTGCGCATGCGCGTGCGCGTCAATGGTAACCGTTATCAACCAATGAAAATATATCGGATAAGGGTCCTTATTCTGGAAAACTGATGAAATATATCGATATTTTCCAGAAATTTTCGAGAATGAGGGCCCCTAGAGATATTTTCTTTCGATCTGTTCGCATCAATAAGTACCAACCGCGCGAAGGAGCGATGTATCGATCGTAATTGTACCCTCGGCAGTACACATAACCGGGGCATAATAGCCTTAACATTCAGCATGAGACTACTAGTATTTTCGAATCATGCAAATTCAGCTACCGTTGTGGTAAACGTATTGCTTGGACAAGATCGTGCCCCTTACTTTGAATAATCAATAAATAATATTACGTATAGTTAAAAAGCCCTAATAAGCTAGTTGCGCAAAATATTAAGACTATTATATCGGTCATTGTATATACAAGTACACATGGAGCGGTTCGAATATAAGACAATATCGAGAAATTCGTAGGCTCCATTACTCTCGCTCATGACATGATCCTTTCCTCATACACAGGATCCATTCGTCACACTCCCTGGCCCTGAGATCGACTTCTAGTGTGCGCTCGCAACTTCGGGGAACTATCAGCTGCTACTCATCAGTTTTTACCGTCGAACGCGTCCGCTCCTTTGGCCTTCCCTTTGATCGCCGCTTCTTGCTACTCTTCCGCGCGCGAACGTTTCGAAATTGTAATGGCTTCCGTGTACAAGAAGCGGAAACGGCAGGACCCGTCAAGCGGTAAAACGACGCGGTGACCAATCAACATCTTTCTTGAGATTTGTTTATTGGCTGCCGCTTTACTCTCCACATAGCAAGATGACGTCTAGCCAATCAACACATAGTATCTCCTCAAGACTGTAAGTTTAATGGTTACCGCGTACTTCTCGTTGCGCAGAAACCTTCCCGCGTCCTGTACGCAAAGTCACAAATTAGAGCGCGCAAATGTTCACTTCTCGTGTAAAAGTTAGGCCTGGTCTACAATAGGTGTTGTAAGCTGTAAGCCGTAAGAACTGACCAATTATAGCTGATTATTTTTGTAATAATCGACTGTGATTCGTCAATTCTTACGGCTTACAACTTACACGTATTGTAGATCAGCCCTCAGCTTGAAATTCGCCAGACGGTCGGGAACAAAGGCAAGGAAATGACATGTTTATTTCAGACAAACAAGATAAGTGCGGGCTCTTTCGACAATACGTTGTTGCACTTCATTTAGGCGCGACGTAACGCTGAGACAAATAGTTCCGCAAAAATTTGGAGAATGGATGATTAATAGTCGCGCTACAATGTGCCATAAATTGTAAAAAAAGAGACAATTAATTTATATACACAATATAAATAGTACGTGACGAGAATGACACATCCGAGAGATACATCGTGACGAAGTTCTAACGCAGCTCTCATCTGACACTTATCAGAATTCGACGGCTAAAGTTGTTGAACAGTTAGAGAAGTTCATTAAGCACATTTCTGCCGCGCTATATCGGTTCTCGCACGTGAGCCGGATAAGAAACATTTCCCATCGTCCTTTCTCAGCGCATGTTTTGTCTCCGACGGCAATAATCCGTCGCGATATTGCCGGTTTCGCGACGCGATCGAAAACCTTTCCTCCGTACTTCATTTCTATTCGCTTTTGTAGTCTTCGAGAGATTGAACTCGTGTCGCGCACACGGTTGCATACGAGATCTCGGCTGGGGATCGCGTTTCGGTCCTTTTGGGACAGTGACTGGGACGTTGACTGCCGGCTGAAAGGACCACGGGAAACTGAGCGGAGAGAGCGACTTCGGTTTCGCCGTAACAGGAATGCTGAATGACTCGCGACTCGTCACGTTGTCAGCAGCGAGTTCGCCGGCACGCGATGTTACCGTTCTTGCTCTTACGATGCTCAAACAAGACATCGTCGGAATCGGTATCGGACTCTGACAGCACCATCTTGTTGTGGGTGTTGTTGTGAGTCGAAACTGCAATGAAAATTATCACAATTGAGTCGTAGATATCTTCGAAAAATAAATCTTCTAAAATCTTCAATATGTTCAAGTAATAGAAGAGAGATCGCAGAGAGATCAGACGATGAAACACAATCGCTCACATGCGCTGCTATCGTCTTCGGGCTCCGGTTGTAGGAGAGAGTAACGTGCTGGTTTTTTCTTAGGCCGAAGTGAGCGCTTTTTGCCGGTGCATATCCTCTGACACAAGCAAACGAGTCCCCAAATAAGTCCAACCCAGCACACGACTAGTAGCAGCAATGCTATTATCACATACAAAATGCTCCAATCTGAAGGACAATTTAATTAAGATATAATTGCCACCTTCTAATAACTTATAATTAAGAGATACGACGATGTGAGAGATTGGACATACCACAATTGGAGTCTCCATTGCCGAAATACTTCTGTATTAAATTCTGCATCCAGAATGCCTCGCACATGCATTGCCTCGTTTCCTGATCGCATACCCCGTGACCTAAATATGATACCATTGAGATGAGTTACTTCTTGAACTTTCAAATAGAAATTTACATTTTGGATTGCTTTCGCAAACAGTTATTTTATGCTATTTGTGATATTCCTCTATTCCATGTTCTGGTATTACATACCTGAACAATTATTCTGGCAAACAGCGGTGTCGATATTAGCAACTGACAGCTGTAAAAGACCGGAATCTTGAAGCAATTTCTCTTTCAGTCTCTTAACCACCTCCGGACCCGGCAACGCTGTTTTTCCTCCTTTCTTTTCCACGTAGAACACCAACACAGTCTTGCCAGTGTGCGGTTCGGCCCTCAAATTGCGCACGACGATCGAAGCTTCATCTCGCAGTAACATCTGTAGTTTCACCACCAATGAGTTCTTTTGCGACGCGGTCAGCATGCTGGCCCCAATGTTCAGCGTTAATTCCACTAGATGTAGCAATTGTGGATCTACAACAGGCGGAAAGATTTAACTTGCAAAAGCAGGCTCAGTGTTGCAAGATCGTGAAATACTTTATTTTAAGTCAGCACTGACCAGGTTTTACAATCACCGACACGGTATCCTCGCTGCTCAGACCCTGATCATCTGTTACTTTCAGCCGGAAAACGTATCTACCAGCAACTACGTCGGTTAACTACAAAGTAAGGAGGGACAAAAATGTATTCGTCCATTATGAAATACTTGCAAATGTACTCTCACCATCAAGATCGGCGATTTGTCCGTCTCCTGAACTATGGTGCCGATAGCAAGACTAGACTGATCTCTGGTCCATAACCACTGTCCTATCCTTAAGTCATCACTCGACTGCGAACCATTGATAATCAGCACGCTGATCGGAGCTGTCACAATTTGATCACCACCAGCGTTTGCTTTCGGTGGCGCATTTTGGTCTGAAGAGTAAGATGTAATATGTACAAATTGCGACTGGACATATCTGAAGAACTGCAAATAGTATGCAACACATACTTTGTGTTACCTTCACATTGACCGTATCTGAATCCACATTTCCGTTATCATCGACAACAGTCAGTTTGAATATGTAATCACCCTTCGTCAGTTTCGTAATATTGGTAACTGACTCATTTACGGCGGCGAATTCGGCGTTATTAGGCCCGCTGTGACAAGAAGATGCAGTATAATAGTTTAGAGTATACAATAATGCGACATAAAATATAATTAGAAAAATTGTACCTTACTTGCTCCCAATGGTACAAGACGATCTTTATGTCATCCTTGCTTCTTGTACCATTCAGAACAGTACGTGTCAATGGCAATGCGATGCTTACATCGTCCCCCGCGTCAGCTGCAGTAGAAATACTTAATCAGAAAATTAATATAAGGTCGTATATATTTCAAGCTTCTAAAATAAGAAAGAAGCTTGATAAATGGGAGACGAGTCAATGTTTTTTGCCTCGAAACTTTATTTATTTGTGACATTAGACAATTAAAAAGATGGTTTCAATACCCTTCGGTGGTTTATTTGTTGGCGGTTTCACAAAAACGTGCACTTCTGCCGTCGAGGATTGCTCGGAGTTATCTGTCACTTTAAGTACAAACGTGTACATTCCTTCCTCCAAGTTTGACAATTGCAAATAGGGTGTTCTCGTGTTTTGCATGTCCACCGCTTTATTCTGATCGGACGGGCTCTTCGTCCATTCCCAACTCGCTATACCTCGATCGTCAGTGCTCAAGTTACCGTTGAGCGTCAACGTATTCTGAGGCAGGTAAATGATGATATCTTGGCCTGCGTTTGCGCTAGGTGGATAGTCAGTCACTTTCAGGACCGTTATATTAGCACTTGTCGAATTGGTAATGTGATCAGAATCTTCCACCGTTAATCTGAAAGGAAATGTTGCGGAAGAATATAATTTTTCAATTATTATACACGCAAACAGTGAATAAACTAATGGACGAATAAATTAATAATCAATGAACCAACTTGAATGTGTAATTTCCGGCAATAAGGTTATCTAATTGAAGCGTGGGTGTATCCACAAGGTTGGGTTGATATCCAATTGGGCCTTGCTGCAGTTCCCAATGATAAGAGATAACGCGATCGTCGTCCTTACTATTCGAGCCGTCTAAGACCGCGCCTGTGTTTGGTAGCTTGACGATTTGCGACGCGGGAGAAATTATGGCAATCGGGGCTTGGTTAATGCGTTTCGCTGGAAAAGAGATACAACAACGACAACCTCGACATTATCATTATACACTACAGTCAGCAGTGAGTTAACATTCCAATTCTAAAAATACTTACGAGGTAAAACGCTAACATTAGCATAGGCTTCTCCATAGGCATTCGGACTACTCACAGCCACTTTAAATGTATACAAGCCTTCTGATAAATTACTTAATTTCACGGTAACGCGATTCTGATCAGTCATCGTTCCCGTATGTCCCTCCGGCTGGCTGAGCAGACTCCAAGCATAATTGTAATGCTGATTGCCTCGTTCAGCAGGCACGGTGTACGCGGACAGCGTAACTTCGTTTTCCGGTAGTCTCACTTCCTTGGAGACTGCCGAGACTAGCAGTTGCTTCACAGTCGGTTTCATTGATGTATTAATATCCTTCACAGTTTGGACTTTTGTCTGTGGTGTCACACCCAGATCTGCATTCTCCATCACATCTATCATTGTACAAGTGCCTATACCGACAAATGTAGAAAAAATTAAATATAAGATCACAAAATAATTTATCATTTTTCTTAATTAATAGCTCAATTGTGATGTTAGAAGAAATTCTTGGAAGAAATAATAAAAGAAAATTATCAAATACATATAACCTAGTAGCGTCTATTCAACCTAGTCATGTAAATAATTCAACAAAATATTATATATAAGAAAATACTATGTACAAGTTTACCTGCAATATTCCGTCTGAAACCTAAAGGACATTGACAGGTTCCAACGTTATCTCCATGTTTCACGCAAATTTCATTATCCAGGCAGCTAGACTGATCTATACAAGTGTTTCTATTTGCTTCATTGAATAACACTTGATCCTGATCAGTGCTGTCTGTACTCAGTGTTCTAATATCCATCAGATGATTACACATAAAAAAGAAATAAATTTTATTATTATTTTCTACATTCTCCAACAAAAGAAGAAGCTAGCTGTTAGTATGTATGTTTGGTCATTCAATTTCAGAATTTACCCAATCGTATCGTCATTGATTTGATCTAACAAGTCACTCCATATTTTGTTGTTCTCCACAGGTCTGACTAACACCATACTAGGCGGATTATCGTTCGCTAATTCGGGTCTGTACAACGGTACACACATCATGGAATTTTCACATTCTATATGGTAACATGTGCTATTGTGCATAAAAGCCACATTGCATACTGGTTTTTTACAGCATGTCATAACACAGTCCCGCATATTGGACACACGAGATTGTGATGTGAATGTTCCACCGGTCAAGTTACCACGAGGTACATAACTCATGAATACCCGTTGGTACAAGTCTGGGCATAAAAATTGCAAATCCCATCTGGCGTAATTGCCAATACAGCTTCCGAAAAATAGCAAATACAAGCCCAGGCGATATATTCCAATCATGATTGCTGCACAAAGGAACAGAAGGGTACAAATGATATTTTTATATTTGTTACTCTCACAAAGTTGTCATACATCAATATGACAACACTACTTTGTTCGTCTCCGAAGTCATACATATAATATTAACAAATACAAATCAATCAATGGATAAAAATAGCAGTGGAAAACGGAGTAGAACTTCGACACGATAGAAAACACGACTGTCTCACGAGAAGCGACATAATTCTAAATTTCACAGGACGCGAAGCTAGAATTCACAGACTTATCCCAACCGCAGGCGTTATCTTCGGCATTATCAAAGTTGAAGCGTAAAAGTACGATATATACAGGACGTCGCGGGTGACGCGTCGCGAGGCGACCAGCTTTCAGATAATGAGATCTCCGGCGGAATTGCGTACTTGCTTTGTTGTCGCGCGCTAAGCAAATGGAACACTCGGCCGCTGCGTCGTCGCGTCGGAGCCGAAAACAACTGCTGTCCAGGTTATTCCACGATGACACATGTGCCTCGCCGCGCGGGACCCGTCGCGATCCGTCGACGATTATTCGCTCGGCTCGATCTTACTCCGGAATGGTCTGCAGACGTGCGCGGCTTATCATATATTAGCAGCATGTTATTATCAAACGGCGGCTAGACTCTAATCAACCATAGGGGTAATTATCATATTTCCTGCTCGTGTATCGTTGCCGCCGTTGCCGCCGCCGCCGTGTTGGAATAACGATCGCGACCGTGTAATACCGATGATAACGAACACAAACGAACACAAACCGTCGCGTCGTCGCGTCGCTCTCGCGCGACGTCACGAATAATCGCGGGGAGCTGTCAACTGTCAAATACGTTTCCGCACGTCAGCGCCATCTAGGGCGACATGGAGAAGCGACAAGCCGTGATTGCATGTGGGTAACGCGTCGACACTATCCGATTATCCGCAGAATCGCCCGAGGATGACTGTCATTCTAAGGCCTGGTCTACAATACGTGTCGTAAGTTGTAAGCCGTAACAATTGGCGAATCACAGTCGATTATTACAAAAATAATCGGCTATAATTGGTCAGTTTTTACGGCTTACGACTTACAACACGTATTGTAGAATGAACTTAAATCAGCTAATTGACGATTACCTCAGCCAGTAGAGTTGTCAACGTGGAGGCTTTCTCGTGTTTGCTCACGTTCTCGTGATAAAAGGCAGCTTGTCGTTGAAAATTCCGCTTTCCTCTTCATAACCTATTTAAAATTGCTGTTAGTCCAATCAGAGACACCCGCTGTGTAAAAACAAATTGTCAAGTGTCGCTTGATTTACTTCGCAGATATACACAGAATTGTTAATACTTTTTCATTGGATGACAAATTATATGGACAGAATTTACTATTTTATCGCGACTGATCGGTCCAGTCGGAATTCAATGAGGTTCCATCGTAGACTACCGATCAAATTTCGCGGCAGAGATTGATATCTGTCGCTTTAGTCGCGAGAGGGCGCAAGCGCACGGCAAATTTTCATGCTACCAAAGAATTTCCCACGCTACAGCGCATGCCTGAAGTGACGTGCTACATATATGTCAAAAACCACTGACGGTTTAAAACGCATGACAGAGGATCCATAGAGGGGCCCGCGCAAAACATCTGTGTCTTCCGTAGTTGTTTTCCCGCGTTTCTTCCGCGAGTGCGTGGTTTAGGGTTAGATTACCCAGTAAACATTAAATATGTTATGTCACATCAACATTATAATTTCTTAACATCATTAATTAATGTAATGTAAACGTTACTTAGTGTTTATATGTAGTGTGTAAGAATAGTGATAGTGCAATCAGTGATATCATAGTGCAATCATAGTGTTCATTTTTTGTTAAATAAAATATTAAATGCTGTGAAAATGGATGACCAACCTTCAACCAGTGGCACTGAGAAGAGGAAAGTTGGAGCACAAAAATTTAGAACAGCGTGGTTAGGTATGAACATTTTTAAAGATTGGTTGACATGGCATCAAGTACGTTCAATAACAGTAAAAGTGTATGATATTAAACACTTACATATCATTAATGATAGTACTAAGTATTGTGTTCAACATTAACATAAGTATTCTTTTTAACGTTTATTTGTTTTGTACAATTTTATTGTAAGAATATTAGTAAGGTTTTTCTGCAGTTTCCCTTGCTATTACAATAAATGTTGGTATTCATATATTATTTTTCTGCAGTTATTAAAAAATAAAGTTATATGTTTATTATTAATTATGAACAGTATTCTGTTTCTTTCACAGACCTTTCTATTCTCTCTACAATTCCTTCATATTTTCTTTCAAATGAGGGATCTTACGCCCGTATTAGACTATAGATTGAAAATTACAGCTGGACCAACTTAAATAACCAAGATTTAGATTACTTGATTTATGCGATTGCAATTTTCAATCCATAGGGCCAGAGCACAGACTTCTGCATAATGCATAATACACAATGCATAAGAGAATCAACCAATCAGAGTTCTTCATTTCTGTCCTGAGGAGAGAAATGAAGGAAACTAATTGGTTGGTTTATTCTCTTATGCGTTATGTATTATGTGTTACGCAAAAGCCTGTGCTCTTGCCCAGTAGTATCTTACGGGCGATAAAATACCTTTAAATTAATACGGTATTGAGACTCTCACAGCGTTTGTTCAATGCGCACGCCCGGAAATTCTCTGGATCTCCCACTCAGCACTGATACACGCATACGTGTGCATACACGAATACGTTTGCACTGGAATGTGACAGACAAACGAGATGTCCGTTTGCTACCGCTTCTATTGCGTTGCGTATTTGCAGAATCCGAGATACATGATCACGGAACGACTACGTAAAGCAAATGAACCTCGGTACGAGTTCTCGCTAACAATCGCGCGACCTGAGGCTCGCCGATAGCGAGCGTGTCTCGTCGATACCACAGCGGTGCGATGATATACGACTAATGCCCGAGAGTAATACCTGGCGTCGCATGTTCGGCGTATCGCTGACGATCGAGTCGATCTGTGGGGAAGGGTGAGAACAACGGTGGGGAGACGAGCAGACATGCTTAATCGCTCAGAGAGACTCGTATTTATGTTTCGTTATCGGGATTGATTGTCGTGAGTAGTAAGGCGCCTCGGATTCTCGGAGGATTCTGATCGAGAGGAAAAGAGAGAATGGAACGGGACAGTATGGAACGGGAGAAAAAAGAACGACTTGCGAAAGAACTCGAGAGCCAGATGATGAAACAGCAACTCATTGGTAAGTTAAGATATTTACAATTCCAAGTATCCACGGTATCGCTGGCCGAGATTGCAATTACCGTCAATTACGATCAAATACTCTGTGTCTTTCGAAGCAATAATCTGTTGATCTTGATCTTGTGTCTTGTTGATCGTCGTGTGCGATATTGTGAGAAATAATTGGAATTCTGTAAAGTGTCGCACTACAAATTTAGACTTAGTTTAATTATACACACATTTATTATTTGTGTCTTTGTGAAGTATATATATACAAACTCATAATACTTGAATGTATTTGAAATCACTGTGAGACATGACATGGCAATTACATATAATTTGCAATTGTCAGAGGTGTTCAAGCACACAAAACAACCAAACTTAGAGAAAAAGAAATAATCATTCAAAGTTCAAAGTTGTTTTAACATCTCCCCTCCCTCCCTAGATAAAATTGCACGCAAATCATAAGTACTTGAAATTCATATTTGTGCAGCATTTACGACCAACTAAGAATCCATTTATAATGGCCAACTTTTAATTGTTATTTAGGTATGGGAATTTATGAAGGAACAGAAACCTACGAACAAATGAAGGACCTGCTTGGTTTCCTTAATAATTCTGAGACTACACTGAATGTTGCTACTGATAACAAGCACACACGGAAGAAGGTACATTGATTACAGTTATCACGATATATCAAGAACTCATCGGCGAAAAATATTCCCCAAAAAGAAAAACTAACTTTTCTGATTTTCTTCTCTCATAATGTTTCCATAGGACAATGAGCAGCATTCCGATAACGAGTGCCTATCTGAGATGAGATCCGAGACAGATGCATCACAGGAGCAAATGGTTGTTACGCAGGATTTGCCTAAGGTGACGTACAAACCGAGTCATACATTGCCAACGGTTGTGCAACAAGAGCGCAAGAGTTCTCGACACTCCAGCAGCCCAGAGAGCTCACCGTTGTCAACCAATTCGACTATTTTTGATGTGCGAAGCTCTGTGCAAAGGTGCAAGAGCACTGAAAACGACGAAGCTGTGACGACGACAACATTGGAGAAGCACGAGCAGACGGGCACGAATCGGCCCGTCCTGTCGAAGCCAGGCAACAGCACACAGGAGTGCCAGAACTCGTCGCCGGACACAAAAACGAGAGAGATGCAGTGCGCCATGCAGAGCACTTACTACCAGCAGCTGGAGAGGTGGCGGATGAACCCATTTGACGTCTGTATCAACGAAAACGACGTGCCTTTGCAACAGCCGAGGAGCCGGCTCGCCGCGCGAAAATGCGCACCCTCCTCTGGATGCCACAACAAGACGTACACGTCCGAGCAACACGACCAAAAGATGCGGGCTCTGGGCCAGCATTTGAGGGAAATGGCAGACTTGTGGTACAGTTGGCAACGTCCTGCGAATGCGAAATTTGAGTGGGGCGTACCCATCGAGGTGGGTAGCTCCCTACAATCCAAACCGTATCGCTCGTATCGTTAACGCGAGTGAAAGAGAGAGAGAGAGAGAGAGAGAGAGAGAGAGAGAGAGAGAGAGAGAGAGAGAGAGAGAGTGGGAGTGGGAGGGGGGAGGGAAAAGGAGAGAAGAGGAAAAGAAAATTTATATATGTATGAAATTCGGTGTCACGGGGAAATGTCGTTGATAGCTCATTTTCGTTTCGCCACTTTGCGATCCGTAGATCCTTAGCCATAAGATCTTTGTATTTGCTCGGAGATATTGTTAAGTACTACTCTTGAGTTTTGCACATCATTTCGATGTGTTCAATTGAGTCTCCTCGCTTTGAGTCACGTGAGCTCCTCAGGCTCACCGACGAGCACTCGAGATTATTCTTGTCTCTTGAAAGTCGTATTGCGGGAGGCTCGATTCTCACATCGAAAGGCTTCTTATGAATATCAAGGAATCAGTTCTTTTTCTTTCTTTTGTTTTTCTTTCTCCCTGAACGAATACCCGTTTTTTTTTTTTTCATTCTCTGTTGCAAATCCGTGATGTGTGATTTCGCATCTTCCTTGGTGAGATTGTACAATACGATACCTCAATATAATCCCAAGATGTGCATTTATTATCGACACTCGATTTATAATCTAATGCTATATATATACATATAAATTTCTTCCATAATAATATTACTTGCCAATGTCGCTTTTGTCGTTTTAACTTATATCGGTATACATACAATATTTACATAGAACAGTAACAACACAAAGTCGTTTGTGAGCCATTGGCATTTTGTTGCCGAAGGAAGATGTTTGATATTTTCTATTGATACTTTGAAATTGTGCATTTATACGGAAACATGTACACGCAAGCGTTCGCAAAAGAGAACGCGGTCATTATTACATACTGTAAACTACAAGACCTTTTTGAATAAATTATATTTATGTACAAAACGAAACGAGTATAGTTGTCTACTTCATTCAGTCTGTTCTCTGATTCTAATCCTTGCTTCAACGTTTCTATAGGTCGGCACTGCTAACGGCAGTCTGGATAGAAAACCAGTAACAGAACCTAAGACTGAACTAATCAAGGCGGAATATACATACAGAGATAGTTACGAGCGATCTAGTAAGCGTAAGGCGAATTCTCTCATTGCGAGAGAATGTGCGAGTCTGAATAAAGATAGTTCCAGCGACGAAGATGATCAGTACGAGTTTGCTCGTATTAAGAAAAAGAAGACCCAGTCCGACGACAAGTCGAGCAATGTAGCAGATCATGCGAATCAACAACATGCGCGAGCCGGCGGTAAACGCGAAGCAGCTATGTCGATCGCTCGTAACTCCCACGATGATGATAACAGTAACGACGACGAAGACATAAAATCGCCTCATGGAAGGAAAATCGAGAACGAGAAGAACGAAAGGCTGTCTCCCGTGTTGACCGCGTACCCGAAGAGAACGATACCTCCCACTCCGAAAGCACGAGCGAATCTCTACAGAATGCGAAGAGGAGGCGCCGTATCGAAATTGTCTCTGAAGTTGCAACGCAACGATAAGAACGAAGAGATGGAACGGATAAAGAATCAAAAGAAAGACAACGTGATGACGGACGAAGAAATCCGTCACAAGCTGGAGGAAGATGAGGAGGAGGAAGAGGAGGAGGTGGTGGCAATTTTGCGAAAAGACGTGGAGACTCGATCGTCGAAGGAAGCCAAATCTCGATTGCAAGAGAGACGATTGTTATCCAGCAATGCGGAGAGATTGGGGGATATGCCGACGGGCGGCAAGGAAAGGAACAACAAGCAGCAGGGAAATAAAGAGAAGGCAGATCTCGATGAGCAACGAAAAAATGAAGATAAATTTTCTAAGCTGGAGAACAAAAATGTGAGCTGGGAGCATCATCTGCTAGATGACGACGAGATGGATCAAGTGAGTTGATGATAGATCTAGTTGTTTAAAACATCGGACTCTGTTTCATGATATATGTATAATATCACTATTATTGCCCACTTGCATGGAAAAAATATCTCAATTCATCTTTCTGTTCTTACAATCAAATTATCCAACCTCAGGTAACAGGAAACGGTTCGGTTATACACTAACGGAAGTGCTCTTTCCAAATATTAGATCTGTTATTTTTAGCTGAACTAGATTTCATATTTGCCGCTGGCCGATGAAACGGGAGCTAGTGTTGGAAGAAAAAGGAACGAAGTTCCAGTGCAGCAACAGTTGAACTAAAGAGAACAGATTTATTAAAAGATCTATTAAGAGAGATGATGTTTTTCTTGTTCGTAGGAACCTGCTTCGCAAAACGGTAATCGGCATGAGAAAATCGCTGTCTCGACGAACAACATCAGTTGTCCCATATGCAACAAGCCGTTTCCGCCTGACAAGATAGAAAATCACGCTGCCGACTGCGACCAGTTCGAGATAAACGACGAAGAGAACGCCGATGACACGAATCTTCTCACGTGTAATATATGTGACAACTACAAGACGACCGACGGAGTGGAATATCAGCAGCATGTTAGGCGATGTATAGACAATAAAAAGGACAAGAGACATTTGCACAGTACGTTCATTACCATAAAAACTTTATCATCGTTGTCTCAATTGCCAATTTCTAATATCGAAAGTATCCGAAAATCTAATCCGAAAAAAAGAAAACATTGATGCTTTTTCAAATTCAGATGATGTTCACGATGTATCATCGTGTTTAATTTTGAGTTTTCAGTGTTTAGTTTTGATATTTATAGCTTTATCTTTCTGTCTGGTCTTTTTCAGGATCGGATGATGTCGATATCGTATCCATTACCTCGTCTCATCGCACTTACAAACCAAGCAATCAGAAAACAGCAAGCAGCAGTCCTGAAACAAACATGGACCAGTTACCTTCTCACAGTAGGACACGAGTATTTACGAGCAAAAAAAGAAAACACTGATCGTTTAATACGCGTTATATGGCAATGTTATTTGAATCTATTCTATTTTTTCTTTTATTCTGAGAACGAGAAAACGGCAATCTACCAAAATATTTCGAGCAATTTGTTGCGTAACATTGTCGACTAATACATGTTTTATTTTGCATATTATTAACATTCCATATTACACATCACGATATCGTACGCCGTAAGTGCGTGAATCTTTCGTTATTCATTTTCTCATGCGGATCATGTTTTTTTGGCGATAGATACATATTTTATTTCTCATAAGAAGAAATATTCCATTCTAAAGATTTCATTTAATTTTTCGTAAGTGATATCCGTATGATATTACAACGTTAACAAACAATGAATCCTAAGAAGATGAAAATATAATTTTGTTCTAACAACGTCAAGCGCATTAAGAATTAATTGTGCTGAAACCAATTCTGCTAACTTTAAATAAAATAGTCTCAAGGATTAAGAAACTTGAAGAAGGAGGAATAACTATATCGCGTATATTAATTATTATATGTATAAATATTAATTTATATTATACACATGTAATACAAATAATGAATGTGATATATATATATATAATATACACCATATATATATATACACATCCACGCATATATATAACTTGTTGAATATATGTAAATATATTCCATTCGCGTACGAATGATACTGTTTTGCAATATACGCACAGTTAATTCTAAGCAAACTACTGAAGCAACAAATTGATGATTGCATAAAGTAAAAACTATAGGACATTTTTTTAACAGATTATATATATATATAATTCGCCACGGTAAATTATATAAATTTACATGCAACATCAACACGCTGAAATTTAAAATGATATATAATATTTTTATACTGATAGAATCACTTGTTGTTTATAAATAAAGTAATATTAGATATTGTCACAAGAGTTCTCATTAACCTTGTGTTATGCACCTAACAATAATTTCGCGATAATATACACATTTTACTCTCGACAATATTTTTCTCACATACACAAACACAGTCGACAATCTCGTACTATTTAACAATATATTCTATCAGCCATGTTACAGAATAATGAGATAAAATGAATATAATATATATAGCATACATATCACATCATTCGTTGGTATCAAAGGTTATAGAATAAACTTTTGGTTTTATCGAAAGTGATAATCAATGTAAGATTATAAAATGTACTTCTGCGTCAAAGATAGTACGAAACTGCTGCTCGAATGAGTTACTGTTCGTTTATCATAATTTTTACAGGAAACTTGATGTGCAATTTGTAAGGTAAAGAATACACACAAAACGTTCATTAAATTAATTGTTGTCAGTTATTTTTGCTTTAGATAATTATTTACCAGCATACCGGACCAGCAATCCACTACCAGGTAACATGAAGTTCTTCACTTTGGTATTATGCATTTCATCTTTAATTGGTGTAAAGTGTCAAATCATAACCCTAAGTGGTATATGGAATGGAACTATCAATGGCTGTGGTAAGTGCCACAAGATATCACTTTTGCCAAGAATTAACTTGCCATTCTTTTCTTCCTTTCTTGGCTCATATATTGGCCATATGGCACAACAGTACATTCTCATATTGTTTAAAATTATAGTAAAAATATTTTCTTTAGATGAAAGTTTCTCTAAAGGATGCAACAGTGGTAAGTTTAGAGCTTGATTTTATTAATACTTAATATACATGATCCTTTTATAATTTTTAACATATCTTCCTTCATATTTTTATTCATTAACTGATTCCATGATTATTATGCTTCACAGACCTCAGATTTAGTGGGACTGTTCCTGGAGGAATTTACACAGATTTGTACATGGATAACATAATAGAGGACAATCTACTGGGGGCGAATGATATGAATAATCGTTGGGTCGGGAATCAATCTGTGACCTACACTAAAGAATTCATCGGTAAATTCGAGTCAAAGACAAAGCTGGCAATCTGGCAATTGTAGGAAGAAATTTAAATCGCACGTTTTTTCAGTGAGCAACGATTTCTTGACACCTTCTCCAACATCACTCTTAACGACCATGCAATCGGCGAGACTTCGAATATGTTCCTGCGGTATACCTTCGATGTGACGGACCACATTCTGGTGAGTAGGTTGTGAGCGGACGTGAGAGTACACGTTCCGATAATGCACATCGTTAATTCGGAATTCGCAGGAAGGACAGAATATACTGAGAGTCGCGTTTCATTCGGCTGTCAAAGTGGCAGAGAACTTGTACAATGAGCAGAAGAAAAGCTACATCGTACGACCGGTGTGCGTACCTAAGGAATACAATGGGGTATGCCACGTGAACCATATACGTAAGATGCAAGCCAGCTTCTCGTGGGATTGGGGCCCCGCTTTTCCCTCAATCGGCATTTGGTAATTAGGAACCGACTTTTTTACCTATACTTCGTCCATCCTCCATGTGTCATATGAGAGAAGTTTACAGGAAGGACGTCGAGTTGATTCCCGTAAACGACATAATGATGAACGACGTCACAGCTGATATATGCAGGGAGAATGACGCCTGGCACATTCTCGTCACGATATTCCTTGAGATAACGCAGAGCAGAAGCAACGAGGCTCAGAGCATCGTCGTCACGTCCGCATCGGCTTTGCACATTTCGCATGACAAGGTCATCAGCAACATTAGCGAAATTAGGCTCGACACGAGCAAGAGATACGCGAATTTTAGCATCCAACTTACGGTGCCTGTGGTAAGCGCAAAAACATTGCGGAAAATGAAATCTTTGTCGAAATTTACGTCACTTACCCTTCAAATGGAGGACGCTTACTCTCCAATTGATTTAAACCTTATTTCTAGAAAAATTATTTTTCCATTTTATTTAATATCATAAGGGTCTTTATCTAAACAACATTTTATTTAAGTATGTATTTAATCTGATTTAAAGCAAAAATTAATCCCATGATACAGTCTGACTATGCTTTCCTTCCGCAGGATGCCGTTGAAACTTGGTGGCCGAATGGCTATGGCAAGCAACAGTTGTATACTCTGTCCACTACGGCGACAACGGTTTACGATGTATCGCAGAAAGAGATCCACGTAGGCTTCAGGACGGTGGAATTGGTGGAGGAACCACTGGAGAAGGGTCGAAGCTTCTACTTCCGCGTGAACGGTGTGCCGATTTTCGCGAAAGGCAGCAATTTTATACCAGCCAGCATCTTCCCGGAATTGAGCGCGAAGGAGGAAACCATCAGGCACTTGCTGTCTTCCGTCAAGGAGACACACATGAATATGTTGAGGGTCTGGGGCGGCGGGGTCTACGAGTCTGACTTGTTCTACGACTTGGCCGATGAATATGGCATCATGATCTGGCAGGACTTCATGTTCGCCTGCGCCATGTATCCCACGATCGACTCGTTCCTGAGGAACGTGAAGGAGGAAGTGGTGCAGAACGTGATACGTCTGAAGAATCACCCGAGCATCGTGCTCTGGGCCGGCAACAACGAGAACGAGGCGGCACTCTATGGGAATTGGTACGGCACCGGCTCTGCTGAGATATATAAGACGGATTACGTGAAACTTTACGTGAACTTGATAAAGAGGGAAGTGGAGATACTAGACCCCACGAGGCCATTCCTCGTCTCTAGTCCGGGTAATGGAGTGTACGAGGAGATATATAATTACACGGGAGTAGATCCCTACTCGAATATCTACGGTGACGGTAACGTATCATTGGAATGTGTAATTAACACTCATTAATATATCAATTCGCCCGCGAGGAAGAACAGATTTCATAGCTTAAAACTGTGCAACTCGTCGGAAAGTTTGCGAAGAAATGCGACGATAGAAGTAACAAAGAAGAAACGAAAGAATAGAATAATTCTATTTAAACTCTTTTCCTATGATTATCGTACATCATTATCATTAATTTTGCGCGATCTCGGTAATTACAGCATTAAACATTCCCTTCCAGTTCATTATTACAACTATATAAGAAACGGATGGGACGTCAGTCAATACCCCCGAACAAGATTCTGCTCAGAGTACGGATTTCAATCTTGGCCGTCAATATACACGGTAGCAACCGCCGTAGAAACAGCAAGAGATTTCGACTTGGACAGCGAATTCGTCAAACACCGACAACATCTGCCAATGGGCAATCAGTTCATGAAACTACTGATCTCGCAGAACTTTGTTGTGCCGCAAAGTAATGACAGCTTGAGAAATTTTGCGAATTACGTATACCTTAGCCAGGTCAATCAGGCAGTCTCTATAAAGATAGAAACGGAAGGATACAGGCAACTCAAATCCGAGGTGAATTCTGTCAGTGAGGGCATGACGATGGGAGCTCTCTATTGGCAATTGAACGATGTCTGGCAAGCACCCTCATGGTCCTCCATAGGTATAATCAAAGGCACCGATACTTCAAAATTAGAACGAGAGAAATTATTCTAGAGAACATCTCAACGAAATTTCAACTGTAACTGTGCTTGTTCTTACTCCGAAAATCCCTTTGCTTTGTACTTGTAGATATTGAAGGTCGTTGGAAAATGCTTCATTACTACGCCAAGGACTTTTTTGCACCCATCATTGTTACACCCCGTTTGATGAGCTCCGATGAGCTCACGATATATGTTGTATCCGATCGATTGTACTGGCTGACGAATTGTCAATTAGATATTCACGTTTACAACTGGAAATCTATGACACCCATATACACAAAGTCCTACCACAACATCATCGTGGTACATTGACAGTAAAGTTCTCATACACGTGAGCTATATACATGTTCACAGATTTATATAGACTATATTAATATTTTCAGCCACCGAACAAAGCCGTACGAATCACAACCTTCTGGTTCGATGTATTTCTCTCTCAAGCGGGTTGTGGCTCGTTTCAAACCGCCAAGAAATCTTGCGTAGTCACTTTGTCGTTCAAGGATGAATCCAGGTCTCTAATCGCACCGGTTAATTATGTCTATCCCACCGCCTTGAAAAATGTGGATATAGCAGTGGCTAATGTCACCGTAAGCAAACCCATTAATACAGCAATTAGTGTAGCAATTGCGTTCGATGTGTTTCTGTGTCACAAAATCAATTTAAGGACGACGTTCTTAGAAAAACATCACCACTGGACGCGTAACTTTTCTTTCAGACCTAATAATTTTATTCAGATTTTTATTTATTGACTAATTTACCTCTAGTAAATATTTAATATTTACTGGTGATATTTAATTAATTTTCTTCCAGATGAGAATCGAGAATTATTTACCTGGAAAAGTGTTCAATTATCCGGATTTCAAAGTTATATTAACGACAGACAATATAGCGCTGTTCGTCTGGTTAGAAGTGGGCAACATACGCGGTCGTTTCTCCGAGAATGGTTTTCACATGTTCGAGCAACGGAAAGAAGTCATTTTCCACGCCCACGAAGCGACCACGGTGGAATTGTTGCGCGACAATATAAAAATGACCACATTGTCCGGTATTTACAATGCACAGGAAGATTTGGCTGATGACGTCGGAACAGAAAATGCACATTAATCGTGCGTTGACATTTAAAGCTTCCTCCTTATGTGATATATTACATACATGTTGTACGAAATAACAATTTATCTAAAGTATTGAACTCTCAAGAGTGCTGAAAAGATAAATTCTCCCAAAGTGGAATCAGAATGTTGTTTCTTCTCAGGCTGTTCTCGATGGAAAATAATTATCAAAATGCAAATAAACCTCTAATCCAATAAGAAAGACAAGCATAATTACGGCACCGCCGATTATCATAGACAACAAGTCAGACATCGCTTTAGTTACTTTATCTCCTCCTGTAATTTGGAACTTGACACACGCGGCGTAACGTTGAGAAAATTTATTACTACAATCTTTGGCTGGTATATACACCTTTCTTTGACGTAAAAAATAACATGTTAGATCTGTGAAGTTAACGTTGTGTCGATATATCGACATTTGTTTTCTTACACATACACACACAACCAAATACAACTAGTAAATAATTAATAGCTGGCAACTAGTACAATTATTACATGAATTGAAACGATACATACATATTGCAACAAAACATGCGTATCGTCACCGAGAAACGCAACATATAAAAAATACTATTCTATATAATAATTGGTAATGGGGCATACATAAAAATACATAAAAAAAATGTATGAGAATTACGAAAATCATGAGACTTCGTAGAAAAGTTCGTGACTTGATCTGAGATTCGTTGACAGAAGAAACTTGAATATTTCATCCAAGAAAGAAAATGCTTATAATAAATAAAGAAATATATTACTTCAAATATGCGCGCGCGTGTGTGTATTTTTTTAAGTTTAATAATAATAAACATAAGGCTGAGATTCCTCCTTAGGTACAAATAGCAATCACATTGCACGCATCTCATCACATAGAATATACAAAGCGCAAGTTGTATCCGCATCGTACGTGTCTATATGTGTCTAAAAGCCGGTTGTTCCAATATCTTGGTAAGTTAACTATGGTATAGTTATATCATATGTTTCTGTTTTTGTCTAAATTAAAGGAAAAACAAAGATAAATATAAAATTTAACTATCAGTTAACTTAACAAGAAGTTGGAACAACTAGCCTTAAATGTGTATGCGCGCTCAATATAGCGTTTATCGTTATACAACGAGAAAGCCAGAGCTATGCCAGTAGCTCGCGATATTGTATAGTTGAAGTATTAGTCTTATTAGAGCGAATAAGCGTAACGTTATTTGGACTCGCATCATGGCGTCTCGAGGTACACCGTCCTATTTTCCATGGCGGACGATGGCGAGTGCAGGTAACGTCGACTCATGTTAATAGCCACCATGATACAACAGAGTAATAGAGGACCGAATATCGCTCCTTCCACGCCTAAACAGAAGATCCCGCCTGCTATCGACAGGCCCGTTAAATAAGGATGCCCGCCACTAAAACGGTAAATGGGGTATGTAAACGAGAAATGCGGATTGTTATTTTTTTAAATTATTTCTCAACAAAAAAACTTGCTTTCTAAAAGTAACTCGTTGCTGTTATTCGTTACCCGCTCAAAAAAGTAACCGGTTATTGTTGCGTCACTTATTTTGAAAAATAATTCCATTGCTGTTCTCTCAAAGAGCCGTTACAATTTTTGCTACTTTTCTCATCATGTTTTAAGCAACGAGCAATTTTGACCTGATAACAAGCATTAATAAATAATGCCGTTACCGATTCGTTGCTCGGCAGAAAAGGTAACTTACAACAACAACGGCGTTTTAAGCAACGAGTCACTTTCAAGCATTTGCAAAAGATGCATCACCGCAAGGCGATTACCCTTTAATTTCCTTGTAGAATTCCGTCACCACGATGTTGCACGGTAGAAAATGGAAGAGGAAGAAGAGGATGGCGATCATTGAGCCACGGGTGAACCACAGTTCTACGGTGGTCGGGATGCAGGCGAAGTATGCGTCCAAGAAGGGCACCGCGCCCAGCATAGTCGCAAAGGCCGACGGCAAGTAGACAATCTTCACTTGGAACAAGTTGTGTATGAACCATGTCCACATGCCAAAAAAAGAAGCAAGCTTGAAGGTAGCCGCGAATACCTCGATCACCGCCTCTTGCAGCGCTACGGCAAACCTGGACAAAGCGATCTCACTGCTTCATGTGCACCTTCCACTCACGAGGAGTAATTCGTCTCCTTTTCTGCAGAGCAGTGTCGACTAAACGAATTTAACATTGACTCTGACGTATCACACGCCAACTCACCCTTCTACGTGCGGCGTGCTTGTTAAAAGTAAATGTTCTCATAAAAGTTTGAAGACAATCTCTTCTACAAGCATGTAATAAGAAGTGTCGACGCGATACTCGGAAATTTACCTGTGACAACTAATCGGGCTGTACGTCGTCGTCAATTCGATGGGCTTGTAAGTCTTATCGCTGGAGCTGAGTAAATAGAACAGAGTCGTAAAGAACACAACCTGAAACGAAGGATCTCCTGTACTTTCTCCCTTCCTTTCAAAATGAAATTAAGACAAGCTTCACAAAGCACATACCGTGCTGAGTACGAAATTAAGGACCGCCGATCCGCTCATGAGCACGACGTAAAACAGCTCTGTGAAAATCGTCAGTATAATAGACATGTTACCTCTGACGATACTCCAAACGGAATCGAGCACCGACATTAAGATACCGATATTCTCCTTGACGAAATTTTGTATACTGGTCATGTTGAACATCTCTGAAAAAGAAAACGTTAAACGTGGAATGTTCGCACGGCATTCCACGCGTGTGCAATTCTTCGAGATCAGGATGCCTTACGCAAGGGTGTCTTCCCGATGCTATCCTTCAGGCTTTCCCAAGCGTTATACGCGGATGTGATATCCACGGTAGGACCAATGATATTGTCGGTCTCGTTCGACATCATCCACGCTTGGTAGAGACGGTCCCAGAGCTCCAAGACCTTCTTTTCTATCTGCTCGGCTTTTGCTGGCTCCAAATCATTCATGAGACGTCGAATCTGAAATTACGGGTAAGAACCGGTAAATAATCATTAAGGTTTTAAGGAAGAATGAGGAAGAGAGAATCTTACACCGTCCGATATGGCAGTTCGTCCGTAGGTGTAAGCATTGTCCAGGACGCTGTTGACGGATTCTTCCCACTTCTCCGGCACCCAGTCTATGTCGGATTTGTTCATGAAGGAGTTGAGAATCTCTCCCGACACCTCAACCAGGTGTAAACCTTCTGCATAGACCTGGCGAAAGTGGAATCAGGTAAAGAGAATTGCGAAATTGGTAAGCAATTGGTAGACAGAAAGAAGCATGTACGAAGTATAGGCGCAAGTTCTAAAGTTTGAATTTATACCTGTATAGTGATGAAAATAGACGCGCAAGTGGTGAAGATGATAAGCCCGAGTATCACGGCGATGGTCGCCACCGCGTCGACGGAACCCTTCAAGGTATCCCTAACTTTCTCGTCCACAATGACGAGCATCTTATAGAGGCCTCTGATGTTGGAGGGTAAAAGCGCCTGATGACGTTCCAGACACCACGCTTTGACCGCTCCTGCCATCGCGTTGTAGTGCCTGTATATCGTGTCCCAAAAGCCGAAGTAACCGCCTAGCTGTTTGACGATGTAGTAGGCCACCGGGATCACTAAGATGTGCGTGATCCACAAGTGTTTCCAGAGGAGCATACCGATACACGCGTATACCGCCGCATACATGTACTTGTCGGTGTCGACCTTGTTGTCCTGTATGTCCATCGACGTCCGGAACTCAGTCTTCAGCTTGCTCAGCAAATAACGGTCGCGCGGTGACGCGAAATATACGTTGTATCCGGGCCAAAGTTTACGAGCTAGCCTACTGGTGGACGACAAGCCAGTAGCGTCCGTATCTAAAGACATCGACTTCAAGCCGAGTTTCGTCATAGTAGGAGTAAAGCTCTCTTTTCTTGTGACATCGACGGGCTCTAGTCTCTTCGTCTCCTCTCCAGAAGGAGCGGTGCTCGTGCTCTCTTCCTCTGGAATATCGTTCGCGTGCTTTTCGCTCTTCAATTTGGCTACTTTCTCGTCTTCTTGCGAACTAGCCGTTGGATTATTTATCAGAGCTAAGCGTACGGCCTCCGAGAACGTCAAATGTCTATTGTTGTCCAACACTTGATTCTCCATGATCGACAATACCTCGTACACGAATCCTATAACGCACAAGATTTGCAAGACAGTGAACACGTAGACTCGGTAAGTGCCGGCTCCGCTCGATAAGTACATGCTAATAATGAGCCATATCACGAAAGACGTATAGCAAAATCGAACAGAGTTTGTAGGTGTCCAGTAGATGTATAGAATCATCAGGTGCCCGATGAATATTGTGGAGACCTACAAGATGAAACCCCATTGAGCCATTTGGTGATATATTATGGTATTTTTTATAGTATAGGTGAATATGTGGAATATTAGCAATATTAGCGCTTTAACTAATAAATAGGCATTTGGGCAAATTCATCACCGACTAAAATAATCGAATTTAATATAAACACAGCATGAATTACCGTATAAATATTGCACGTCATAATGAAGAACTCTGAGACAGCTGCAAACGCACAAAATATCTTGCAATCCAGGCATGTCATTACAGTAGGGATATAATGATATATGCCTAAAACCATCAACAGCAGTAGCAACATCCCAATGATATATTTGACATTTGCCCAGAGGAAGGAACCCAAGCGTTCAGAGACATTATCAAATATGTGCACAGGCAACAGACTTATGTTAACAATCAAAGGAGTGTGCGATGTTTCCACTTTGGTGAACCATGACTGCACCGTTGTGGCTAATGAGTATTTGAATGGGAACAAGACAGAGCCACATAGTAGAGCCCAGATTAAAGGCTTGAGGAAGGGGCTCAATATAATGTAGAGGCCGTATCCTGCTGCCAAGGCCAGGAACAACATGAAGAGCGCGGCGGCATTATAGATTCCCTGCTTCAGACCTTTTTCATGACCCGCACTGAAACCTGACAGCATGTTGAGCAGGTTATCCATCGGAGAGCGCGCGTTATCCATAATATATAATTAATTAGAAATGATAACCCATATACTTTTGGGTGCACTATTTAATTCGCGTTTTGAATCGTTCCCGACATGTGTCCGTGGATGCGAACGACGAGAAAGCGCATCTCGTCGAAAAAAGCGGGGAAACCCGTTTTTGCGATGTACTCCCTCAACACATTCAACTAACACTGTTGAATCAGCTGATATCAGGACTAATGTAAGGCAGTGATATCAGATGCAATACATTGCGATGCTATAGGGCATGCGTGAGATGACGTCGAGCCATAGACATAGGAATATAGGGACAGAGCATAGAGTTGCAGGAGGATAACCATTGCAGGACGGTGCGACGAGGTAAACTGTGCCTAAATCTAATTGGTGGTTGTGCCGTGTGTAAGTATTTGATACATACATAGATGTGTATGAAGTTGTGTGTGAAATTATGAGAAAAAGACATGCATAACCTCTGCAAAATACTGTCAGTGTAAATAGTTCTTATCATTTTGTTACATTTACTATTTGCCAGTAACAGCCAAGTCGTTGCATCACACGCTCTGAATATGCCCACTATTGTAGCCAATGAAACTTAAGCCAGCGGCACACGGTGCTTGTTTTCGTGCTGGATTGCTTGCTGGATAAAAATACTGCGTTCTGATTGGTGCATTTCCATCCATCTTCGAAAATGTACCAATCAGATTGCAGTATTTTCATCCAGCAAGCAATCCAACACGAAAACAAGCACCGTGTGCCGCTGGCTTAAGGCACAGTCGCCCCCCGCATTTCAGCACAACTTCCCTCGCCTATCTTACGGGTTAAGGGCAAGAGCACAGGCTTTTGCATAACACATAATACATAACGTATAAGAGAATAAACCAATTAGTTTTTTTCATTTCCCTCCTCAGGACAAAAATGAAGAACTCTGATTGGTTGATTCTCTTATGCGTTGAGTATTATGCGTTATGCAGAAATCTGTGGTGGTACTACATAATTTTATAGACACAGAAAGGCGTAAGCAAGAAAAAGAAAATAGATAAGACAGGAAAGTTGATGCTTATAATAATTCGTACTACCTAATAGCTTTTCTATGACAGATCGGGAATCTTCGGTTATAAAGGATTGGCCGCGTTCAGTAGAATAAAGTGATCAGAGAGCGCTTAGTGATTATTGTCTGTGATTGGAACATTCTTTTAGATTCTTCATAGACCCAGAAGTATTTACCAATCAGGAGCGAGATTCAATGGAAAATCTAGTAATGTTGTCCAACTGTTGAGTCTGCTGAATGCAGCCATTAGCTGCATTCAGAAAACACAACGGTTACATAACGGTTGAGTAATTCGTCAACGTTATTGGTCTGAATGTAAGGATCTAACAGTAAGGACCAATAGTTACTAAGCGCTCAGTGAGCGCTTTGTTTTCTGAACGCAACCATAGGCATAGAGCTCTACGTCTCTCACGCATGCGCTGTAGCGTCGCAATATATTGCATCTGGCATCAATGGGTGCATTCAGTACTACAACTGCTCACTGAGCGCTAAGTGAGCTCTTGCATCTGATTGGTGTATATTTTTAAATCTAAAAGAATATACCAATCAAATGTAAAAGCTCATTGAGCGTTCAGTGAGCGGTTGTAGTACTGAATGCACCATGGAGGTAGGAATATCTGGAGGGAGCATATTTCTCCGGTCATGAAGCCTAAGAGGAAAGGGGAGTGTAAGTCTATTGTAACGTATATGAACTACCAAGATGGCGACAGCAGTGACGGTGATTACATGGAATATCTATTGTAACGTCTTGGAAATACAACTTTCACATGAATAAAAATAATAAATTGAATTTGATGCATTGTGAGAAAAAGTAATTTCAGAGAACAAAAATATAATCAATTTATGTATGGTTTATTATGAAATATACAAAACGTATGACAAAATAAAAATTGCATTATAAATATAATATAATTATAAAAGTAAATTATAATTTTATAATATAGTTATAGTTATAGACTATAACGCATGTCTTACTTTTTATTAACATAAAAGAAATATAAATGTAAACGCAAAAACTACCAGTAACACAATACAATGTTATAATTTTCTACTCAAGATGTAACTGTTACGTAGGATGCACATTATGATATTGTATAATTAGAAATTAGAACATGAGTGTAATGTTACTGTTAGTTATTGTTTACTAGAATTATTGTCCCTTAAACAAAACTATTTTGTTAAATGCTTGCCTTATACTTATGTTATCACGAAGTATATTACGCCCTATAAAATGTAATCTTATTTTAATATATTTAGAGGCGATTGCTCTCATAAAATGAAACACATGATTTTCTAAAATTGTTTGATCACGAGAATGTTCTTCTATATTTGAGAAAATATTTCTATTTTCAATGAGACGTTGCAAAACTTGATTCAAGAGATAAATTTCTGTAAATTTTTTTTATAAACATTTATCGCCACTTTCACGCAAAGCTAAACGAATTGCAATTTCAGCTTTAGTACAAATTACAATTACATCGTGTGAAGGCAATCTTAAGCCCCCACGATTTTTAATATTAATTAAAGAATATTCGATATGTGTTTCGTTGCCAGTAAGAGCTTCGATACAAGTTTCACAATGTAGAATTTTTTCTAAATGTCTTACAACAAAACCTGCAATATAAGCTATAACTCTCGTTGCAAATTCTGAAAGCGTTATTGTATCAAGCAAAAGAGGTAAATTTTCGTTGCTATCTTCATGATTGCTATCATCTATTACTCGTGATTTCGGAGTTGACTGATTTATTATAGTTGCAGAATTCGCAGAAACATGTAGTATTGAAATTATTTCTAACGGGATGCAATTACCAGTTGCTGTCTCTGTGATCTCTGTATGGACAAGAATTTTTTTATAAGCGGCTTTAAATTGCCGAGCCGTCGGGTTATTGTTAGAACTTCCATGAGCTCGTATAGAGCTAAATAACAATTCAACGTGATCTTGGTTAAATTTATAACCTGGTATATATTTTAATACGTCTTGACTAACAACTAAATCTTTATAAAGTATTGTTATACTTTTGATACATATCATAAAACCGAGGAATGCACATTTATTTTTAGAATAAATCAACAATTGACCATCTGTCTTTCGCAATTGTGATAGGAAATTATAGCCTTCTTTTAATTTTTCCAAAATTATAGAACTATTGTTTTTATTTAACTGTTGTTTGAACCCTATCTGTTTCATGTTCCTCGAATTTAAGATATCAAAAAGATCATTTATTATTCGTATGAATCTTATCGTTGGGGCCGAATTTGCAAAATCTGTATATCGTAAATCATTTTTACAAATTTCTAATGCATCAGCTACAGAATTACTGAAGATTTGCATTGCGAGTTTTACTTTCATTTTTTGTTTATGGTATTGTATATGACGCGTTCTTAATTTATTACCCAAGTGTAGACTTTCCTTAACTTGAATGTCATTAAGCTTCGTAAAATGTTCCCATTGGATCATATCACCATTGTCATCAATTATTGATTTATGTTCTCCAATACAATTACGTAATAGTTTCACACAATGGCATGGGTCGAGAAATACAGTAACTTTTCTGTCCGTTATCGGATGAGAGAAATAAGTCTGAAAAGATGTAAAGTTAAAATTACATCCTAAAAGTGTGCACATGGTTAAATTAGCTGGAGCCCCGTCAAAAGTTACAGATATATTTATTTCATGCTCATGCAATAGTATTAATGCCTGACGAACCATATTGAACTTTTGCTCTGCATTCAGACCAGAAATAAAGAAATATCCAATGGGAATTTTCCAGGATCCATTAATACAATTTACAAGAAACACTAGTGCTTCTTTTGCTATTATACCGTATTCACAATTAATATTAGGCCCCAAGTCTATATATCCACAATATTTCTCACCATCATATTCTACATGTTGTCTTAAAGCCATTTCATCGAATATAAGAGCGCCAAAAAGAGGATAATTTACTAAATTAGCACGTTTTTTAATGGACTTCAATGCTTCCTCGTTAAAACCAGGTTCACCGTGAACCGACTTGTACCATTTACTTATTGTTTTTGGATGGGGTAAACAAGTATCAAATTTTTTTCGAATAAATGCATACGCTCGTGGCGAATAAAAGTGCAACGTTAAAGCAAACGATCTTAATTCTGGCCTATACTTTTTAGGCGTTGGAGTTTTATTAATCTTATTAACTTGACGTTTTAATAATTGTTTGTTGAAATTACCTAAATCTTTTAAGACATCCAGCTGTTCTGCATTAAGATTTTTTTTTTTCAAACATGTCAATACATCTTTCAATTTTGCAACACACTTAATGGTTCGTCGTTGCTTTTGTTGTAACATTTTAATTTTTTTCTGAAATTCTTTTCTCGTATACATCAACGCAGTTTTCAACGATTGTTTCCGTGGCGTGTTTTCTGATAGATATGGCGAAACAATTATTCCTTGATTTTTAATTCTTGAAGTACGTGGTGTACTCGTCTAGGAAACTGTATCAAATACAACGTTGATGAAAAAATATAACTAACCGAAAAAAATTTCATAAACATTATTCTTTTATTAGGAAAAAAAAGTAACTACATATCTTGAGTAGAAATGCTAAATTTTTATTCTATTATTCAATCTATAGTAACTAGTAACAAAACTATTAAAAATCACTGGCCAATTTATTATTAATATAAAATTTTTGTAATAATCCGCTATCACTTAACAGTGTTTCTACAAAATGATTTGTTTTATCTATTGCAATTGATAAATATACCTTGTTCAATGTTGTCACATATTTCCATGGAATCAAGATTTTCTGCTTCTTTGATTCATGTTTCAGGATCATCTATATAATCTATATAATTGTCATTAAAAGAATCATTATATTTTATAAGAAATTATTTATAAGAAATAAGATTATTCATAACTCCACATCACTAAACAGTTACAATAAGATGATCACTAAATAATATATTTTTTATAATAAGATAATTATGTTTTAACATACTTTTTTCTGCATTGTGATGTATTTTTTGTATTTTTACAGGATCAAGATTCTGTTGCTCTTTCATTAAATTATAATTATGTTAGTCCAATATTTTTTTTCGTTTCACAGGAAACTCGTCATTTTTCATATTCATATTATTCTGTAATACATATTTTGTTAATACATATTGTCTTACAAAATATAAAATACTTGAAACTGATAATTCTATGTCTATACATACAAATGGGACAGCACCAGATCTAATTCTAATACAATTAAGTGATGTTTTGTCCATATCACTTTCTTCAAAATGTAATGAGCAAATAAATGCATTTTCTGGAACATTACTGTCATTTAAGTCCATTCTATCAAGCCACTTTTTACGTACTTGTGGTTTCTTTGGAATTCTGTAATTATCAAATTACTTTAAAAAATGTCAACAATGATATAAAATATAATTTTACTTTGAATAATCAATAGTATTAAAACATACCTGTGAAATGTAATTAGTCTGCCATGCGAGTATTCCCATCTCAATTGTGTTTTATTTTTTCGTGTTACGTGTTTTCTGCTCTTGCAGTCTTTTGCATAACAATCAGGCATATTGCATGAATTATTATGTGAATTTATTATTGCAAAGCACTTTATTACAGATATAAACAACTTTATTGCAAGCACTTTTATTACAAAATATGTGCAACACACACAACCTCAAAATTCTTTGGTTATAATCACGCCGTATGACGTGAAAATAGATTTGAGTTACATATATCGTATCTTATATATATGTTATTTTTGAACCACCAAGATGGCCGCTACGGATATTTCCTCTCACCTCTCAGACTTCACTCCCCTCGCCCTCAAAAATACTTTATGCTCCCTCCAGATATTCTTACCTCCATGGAATACACCCAATGGTTGCGTTCAGAAAACAAAGCGCTCATTGAGCGCTTAGTAACTATTGGTCCTTACTGTTAGATCCTTACATTCAGACCAATAACGTTGACGAATTACTCAACCATTGTGTAACCGTTGTGTTTTCTGAACGCAGCCATTGATGTAAGGTGGGTGATGTCACCTTCATTGGCTGCGTTCCGATATTCATTGCTAGCACTGAAATTCTATGGTATACGTGACACAAACTATGTATTTTCAGTACTGACAGTGAATTTCGGAACGCAGTCATTGTTTTAACATAGATTATTTTTATTTTACAAGTGATTGATTATTGTAATATCGTTCTTGTAAATATCATAATATAATTCGACGAATGAATGCTAAAGATTCATGAAAAACGTTTAAAGTTAATTAAATTTTATAGAGGCCGATAAATTGTGGTTCGAGTTTCGGTTAAAAATCTGATTTCAGCTTACCTATTATGGAACTCGTCGGAATCGATTCCGATCGGAATAATTCCGTTTCCCCTAGAAAAGACAATAAAAATCTAGGAAATAACGGAATAAATTCGATCGGAATCGATTCCGACGAGTTCCATAACAGGTACCCTGAACTATTAAAATTGCATTAAATAGTACTCATCGAATTATGTAAGATGGCGCCTTCGAATTTAAATTTAGCGCTCGTAGATCTAAAAATATATATCAGTCATATAATTTTTATTGCGTGATTTTTTATTGCAACCGTTGTGTTTTTTAAACGCAGCCGATTTATCACATTCCTTCTGCTAGAAGCACTGTGCAATAAAAAATTACAAAATTCCCACGTAAGACAAAAAAAGCATATCGCATGTCTGTCTTGTCGTCGCATAATTCATGTTATCCAATATGGATGCAGCCGTGGATACCGCGTGTGAAGTGTGCGCGTGATTTATAACTTACCTCGACCGTATCCTAGTGTTTCAATCACTATTATAAAACTGAAGCATGATAACCTGCGCAATTTGCATCAAAAATTTCGGACAGTCGTGAGAAGGGAAAACTTGCAACATGGTGCACAGTAAAATATTCGCACGAAATCGTGCGCTCGGTTATGTTAGCAATCATATACCGCTGTTGACACGGTACATCCTCCGTAAGAAGGAGCATCTCATTGTTACGTGCATCGGCAGAGCGTTTCACACGTATGGATGCAAGCATTTTACGCTGCTGACCGTGTCCGGCCTACACCCGGATGATATCACCGCCATGGCCACCGACACGTTCCATGTGTACACTGCCAGCGCGAACAATGTGTATGCATGGCGTCGAGGGACAGACCTGAAGCACACCTACAAGGGCCACAAGGGCCCGGTACATCTCCTACTACCGTTCGGTGCTCATTTGCTATCGGTCGACGAGATAAGCAACGTGATTGTGTGGGACATCAAGGAGGAGACAATGTTGTTGGAGTTGAATTTCAGCAATACCATATTTAAGATCACCGCAATGATGCATCCCAATACTTACATGAACAAAATCTTGTTTGGCAGTAAGCAAGGTCAGTTGCAACTGTGGAACATCAAGAAAGCTAAGATGATTTACACATTCAAGGGATGGGGTAGCAGCATCACTGCATTGGAGCAAGCTCCAGCATTGGATGTAGCAGCTATAGGCTTGCAAAACGGCAAGATTATCTTGCACAATCTTAAGTATGACGAGAGCATCTTTGACTTGATGCAGGACTGGGGCTCAGTGGTATCCATCAGCTTCCGAACAGATGGCCAGCCGATCATGGCTACTGGCAGTCCAGACGGTCACATCGTCTTCTGGAATCTGGAACAGCGCACGATGGAGAACCAGATTACTCAAGTGCACGGCGCCGCCGTTACCGGACTGAAGTACATCCCGAACGAGCCGATGTTGGTCTCGTCCTCAGATGATAATTCTCTGAAGCTGTGGATATTCGACACGACCGGTGGCGCAGGCAGGCTTCTGCGTATACGAGAGGGTCATGCCGAACCACCGAGGCTGGTCCGCTTCTATGGGAACGATGGTAATTACCTGTTGACCACAGGTGGCGACTCATCGCTTCGGCTGTTCTCCACCGTCACAGAAATATTAAACAAAAGTTTAGGCAAAGCGTCGTTCAATCGGAAAGCTTCCAAACGAAAGTCTCGTTTGGAAGAGGACACGCTGATCATGCCACCGATCATAGATCTCTCCGCTGAAGTGACGAGAGAGAAGGAATGGTGCAACGTGGCAGCCATACATTTCGACTTGCCTGTAGTCTCCACGTGGTCGACTTATTTACAGAAAATGGGGGAGCTGAAGCTGGTTCCCGAGAGGTTCCAGAAAAATCGCAATCAAAACGTTACAGCAACCAGCCTGTACATTACCAAGTGCGGCAACTTTGTCGTGATTGGTTACAGTACAGGACATGTGGACAGATTCAATATCCAATCTGGTATCCATAGAGCATCGTACGGAGATGAGAAATGCGCTCACAAAGGTGCTGTCAGGGGTGTCATGGTCGACGATCTAATGCAAACTGTCATGACTGCTGGCCAAGACAAGCTGATCAAGTTCTGGGATTTCAAGCCCAAAGAAGGTATGTGTACTTTAGTCGTATAGTAAATGGTAGATGTTTAGACATTTGATTGATGAGGAAAAGAGTAATTGAATTTAATGAGGAAGCCTGTATCAAATTAAATATTGGAGATTGAATGTGTTGATTGAAAAATGGAGCTTAATCAATCAACATGAAACGAATCAGAATTAAAACCAGTCAATGCATGGAATTCCAGATTCTAATTCGCAATTTCTTATTCCTAATACATCTGGGATTCCACATCATGTAGCAATATAAATTATTTAGTATTATAATTTATTCCCGACAAGTCTAAATATTTCTTCTTTCTGATATAGCATGCATTCCTATTTCTTATTAGATATGACTGATGCGAGGACGATTATGAAGCTGAAACAATCGGTCCAATGGATACGATATCACAATGAGAGCTCTCTTGTAGCTATGTGCTTAGAAAATTACAACATTGTTTTATTGGACTTGGATACCAGGAAGATAGTTCGATGTTTTGAAGGACACATGGCCCCAGTAACAGATGCCTGCTTCAACCCTGACTCCAGGTGGTTGATCACAGCGTCTATGGACTGTACTATTCGTACCTGGGATATACCATCTTCACATATGATAGACATCTTTGAGGTAAACTCCACGTGATAATCATACGAAAGGAGGGGGGAAGATAGTTATTCAAGATCCCTTGAATAACTTTGAAAATATGCAACATAAAAAAAAATGTTAAATACAAAAGTTGTAGGGTTTTAAGCAAGCAATTAACATAGCAATATTAGTATGATCTTCAACAGCATTACGGTTATGGGATAGTTATTTTAAACTTTTTAAGTAGAAACCTCTATTTTTTATTATATCATCTTTGTCTACCAATTAATTTGAACTTTTGTTTGAAACATTTTTTATTTACGTAATATTTTTTGAGATATTTAAACTTGACAACTTTTCCAATATTTGATTTACGATATCTCAGTATCTGTTTATTGGAAGAAAAAGTGGTACTAGATTTTTTTACTCTATTTAGTCTAGTACTCTATTTAGTCAAGAATATGCTGTCACAATAGTATCCTAACTTGTTGATCTTTGGAAATTTTAAAATCATCAAACATCATGAGGAAATTACCAAGTTTTCCTTAAAAAAAAAAAAAAAAAAAAAAAAAAAAGATTTCAGACGAAAGTTATTCAAATTAATCGGTAGAAAAGGTATAATGAAAAATGAGGGTTCTTATTTAAAAAATTCAAGGTGACCTCATAATTTTGATGACCTGTTCAAGGTCATACTAGTACTGCTATGTGATATGTCATTAAAAATCCTACAACTTCTGTATTTAACATTTTTCCTATCTTGTATATTTTCAAAATTATTCAGGGAAGTCCAACCTTTTTCCCCATTTTATATATTTGAAATTTATACACAAGTAGTGGTATGAACCAAACAACAAAACATAAAACTCCAAGAGATATTTAAAAAATTTTTTTTACAGAAACTCTTAAATTCGATAGTCTGCAACACTAGAAGTTTTGTACGTTAAGCTATCCAGGATATTAGATTTATTTTTTTAAACTAAAATAGATTGCACTGTTTTGTCATTAGAGTGTAACAAGTATATAAACTACGTTGAAAAAAAAAAGGAATAAAGTTTTCCAGTACATTATTAGTTCAGCTAAAATGAACATCCTTTATTTATTTAAGTTAACGAGAGATACGCGTTAAGAACATGTTTACATAATGAGTTAACATAATGAGTATACTTGCAGGTAACCGAGCCTTGCGTGTCACTACACTTCTCCCCAACCGGCGAGTTTCTGGTGACGGCGCATCTTGGCAGCCTGGGAGTGTTTCTGTGGTCAAACCGTATACTGTTCTCACACGTCTCGCTGAAAGCCATCAATGAGGACGACATAGTGCCCGAAGTAGAACTGCCCGGCACGTCTATGGACACTGAGAAGCTCAACGAGGACAATGACGTCGTCGCCGTAGAGCCAGATTATGTGTCGCCCGAGCAGCTTGATGCTGCTCTCATAACAATGTCCGCTGTGGCGCAAACGAGGTGGCAAAATTTGCTTGACATCGACATCATCAAGCAGCGAAACAAACCGAAACAAGCGCTCAAAGTATCAGAAAGCGCACCCTTTTTCCTACCCACGATTCCATCACTTGATCTGCGCTTCGACTTCTCGAACGTTAAGGTCAACCAGAACTCTGAACAGGTGCATACGAATCCAACTTTGGAGGATTTTACGTTATTCAGCAGAAGTCTGCAATCTACCGCCACGACTGACGACTTTTCAGACGTGGTGGAGAAACTGAAGACTATGAGTGCTAGTGCCATTGATTTCGAGATCCAGTCGTTATCTATGGACGAGGCTTTGTCCATGTCGTTGTTGATGCAATTCATAAAGATGATTCACTACATGATGCAACGTCAGACGGACTTCGAGCTATCGCAGGCGTACCTGGCAGTGTTCCTCAAATGGCACAGCAGGACGTTAATAGAAAAGGATACATTACGAGATTATATGCGAGTGCTTCAAGAAATACAAAAGAAGAACTGGCATATACTACGAGATAAACTGTTTTACAATATTAGTGTTGTACAAAGTCTAAAAAAGATGTGACACAAACAAGTGAAACTGTTTTGGTATATTACGGCTCCTGGTCTTTTAGTCGAGAATTCCGCATTGACAACTCCGCGTAGAGTCGTAATGTCAGCGGCAGGAATAAAAGTCTTCTCCAGCGTATTTATCGTATGGTAATTGCAAGTAGATTTTGTTGCATGCTACGATTGATATAAGATAGACAAAGACAAACAGCGAATCTCTGTTTATCCTTGTCTCGCCGGATAGCTGAAAATCATAGCGGCTGCACGAGTCAGCGGTGATCTTATGGGCCAGAGCACACACTTCTGCATAACGCACAATACACAACGCATAAGAGAATCAACCAATCAGAGTTCTTCATTTCTGTCCTGAGGAGGGAAATGAAGGAAACTAATTGGTTTATTCTCTTATGTGTTATGTATTATGTGTTATGCAAAAGCCTGTGCTCTTGCCCTATCTCTCATATGTCTCTTCTTTCGCATGATGCTTTAGGATTAGGGTTGTCAACTGTCCGGTTTTGACCCGGACTGTCAAGTTTTTAGAAGTCTTGTCCAGTATCCGGTTAATAAGTCAAACCGGACGTCATATGTCCGGTTTTTAAGTTATATCCAATCAATGGAATGAAAGTTCAGATTTTTTAGCAACGTTTCTCCGTTTCAAGCGCCTATAAACGATCGAACGCCACGAAAAGCCATCTAGTAGATGATCTGCCAATCCATCATTCCATATATATATTAAAAAAGTAATAGTTTATTATTTTATTCAATCAAATCTTGTTTATAAAATTGTTTAGAAATTAATATTGTAAATAAATTCTTGTCATATTTTGTATTTAATGTAACGTTATGATTATTATTTCTGTCCGGTTTAATCCGGTTTGGGTTTGTTACCAAAGAAGAAATGTCCGGTAATTTTAACTTTTGGATTTGGCAACCCTACTTAGGATCCGTATATTATTATAGCGTCTTAAGGCTCGTCTACATTAACTGTAAGAGTAAGGCTGTAAGGTTGCAAGGCACGAAATGAAATATTTTCATTCGCTGACAGCTTACGTTACAGCCTTACAGCCTTACTCTTACAGCTATTGTAGACGAACCTTTACGCTATCTTGTGTTATGCGACATGTAAGCCAATTCTACAGAACAGTAACGTAATAGATCCGTTTACGTTGCTTACATTTTTGACACTTTTATACCTCACGCCTGTTGCACACCGGCTTCTCTTTAGAAAGAAGAGCTCTCATTCAATATCGTTCATCGCATCCGAGTGCAACAGGCATTAGATATAAAAGTTCAAAAGTGCAAGCAACGCGAACAAACCTAACGGTAACATAATAAAGATGAAAATTGTTCTCATTGCCGTAAGATTTACTTACATGTTGCATAACGCAAGGTTCTCACGTAAGTAGTATAAGGCGCTATGAGAATGAATGTGCTGTGGTCCTTAGCCAGATAGAAAAGCATTTGGAGGCTTGGAACCGAGTATACTGTTCAAAACTGAACGTTTTTTAAATGACTGATGTGTCTTAGATGTCAAATTTGTAAAAACAAATTTTAGTGTAATAAGTAAATACGAATGTAATATTATTGTATGTATATATAATACGTATGTAATATTTCTATTGACACACCAGAATCTTTACTGAACTCTTAGGCTTATATTTTGAACTCTCTTTTATCGCTAAAAGTGAGTCTAAAAGTGGCTTATAAGTTATTCTTGATTGGCTATAAGCCATTTTTAGAATTACTTTTAGTGATAAAAGAAAATTCAGAGTACGAGCCTTACTAAATTTTTGTCACAGCATTCATATGACAACTATTTATTTTTATATTTGTAATTCTTATGGGCTGAAATATTTAGTAGAACCATATCCACTAGGAATGATTTCACAATTACTTTTTGAGCAATACACAATAAAAACACATGAATATCGATATTCAGAATGACAGACTCAAAATATGTTCAAAAAATATTCGTTTATTATCAATTATACTTTATATATACAAATATCGAATAATATATCTACATTGAGATATCTGTTATTTTCTTTAGTGCGTCTGTTACATTGCATACACACAGAATTGCATTTACAAACTTCAATAACACATTTCGATGCAAATATATTCGACTGTACAACTTTGGGCGACCATTGCATCGTCCCTTATAAATAAAAGACAAAACTTTTACAACTCGAATCCATAGACGTATGAACGTGATAAATCTGAAACGCAGTATTCCGTCGATAATCAAAGTTAAAAAAGGAAGAAAAAATAGAAAAAAGGAAAAATGTATGTCACCTGATAATTCCAAAATGTTACGCTTTCTCATGAAGCTTCTGTTGATAAATCGCATAAGTACACTTTGTGGTGTGTGTGAATATGAGTATTTACAATTCATTCCTTGTAATTAAAGTAGCTCTGCAGCTGTTCTATTTTCACCGGCTCAAGATACAACTCGTTGATATACGGCTCGAAGTTGGTGACGATTCTGTAAAGGCTGCGCTTGATCGCGCTGCGCAAAGACATAAAGATCTCCCTGATCAACTTGTCGTCCGTCTGCACTTTCCTCGTGGACATGCTCGACTTGTGCAGCTTGTCGAGAGCTTGCTTCACCGACAGCAGGACGTAGATGATGGTCGGCACGTCCTTTTGCACGATACCGTAGGAATCTTCGGTCAAGGAGAACACAGTCAGCGACGAAATTGCCTCGGCGGCCCAGATCACCAGCTGACCGTTGGATAATACATAACGGATCTTGTGGTCCTCCTGCTCGCCGAAGATATAGTTGATGAGTGGCTTGGATAGCAGATACGCTACAAAGGCATCTCGTTTCTGCTTGATGAACTTCTGGAAGCACCAGCTGTTGCAAACGGTCTCCTTCGCACCAGTCTCGCACGTTGCCATCGTCGGTGGCGGTATATCCTGCACCAGCTTCCGCATGCGGTATAAGTAGTCATTATGCTGCATGCTCGTCGTGCCGGTTGTTGTCAGAGTTGGGCTGCTGTAGACTATCCGATCTTGTGGCTTTAAACATATGGTGTTGAGGTCAATGGTGAAGTTCTTCAAGAGATTCATGCATCTCTGCACCACGCAATTCCAGTTATAGGGATGGCCACCTGGCTGGCTGAGTGTGAACAATAAGATCCTCCTGCGTTGTTCTTTCTGAGCTATGTTAACTAGATCCAGATAGCCCAAGTGTTGCATTATCGGTACCTTGTCCATGGAGATTGCATCAGCGAGCGTCAACTCAGGATCGTCCGTACTGAAGGCACCGCTCGTGCCGATTTTGAACCAAACCCATTCAGTCATGTAGACTTCAAAGAGCAGATGTATGCTGCTGATCGTCAACACAAAGAGAAACTGATACAGCCACAGTCGCGATATCAACATGAAGTTTAGAAGCCTAGACACAGTGTCTAAAGCTTCAGATGGCTCCGACCGTACTGAAATTGTGTATAGTGCAGTGCGATAGTAAGAACCCAAGAAAAAATAAATCATCGTATAGTACATAGTCGACCAAATGGAGGAGAGTATCAACGTAGGCAGTATGGTGTAGACGCTGCGTCTCAGCCGGGAGAACTTGGACTGCGCTATGATGGGGAAGCGGAAGTATCTGCGAGTGACGTTGTTGTTCTTGACAGAGTAGTACAAACCACTCCAGCAGCCGCTGAGCAACAAGAAATAATACCTCTCGGCCAGACACTTGCCCTGACCGATGCTGCACTCGATAACCGGCGAACTGTATTTACCACCCATCAAAGACAAGTATAGCCAGACCAGGACACCGCCGATGACGATGTATGAGGCGCACAATAGCAGGTTCTGTGTCGTGAGAATCGCACATAACCTGGCGAATCTGCTCTTGTGGTATGATGGGCTGCGCAAGTAGATCTTGCTGCAGAGGTAACCCTGCAGGAAGGTCACCAAGGTAAGGATCAACAGGTAGATCCACATACGCAGCGACGTGAAAGCAAGCCAGGTCGCGTGCAGCCAATGCACATAGTCCGCGCTCAGGTTCGCAAACAGCACGAGGCAGCATACGAGGAAGAACTGCAACGTTACGCTGGACACGCTGGCGAGCAGCATTCGTTGCACCAGCAGCTCCTTGCAGCTCTTTTTCACGGTTTCGATCATCTTGTTGAAGCCGGTTAACCTCTATATGTACCTCGTCCTCGTCACAGCGGAAGTATCAGTTCGGTTCGTGTGTACGCCGTAAGATAAGGCTCTTCAAGAACTGTGTGCTCCAAACCGACTAGCACGCTATAACGTCTCCCATCACACAATTCTTCGATTTCACTTCCTTTGCGATCATTCGAACAGTTACACGCATTGCTTCGTGCATTTAACATTTCAAAATGCCGCAACCTAACGTTACCTAGATGGTGAGCATATGACTTCTTTTCAAGAACGCAATTCAACAGATGCAACGCAGCCGCGAACTATTGTATTTGAACCGGAATTGTTTCTTTAATTGCAAGATTAATATAATCAAGAAATATACAATAGATATATAATTGCATTAAAAGAAATATAATCTAAGTATTGGGAACAGCGGGGAGAGGAGAATAATAAATGAAAAGTGCAGCTGAAGAGAACAAGTGTATTCGTCGTTCTAGTAACTGCAGCCAGCGATATCTTGATGCCTCTAGGAAGTATTTTTTCATTGGCTGTCGAATGTCCAATGCGTGACACGCAATTTGAATTTGAATTCGAAAATTATTCTAGAGCTATCGTTGGATTGGCTTGCATCGATCTGTGCAGCCAATTAAAAATCCCATATTAAATGCTGGACCAATATTGACTCGTAAAGACTCATTTAAGTACTTTCTGCACTTCTGCACTTTCATTCTTTCCCGATCACCAATTTTATCGCAGTAATTTTAAATACAGGATCGAAGAAATGATTTATCAGGAAAAGCTAACAGCGACTCTTAATGGAGGATTTCGATGAGCTTGAAAAGCCGAATACGAAATAAGGGTGAGAAAAAACAATATTCTGAACTAATGTTTAAATAATAGCGTGCTGTAACGTGTACATGGATAGAAATATGTCGAAGGTAAACGAGAGTTATTGTTTACAAATTTGTTTACAAATAATTATGCTATCTGACGACAGAAACGATGAAATACCAGTGAAAGATGAAAGTCACGATATATTCCAGTTTTTTTCTGCGATAATATTTAAAACGTCAAAACGGTTATGACAAGTTAATATATTTTTCGAGCGTGTTTTAGCGTCTTTCTCGACGGATCAAGAACGGAAATATTTCGAAGGAACGTGAACAATTATCTTTCGTGGCACGAGAGGGACACTTGTGTTGCAGTGTAGTACATATTAGAAATAGCCTAATTAAAGTCTGCAGCTCTGATGTTTACGGCGACGGTGTAACTGGTTGATATCTCACGTGCTATCGCACGACACGCTGATACGAGCCCAACGCAGAGGAAGCGAACAGATGGAGAAAGTCGACCCCTGAGGTCAGTCGTTTCTCATCTCCTTCTGTTTATCATTCTCGCCGTCGATACGACCAAGTGTTGCGCGAGTCACGAGGCGCAATAAAATGCTGCGAGTCGACCGAACGTCCGCAAACATGAACTCGCGAAGATCGCGGAGGGACTCGGATTTCGTCCTCTCGAACTTCGGTCAGAAAGAGCATCTCTTCAAGTTCCTAGTGATCGGCGACTATGGCGTCGGTGAGTGATGTGAATTTGCTTAACTGTTTTTTAATATGGCGTTGTTCAACTAACGACTGGCGTTTAAACACACGACTCATCGCTTGTGTCGTTGACGTTTCAGAAAATGTTACAACGTTCTCTTCTGCGCGATAAGATAGGCGGATACAATCTGCCCGATAATCATCCCGATTTTATTGATCATACGAACATCAATTGTGTACGATCACGTTTGTTCAATGGGTTGCATGCGATTATTATGAGAAAATTATGTGGATGAAACTTTTTCAGTTAGTACAAGACGCATCCAGAATAATCTGATTGTGCTATCTAAATTCGTTCATAAAAGTGTACTGCAATGTTTTTCTAAAATTTCGGAGTGACTTTAAAAAGTTAAAAGACTTCCATCAAAGTTTTACAAAACTCTTATAGAAGTCTTTTTGTAGCATACTTTAAGTATACTTGAAGTTTACCTATACACAAAAAAGTCGCAGCAACATCGCTGCAATGTTGAAACAATGTTGTAATGTTGCAGCAATGTTCTTTCAACTTTGTGTGCTGGAGTTTAACAAATTTTGAAAGATATCTATGAAATATCTTTTACAAAATCGAAGAAATTTCTTTTTGTAGAAACCTGCATATCGCACGATATTTCTTTCTTCGGTCTTTCACAGATAATGTTTATATTTCAGGTAAAACCGCGCTGGTTCGGAGATACACGGAAGGTAACTGCGCGATTACTCGTTCTTTCTTTCTCTATTTATTGTCGATTCGAGAGTCGTTTCACGAGAACCCGTTGACAGCCGTCAGCGTGGACGGGCGTCCGCGTGAAATGCCTCGAGACCGATTACCGTCGCGCTCGCAGAGACAAGTGCGATTCGGATCTCGTCGAGAGATTATCGTGTATACTCGAAGAAGAGGAAATGAGATACGCACATGCAAACCGGCTCATCTGCTCTGAGAGACACGTGCTCTCTAAAAAAAAAATGCACGCGTGCGGCCGCAGCTGCGAGACCGCTGCTAATCCGCACGCCGGCGCCACTGCACACCGAAACTGTCTTTTGCAGGGAAGTTCTCGTCGAATTACAAGATTACCATAGGCGCCGACTTTGCGATCAAATCACTCGATTGGGATCCACACACTAAAATAAACTTGCAGCTATGGTACTGGTCTATGTGCACTCGCATCTATCTTATCTGTCCTTATCACATTTCTATTTACTTTACCCTTTTTCTGTCTTTCTCCTCGAGTCTTCCTTCTTTGCCGTTTTATTTGAATACTGTATCTCGTCGAGGAGAAAGAACCGCAGCAGAGAACGATAATTCAATTCTGAATTTCAGGGATATCGCCGGCCACGAGAGATTCGGATACATGACGAGGGTTTATTACAAATACGCGTAAATATGACTTTAAACGTACTCTTGAAACCAATCGACCTTGCTCCGTTTATTCTCAGTGCGATCAATATACAAGATGGCTCTCACAGAGCGAAAAAAATCCTTTTGGAGTAACGAGACACTGTATGAAAACACGACCCTATTCTAAACATCTACGACACGGGAGTTGCAAACATCTCTACCCAATTAGAACCACAACGTTGACTCAAAGTTGATTCATCAACCATTTCAACCACATGAAATCAATCTCGAATCAACGTTATCGTTCTGACTGGGTACATTTGTTTACTTATGGGTACTTGGTTCTCTGTCCAAGATATTGCATTATTATCGAGACGAAACTAGCAAGATTTATAACTCGCATTGTACTGAAAATGTTGCTCGTCCGTTCGTCCATTCGTTTGTTTCTTTCTTTTCAACTGATGATTCCTCGCTCGTTGATTTAACCTGTGTGTAGAGTGGCCGCGGCTCTCGTATTCGACATCTCACGCATGGCGACCTTTCAGTCGATGAAGAAGTGGCTGTGCGATCTCAGGGAGAAGGTCACCCTGTCGGACGGCTCGAGCATACCGATCGTACTGCTGGCAAACAAGTGCGACATATCGGTCGCCGTGACCAACGAGCAGGTCGCCAAGTTCTGCAGGGAGAACAGCATAGACGCCTGGTACGCGACCTCCGCGAAAAATAACACTAACGTCGGTGGGTATCGGATCGAAGCTCAGACCGGTTATTGAAAAGTAAAGTCCTTGTAGATCAGATAATAGAAGTTGACGAGTTGACTAACTTCGATTGGTTTAAATATTCATATTTGTATCTCATATATTCCCCAATCTTCAATAATTAACCGATTCTTTTAATCGAGAACAGGATTGGGAAGTAACTCGTTATATGTATAACGAAGTTATAGTTAGTTATTTTTTCGTTTTTGGGTAATAGCTTAACTTTGTTCCTTTTTTTATTTATGGGTCGGTTGTTCCAACTTCTTGTTAACTGATGGTTAAATCAAATGTTTATCTTTGTTATTTCTTCAGTTTAGACAAAGACAGACAAATGATTTAACTATCAGTTAACTTACCAAGGAATTGGAACAACCTGCCCTATAACTGTAACTTAACTTAGTTACATTTGTTTGATTGTACTAGTAATTAATTTAACAGTTACTTTAATAGTTACTTCACATATTTCAAACTTAAATTTCTGGCAGACTAGCACGATAACGCGACGTGCGATGGTTGATATCCAATAAGCATACAGTTATTCTGGCTGCATTTGGAAAACGCGCTATTGCGTCATCTATCTTTATCGTTCATTAGATGTAAAACATGATGCAATAGCACTGATAGTCTCCTCTCTGAACGCAACCTTTTTATTTTTTTCGAAAAAAAATTGTATGCCTATTGGACATTTCCAATGCGCGTCGGCAGTTCTTCTTTGTTAATATAATCTGCATTCAGCGTGAAGTGCGCTGATTTCAGTTATATAAAAAATTCGAGCAATAGATAAAACATCTCAATCTTCGGAGAAGGATTGTAAAATGCCATGATCAGCATATGCAGAAATATTTGAGTTGTGGTAAAAACTTGGAAACAAGAACAACTGGACATTTCTCTGTCTAGTTGTCATGAATAGTTTTAAAAAATAAATATGAATTATTATTTATTTAAACTGTATGCTTGATAAATCCAATTTATAAAAATTATATGCAATATAAGGAATATATAATAATCAACAAACTACTTTTATATAAAATTGAAGGAATTTATACAAATACGAAATTTAAAATAATAGCACTATTATTGTAAAAAAGTAATTGAATAGTAACGACTCGTTAGAAAAGTAACGACTTACTCTCTAAATAACTATAACTGTAACGTGTTATTTTTGAAGGTCAATATAACTCGTAACTGTAACTAGTTATTTTTTCAATGAAAAAAGCCATAACTGTAACTAGATATTTTTACACAAAATAACTTTCCCAACCCTGACCGAAAATTTGGTTCAGGTTTAGTTTTGAATCTATCTCTCGCTCACTGTGTAGACCATATATGCTGTGTAATTTTACATTCGTTATCGAATTTGCGGGACTTGCCGAATTTCACGTTGTTGAATTTGCAGATGCAGCGATGCGTTACTTGGTAGAGAAAGTGCTGAGTGCGAAGATCGACGGCGGCATACGCGACTCGATACGATTGCGCGAGGTCTCGCTGAATCGCGAAAGATCTAGCTGCTGCAAATAGAATGACGTGCAATCGGTTTGGGATTGTCAATTTGTCCACACGATCATCGGAGCACGATCGTCGAGAACAATGTGCGAACGACTGAAAGACTGCCGAACACGAAGATTGAACATGAGGAACTTCATGCGAAACGACGGCGAAACAACGCGATATAACTTATCTTTTTATGAAAGGTTCATATATTACAGCAGTGTACATACAACATTGTTTTATATTATAATCTTTGTAGTTACGTCACTTTTCCTGTTGATCGCGTCAAAATATAATCTACTGCGCAAACAAATCTTTACAAGTTGCACACTTAAAATATATAACAAAATATCTATGACAATCTACTGTTGTTGGCTGGAGTCTTTGGCGAGAAAGAACTCGCCTGTCGGACGTGCACGTGACACGACACGAAGTTCTTGCTATGAAAGATGATTTTTTAGGATAATCCGTATACTCGTCGATTGTTCTAAGAAATCCTCGTACAAAACAGAAAAAGAAAATTGTGTCAAATTATATCGCCATATCTAATTGCAAGAGCTTCTAAAATGTAACTTGGGAGATGATGCAGCGCGACGCAAATACATTGTCTGTTTGTTATTCGAAACTTGTTATTAAAACTAAACAACGAGAGGCCGCTGGTGATTGCTCGTTCAACTGGCTTCATTGACTGAGTTTCAGGGCGTCGTGCAGCGAGTTCATGATACTATGCACGCAATCAAGTACGGATGCAGAGAACGAACTACTTTCGCACGAATCCTCAACGTATATCGCTCAAAATAAAACTTCTTTCTAATGTTTCCTCTACGATAAACTAGATTTCTTGTCTATGTTCAACCGCCTCAACACCACTTTAGCACCTTCCGTCATATCCTGAATGAACTTCAGCATTTCAATGCGCACGTTGCCCGTTTTGATGTCTTCTGGGCTGTTCAAGGACCGGAGTCGTTGCCTGAGGCACCGCTGCTGAGTCGCGTTGTTCTTGTTGTGCACGTGCAAGTCGTGGTAGAAGTCCTCGGTGATGTCCTGCAGCTTTCTTGACGAGCTGTGTCGCGTCCGCATCTCCGAGAGCGTGGTCACTTGCGAGGTAGAATGAGTCTCCTGGGTCTTTCTTTTCCTGCTTCCCATGCCGCCGTTATAATCTGTAGTGTCCTCGACATCAATCTTTATGTCCTGATCTTTATTCTTCGTTTCCTCATCATCAGAGTTGTCCACAACTTCGATAAACTCGTCCTTTGTGTCGACATCTAAGTCACAGTTCTTCTCCGATGAAAGGTTTTGGTGAATGTTTTCTTCATCTAACTTACAAACGTCGACTTCCCATTCCATCAATTGCTCTTCGTTCTCCATTGCGTTTTTGCTGGCCAAATAGTTGTCGTTATTCGCGATATCGGAATGGATTTGTTGTTGTTGTTGCCAATGAGATTGAAGAAGACTCACTTGATCCGACGGAGCACCTATCGCGAAAGCCGTATTATCCGCAGACGTCGTGTCCTGCGTCTCTTCTTTGTCGTCGTGCGCAGCCGAAGAAGTTTCTTTGGCAGTTGGTGCCGGAGGGAACTTGCGCGTGTGCCGCAGAATCTTCTGCAACGCTAGTGGTATTTCCTCGACAGTGATTGCAGTATTCGAGATCACTCTCGGGACATTGGTCTCCCACTTGGAGGACTTGGGTTTCTTTTTAGAAGTCTTCACAGTTCCGCTCGCGGACATTTCATTGGAATCTGACGGGAGACGAAACTGTGGCGGTGAAACGTCGTGCTTCTTCATGAACGTGGTTGATTTGCCGGTTTCTTCGACGTTCATGTCATCCATTAACAGATCTGTATCTAACGGATCTGCGTTCTTGTCGACTGGAAATACCGTCGAGCGAAAGACTTCGGGGACGATATCCTCTTCCTCGTCCTCCTCGTTTTGTATCTCTACGTCTTGTACTTCCTTTTCATCCCCTATATTCTTTCTTTCTTTTCCTTCTTCTTCGTTTATCAGTTCGACGTCATCGTAATGCTGCGTGCATTCTTCGTCTTCCTTACGACTGCCATCTTCCCACTCCATTGATTGCTCGTTCCTCTCCGTCGCGTTCCTGCTCGTCGTGGTCGAGTAGCTGTCGTTACTCGCGACGTTGGAATAAGCTCGTTGCTGTTGCCAACAAAATCCTCGTGACTTTGACTGATCCACCGTGTTCTGCCGCTCATAATTGGGAATGCCCAACTTGCCCGTCGTTCTATTTATATAATCAACATCGTCCAAGTGATATGCAACATTGCCGACATTGAGCGCCGACGAATACGAGCTATTGCCAATCATATTGTGGTTGATTTTGTGCTGCTCGTCTTTGTCGCGTGGCGGTTCGATCATCGTTATCAGGTTCTCCAGTCTCAGCAAGCTCGAATTCAACAGACACTTCTCCCCGGCCTCGGTCTCGACCTTCTCGGAATTCTCCAGCACCTCGTCCACCTCAAGCTTGGTCTTCTGCTCGATCACAGCCATACTATCCTCATCTTGTCGAATGGTAAACATGAGACCCTCCATCACTAGATCAGTGATGTTGGAAGAACGCAGTACCTTCTCGTCCAATACGGATATTTTCTTCTCCCTTTCCCTGCTCCTCTGCTTGCGTGCTCTGTTGTGTGACTTGTTGTGTGTACTGTTCTGCACACGATCGTTGACGGGACGAGTCGAGGTTGAACATCGCTTGTCCGACGACTCGTCGGCTGCCTCGCTACGCTGTTGTTTACGCGTGGATTCCTCGTTGACCTTCTCGGTTTCCACCGTCGACGCAAAGTTCTCGTTTGAATTCTTCGCTTCGGATGTACCTCGCTGAGAACTCTTTTGCATCCACTCATTGGAAACTGGCGAAGATGTAGTTGACCTCGCGTTCAACCGATCTGGTTTCGTATTATCAGTATTTTTCTGGGTACAATATCGATGCGATGCTCTTCTAGAATCCACAATACTCTTATTGGTCTCGTCAGCTGAATTGTTCTTATCAACGCGTTCTTTCCGCATGGAATCTTCGTTAGAATTTCTTTTGTTCAACAATTCGACGTCGTTCTTGGTTATTACTGTGGTCGGAAAAGAAGGCTTGGCCGGAGGAAACACTTGATGCTTCTGCATTTTCTGCGCTACCTGCCCCTTCTGCATTTCTACGCGTTTAGTGTCCTCATTTGTACCGTCTGTACGCTCAACTTGAATCACATTCTTCTTCTTCGCTGTCCTCGATTGATCCCGTCTGTGAGCAACGGCATTTTCCTGAGCATTTTCATGAACAATGTCCTTTTCGGATTTTCTGCTGCTAGAATTCCTCAACTTATCGACACATATGCTATCGCGAAATTTTGATGCATCATTTGATGCATTCTGATTTTGTTTAAACATCAGACTGATTCTCTTGTCTGCATAAGTCCTGGTCCTTTTCCTTAGAGGCATTTTGTCCGTGGTGTGTGTCATACTTTTTGCAATTTTCTCATCGATATCACTTTCTGTACTGTGCTGATCGATGAGACCCTCTTCGGTCGTGGTGGTGCTTTTAATTCTTTCATTCAATCTTTCACAAAAATTATCAGATTTCTCTGTAATATTATCCTGGAGAGCGGAATCCGTCGGAGTTTCTGATGCATTATTTAACGCATTCTGATTTTGTTTAAACATCTGACTGATTCTCTTGTCTGCATAAATCCTGGTTTTCCTTGGAGGCATTTTGTCTGTGCTGTGTGTCACACTTTTCGCGGCTCTCTCATTGATATCAGTTTCTATACTGCGTTTATCAGTGAAGTCTTCTTCGGTCGTGGTCGTGCTTTTAACTCTTCCATTCGACCTCTCACAAAAATTGGTAGATTTCTCTGTAATATTATCCTGCAAAGTGGAATTCGTCGGAGTTTGTAATGCATTATTTAACGCATTCTGATTTTGTTTACACATCTGGCTGATTCTCTTGTCTGAATAAAACCTGGTTCTCCTTGGAGGCATTTTGTCCGTGGTATGTGTCACACTTTTCGTAGCTTTCTCATCGATATCAATTTCTGTACTGCACTTATTGGTGAAGTCCTCTTCAGTTGTGATCATGCTTTTAACTCTTCCATTCGATCTCTCACAAAAATTGGTAGATTTCTCTGTAATATTATCCTGCAAAGTGGAATTCGTCGGAGTTTGTAATGCATTATTTAACGCATTCTGATTTTGTTTACACATCTGGCTGATTCTCTTGTCTGAATAAAACCTGGTTCTCCTTGAAGGCATTTTGTCCGTAGTATGTGTCACACTTTTCGTAGCTTTCTCATCGATATCAGTTTCGGTACTGCACTTATCGGTAAGGCCCTCTTCGGTCGTGGTCGTGCTTTTAACTTTTCCAATCGATCTCTCACAAAAGTTAGTAGATTTCTCTGTAATATTATCCTGCAAAGTGGAATTCGTCGGAGTTTCTGATGCATTATTTAACGCATTCTGATTTTGTTTACATATCTGGCTGATTCTCTTGTCTGAATAAAATCTGGTTCTTCTTGGAGGCATTTTGTCTGTGGTATGTGTCACACTTTTCGTAGCTTTCTCATCGATATCAATTTCTGTACTGCACTTATCGGTGAAGTCCTCTTCAGTTGTGATCATGCTTTTAACTCTTCCATTCGATCTCTCACAAAAATTGGTAGATTTCTCTGTAATATTATCCTGCAAAGTGGAATTCGTCGGAGTTTCTAATGCATTATTTAACGCATTCTGATTTTGTTTACATATCTGGCTGATTCTCTTGTCTGAATAAAACCTGGTTCTCCTTGGAGGCAATTTGTTCGTGGTATGTGTCACACTTTTCGTAGCTTTCTCATCGGTATCAATTTCTGCACTGCAGTTATCGGTGAGGCCCTCTTCGGTCGTGGTCGTGCTTTTAACTTTTCTATTCGATCTCTCACAAAAATTAATAGCTTTTTCTGTAATATTATCCCGGAGAGTGGAATTCGTCGAAGCTTCCGATGCATCATTTAACGCATTCTGATTGTGTTTAAACATTAGATTGATTCTCTTGTCTGAATAAATCCTGGTTCTTCTTGGAGGCATTTTGTCCGTGGCATGTGTCACAGTTTCCGTAGCTTTCTCATCCATACCTGTGATGTTATTTATATTTTCGAATGCAGCACTTGCGTTGGCTTCTTTGACGATTGGATATTTCAAGTCGAACAGCGGTTGCTCTTCCGAGATCTTTATAGTCAATACGAAAGCGTGTGAAAATGCCGCAGCGTCGGTTCGTTGCTGAAATTTCAGTATCGCAAACATCTTATCCTGACGTGTCCATGATGTGCAATCTGTTTTTTTGTAATTACATCAGAGTGAAGGAATTTATATACAATCATTGAAGCTTATAATTCTATTTTTATTTTATAAAAGACTATTTAAAAAAAGAAAAGATAACACGTCATCAGAAAAGGATACTGTATGTAACGAGAAGATGCTGCGTGCCGAATTGCTGACCCTGCGACGGGTGGCATTTTATAATCTTTCGAATGATCTTCAACAGTTCCCTTCCATATGAAAATTGTGTGATATTCCTAAAAACATAAACAATATTATATTATCAGTGAGAATAAAACAGCATGTTTGACATTGATGTCTTACTTTATTGTACGGTGATATTTGAAGATGAACTTATATATATTCTTCTTATGACATAGCCAATAAGAACCAGGCACTGTTAAGAGGGACTCCTTCTCTTGGTTGAGCCAATCAAGTGGGCTAAACGTATGTACATGTATTCCAGGCATTTTCTTTCTGGCAGCAAATCTTGAAACAATGGAACCAATCTTCTGGAATCCTGTCTGCCAACTGACTCTCTTACAATGATTGTGAGACAATAGAGCACTCTTTGCTGAAATCATCCATTTGTAAGACCATTTTGTCCCTTTCTATCGACAGAAAATATAATAAACTTACCCCTTTTATGACTTCACCAATAAATATATCCTCCACTGTGTTCCATGGTAAGAACTCGGTAGATGTAAAAATGCCAAATGTTCTTTTACTTTCAATGTGTATGCCTATAGATTCTACAACCAACAGTGTATCTGCAAATATCCCATATTAATCGATCAACAGTGCAATTTATTTGTTATTTTCTGTTAGAGAGGATCATAAGTTACCTTGCTTGATAGAAGCAAGAAATGATTTATACTGTAATGTTAATACGCATGTTGATACAACAAACAGGATTGAAATTCCTGATACGATCCATAAGAACAAAGTTATGCAGGAAAATACTAAGCACAGGCTGACGTTAAAATGTTTCTTGCTCTGCAAAGCAAAATTTATGATATTGTCAGCATTTGAACTTCCTTTTTCCTCCAAGATTAGTTGTTCTCCATCTGCATTCCTAAAGAGCAATTCAGTGGAAAATGCTTGTGTAAAGAAATTCGACGACATTAATATTGCTTCTGTGTACAAGCATTTGACATACAAGTTGTCAAGTTTCTTGGGACGACTCTTATTCTACACAATAAGAATATAGCTGCATCTGAAGATAAATATCGCATTTGTACTATCCTTGTATTTGTATTATCCTTATTACTTTTTGAGATGCATCTGAGTAATCTAACATGTATACTTACCACACTTGCTTATTCAATTTTATATTCAGTGATAAAATATCGAGTATTTCCCAAAGTGCATATCTTGTTTCATAGAATATATAAGATTCAATTAACAGTTCAATAAATATAGATGATGCAGCTTTATCCTGTCAATTAAATAGCAACTGTAGACATTAGGCTTGCATACATACTAACATAAAAAAAAAAAAGATACATATAAATATGAGCTCATATAAAATCAACGTGAAACGGTGCCGCATAATTGAAAAAATACAAAAAAGAGAGAGAGAGAGAAAGAAGATGCGATTACCTTAATTATTAAAATGATTTTGTTCTATATTCCTTAACCAAATATGCATACATATGTATATTTAATGTAAATATTCAAGAATGTAATAAAAGGAATATCGCTGCTCCTCGTTTCTACGACCACGTCTCAAAGCTGCTTTCCATGAACGGCTTCAAACCCGTGTGCTAACGTCACGTCGAGATACCATGAGCAATGAATTGCCAACGATGCATTAACAAGTTTCCCTCATCATTCGACAATTTTACAAATATCTACAAATGCATCTGAAATGAACACGTCTGGAAAATCGTAGCTTGCTTGTTGAAAAAAAACCGCCTTTAAGACAAGCGTGGAAGCATCAAGTGACAAATTTGTCCGTATATCTTCGTCCGAGATATCCGCTTTGCTGGATGTATATTGAATAATACAGAATTTTCGGATACGCTGTTCGAGCGAGAAGAGAGAAACGTGGAATCTACGGAAGCAGTGGGCCAACAGAGCAACGAAGAGCGGCATGACGCGTTAGAGCGCTCGAATCGACTGCAGTCACGGCGGCCGATCGGAGAGGGAGAGGGAGTGAAACAGCACCTGCTGCCATTCTGGCATTACGTCAATGGTGGACGTCTCATTCGCTGGTTTGGGAGGAGTTGCTGTGACCGCCATTGTTACAACTCCGTCGTCGTATTACACGGAGCCGTGAATCCGCGCTTTCCCCGTGGCCGCGCATCTCGTTGCGATTACCGAGGAGTCGTCATCTCCGTGTCCGATATTTAGCGCGCGTACAGTCAATCAGACGACGAGCCGTCAGCCAAACGCGTTCTCACGGCGTAGCATGTCCACGATGAATCCCGAATAGTGAGTAAACTACCTTTCGCGCAGACATAAGCGCATCGGAGCTGTCGCGCGTCCGTATCGACGTGGACGTTCCGCGCGAAAACGAGAGGGAGGACGCGACGCGTCGAGACCGCTTTTTCCGCGACCAGACGGAGGCCGTTTGATCCGTGCGATCGCGAGGAGCCGTGAAAAAAGCATCTCTCGCTCTCCGCCGTCTGACAGATTCGCCCTCCCCTCCCGTCCCTCGCTTCTCGCTATTTCCACACGACACTCGCTGCTGTGTCTCGTCTTGATATTTTGTATCGCGTGTCGCGCTTGCTATCTACGCGATCGCCTTGAGATCGAGATCGAGATTGAGATCGCGATCGTTCCTCTCTCTTCATGCGATGACATAATCGCAATCGGCGAACTTTGGAATTCGTGAGATCGCCGATTTGCGAGATGTTTAGCGCACATTAATATTGGACTTTGCATCTTCATTGTCTAATCCGGGAACCTACATTTTGCGTATAAACAAGAGATCGTTCCTTCTCCGTCTCGCATTCGCGGGAACATGTTCGTTGATTCTCCACCGCGAGCGACCGGCGATACAACCGGAATACAACCAGCTGAGACGTTCCTCTTGTTTCAGCGATTACCTGTTCAAGTTACTTCTAATCGGAGACTCTGGTGTCGGCAAGTCGTGTTTGCTGTTGCGTTTCGCCGATGACACGTACACAGAGAGCTACATCAGCACCATTGGCGTAGACTTTAAGATTCGTACCATTGACCTGGACGGGAAGACGATAAAGCTGCAGATCTGGGATACCGCGGGTCAAGAACGGTTCAGGACAATCACGAGTTCGTATTACCGCGGTGCCCACGGTATCATCGTTGTTTACGACTGCACGGACCAGGAGACTTTTAACAATGTAAAACAGTGGTTGGAGGAGATCGACCGTTATGCATGTGATAACGTCAACAAGCTGCTAGTCGGCAACAAATGTGATCTGCATACGAAAAAAGTGGTTGACTATACAATAGCTAAGGTAAAGTAACAAGGCACATGTCTCTCTCTCTCTGTCTCTCTCTGTCTGTCTGTCTGTTTGTCTGTCTGTCTTGTTACATTTGATCGCAATATCGTTACTTCTCACTCTCTCAAGCATGGTTCTGTTTTGCAAATGCATCTGTTTTATTTTTGTGTCTTCTTGTGAGCAGGAATATGCAGATCAACTCGGTATACCATTCTTGGAAACCTCAGCGAAGAACGCGATGAATGTAGAGCAAGCCTTTATGACAATGGCCGCGGAAATCAAACTCAGAGTGGGCCCACCGTCGAGCGGAGCGAGCGATCCGGCCAACAAGGTGAAAATAGAGCATGGACGTCCAATCGAATCGTCGAAGTCCGGATGCTGCTGAGAACTGTAATTTTGCGTCCCTTTAACCAAAGTAAGCGACATTAAGCAAGAGAGCGAAAGAGGGAAATAGAGAGGGGGAGATAGTGAGGTCTACGCGATGAATTGACCTCGAGCAGGCACAAGTCGTTGAGGGGGATGGTAGTGAGAGAAAGAGAGAAAGACAATCGCAATCTTTTGTTTTGCAGAAACATCTAACGGTTGCGGTCCGAGTACTGCGGAAAATAAACTTATTACCGGAGAACATAAGAGCGCGTACATGGAAGTTTCAGTTTATACCAACAGAGGAAGAAAGCAAAAAAGAGAAAACCCTAATATGCAACAAATACACACAAACACACATACATACACATACACTCTCTCTCATGGACCATTGTCAACTCCTGTCGCGTGGAGTTGCACAAAAGTCTCTTGGTCGCCTGACCTTTTCTCTTTCCTCCTCTACTTCTTTTTTTTGTTGTAGTTAATCTTACTGAGGGAGAAAGGACGCGACGATTGCTCGACACTATTTGTTATAGCATAAAAACTTCGATCTTAGATAAATTCGTCGAATTAGCATCGATCTTAAACGTCTGTCGAGTGTGCGTGCGTGCGTGCGTGTGTGCGCGCGCGCGCGTATGCGTGCATGCGTGCGAGCGAATATGCGCACGCACGTAAGCACGCAGTAATGAGCGACCCGAGAATTTTGAAAAAAAAGATTAAGTCGAATAATGTCGTGTATGGTGGTTATAAAGAGTAAGCACTTTAATTTCTTTTTCTGTCTGTTTCTTCTCTTAGCCTAATTGTAATGTGTACAATTGAAGTATGTATGCGTTTTGTGGTCGTGCAACGACACGCCTACCCTTTCCTTCCCCTCGATCCGCTGCGTTTTTATTCCTCCTAATAACTATACTATCCCGGAACATTCTTTCCCACATATCTCTTTTGTTCCGTTCGCACAGTTTTCCGAGATGCGCGCGCGCGCGTGCGAAAACTCTTCTCAATCGAATCTGCCCCCTTTTCTTTTCTTTTCTAGCGAGATTCGTGGGCGATAATCGCCGTGCCCCACACCCTCACAAACATCTTTCTCACCGCTCATTAGTGTAATTTAATAACATATTAATAAATATTTCAACATTAACTCTCTTCTCTCGGAACGCATACATAGCGCACCTCTATGGTATATACATACGTATATATGTGAATATATATATATATGTGTGTGTGCAAATTATTGCATGTGATGACACGTGCGCCGAGAGGCAAGCCAGGAGAACTGTAGCGTAAATCTTTCGTTTGCATTTTCTGTTATTGGTAGTGTCGTTTGATCTTTTTTGTAATTCAGATACGAGCCGATCAGAGAATTTTACCGCGTTTCGACTCTTATGCGTTTCGAATAGAAAGAACATGAAAGAAAGGGAGAAAAAAGATGAGGATATTTTATACGAGCTAAGATATATAGTTACATTTAATCTCCATAAATCGTATCTTTGTATCGTGAGAATGCTACTATGACGGGTATACGATAACGGCACTCGAAATAAAAAAAGTTTACAGATATAGTAACTGTAATTATATAAAATACAAAGGAATAAACAGCCATCTATAAACAGAAGCCCGTCCCTTGACTTTGCGCTTTCGGTGTTGCCATTCACTTCCACGTATAATCATTTTCTTAGTCATAGCACTGTTACATGCGTGATCGTTAGCGGAATATTTATGAGAGTGGTGGTAGTAGTAACAAAGAAGATTAGTCTCTAGGTAATCACCTGCCACGTGTTTCGTAAGCCTAAAAAAATCAATCGCAGGAAATCCCGTTTGATATTGCGCTTGGCAGCGTAACTGGTATGTGGCGCCATCTAACGGTATCATGGAGGAACCCGCTCATACAACTGGTTTGAGTCTTGGCCAGATCTCATGGAAAATTGGCAAATTGTAGAGTTTGAGTCTTTACTAAAATTGTTAAAAATCGCTAATTGCAATCGTGATTTAGTTTGGTTAAATACAAATCTCACAATCTCATTGTCAGCTGAAACTTGAACCACATTCAGTTGAGGCTCGAATCATTTTTAGTCGAGACATATATGAGACAAGATATGAAATAAATATAAGCTATAAATAAAGGAATAGATTAATAAGAAGATTTCATATGTAAGAAATGACTTTAAATAATAGCTGTATCGGTCAGAGTAAAGCCAGCGGCACACGGTGCTTGTTTTCGTGCTGGATTGCTTGCTGAATGAAAATATTGCGTTCTGATTGGTGCATTTCCGAAGATGGATGGAAATGCACCAATCAGAACGCAGTATTTTCATCCAGCAAGCAATCCAACACGAAAACAAGCACCGTGTGCCGCTGGCTTAAATGATAATTTTGAAATTTGAAGTCGTAATGTGTCTCGAGGACGAATTAGACGAACTTTTAATTTTTAAGTAGTACAACTTAATGACAAATGAGGCAAGCCTTTTACGAACTTCAGTAGCTCAATCGAACAGCTGATCGGATAAGCTCGTTCGTCTTTGTTCTCCAACGAAAGATAAAATTTCTTTGGTGTAACAATGAATAATTTATACAATAAATAAATAAATAAATAAACGACATCAATAGTGATGATCATCATAAATCCGTAACATTCGTGCGCTTTCTGGATCAAGTGTGACCTAACCTCATTTTTATATGCAGCTCGGCGAACGTAAACCGTGCCAAAATGATGCAACAATACATGAAGGAGTTGGAACAGGTCTTAATGTCTCTTTTCTTCCGTCAAATATCTCATTCTCGTTCTATTGTACAATTGTTGCTTTAATATGTTGATCATGCGAACACATCGGTGACCTGTTAAATGTAACAGTTATCTGTCAAATGTAGTACTGAGTTGTTAGCCAAAGATTATAAGAAGCAGTTATTTTAATATATTTAATCTCGTGTCGCAAGGTTTATGGACTACGTTGTCAATAAAGAAATCTAACTTTTGCAGGATCCGTTCGATCCTGAAGAATTCGTCGAGCGACTGGCTTGGAGAACTGTCAACGATAACTCGAAAGATGGAGGAAAGACCTTTTTTGATCCTGTTATCGTTCATGAAACATTCCTGCAGGCAATTAAAGACCTACAGATACTACAGGAACGTCAGCAAAAGAAATGTGACAGGTTGGAAGTTGCGCTGAAGGAAGAAGAGGCCCGACATACGTTCGAGATATTGGAATTGCAGGAGAGAAATAGACATTCCATCGATCTGTTTCATCAGTTGGACGAGAGAATCAATCTCGTGGCTACTAAAGTCTTGCATTTAGGGGATCAGTTGGAGAGCGTCAATACACCGAGAGCGAGAGCAGTGGAGGCTCAGAAACTGATGAGACACTTTTCGGAGTTTCTCAGTCCTGGCCCATTGACAGATCCGATCTTTACGGACAAGTCCTCGGTGAGAACAGGCGCGAGTTCATCAGACTATAGAAAGTAACAGCCCAGATAGCCAAACCTGAGCAACCAGATTTGAAGCAGAACCTGCTACCAATTTTTGATGGCAAATAGGCAACACATTTGATACAGGAGCTGTTATAGCAAATCTTGCTGCCAAACTACCATCAAATATGCGACAGAACCTGCTGTCGGACAATTGCTGCAGATTTGCAGCAAAAACTGTGCAGAGCTTGCAGCGATTTGACGGCAGATTGGCTGCAGAAACCGAGCAGACCCTGCTGTACTGCAGGCTTTGCGCGGTTTTTGCTGCAAATTTGCACATATTGTCCAGCAGCAGGCTCTGTCGTCAAAACCTTAGCTAAATGCGGGCACAGATGACTACGGTTTTGGTATAGGTTTTTGATCGAACTTGCTGCCAATTTGCATGCAATCTGCGCTCAATTTGCTTACTGGGAGTAGAACATGATAATAACGCTAAAGGAGGAAGTGGTTCCTGTTTCCCAATATTATTCCAATATTACTTTTCAGTTGAACGACGCGGCGGATGTGATACAGAAGCTGCATCTCATAGTACAGGAACTACCCTCTGAGAAATTTGAGCATGCCAAGAAGAAGATCAGCGTCAAGTACGATGAGATTGAGCGGAATTTAATCGAGGAGTTTGTGAGGGCGCATAACAGAGAGGATGCGGCACGCATGAAGGAGTTGGCAGGCACCTTGGCGCACTTCAAGGGTTACTCCCAGTGCATCGATGCGTTTATCGAGCAGAGTCAGATGGGCTCGTTCGGTGGGAAGGATGTTTTTCAGGATGTCATACCGATGTGCACCAAGTATCACAAGCTTATGCAGCAGGTGTTCACTAACCCTGAGCAAGTAATGGCAAAGTTCGTGCTGAACATTTATCATCTGCGCCTGCAGAAGTACGCGGTGGCTAAGTTGGCCGACAAAACCGACTCTGACAAATATCTCAGAAACCTGTATGACCTGTACACGCGAACGGTCAAGCTGTCCAACGACCTGAGGATCTTTAATATGGGCACCGACGATACCTACCTCGGCAAACTCACCAGGAACATCTTTCAGAAATATTTGGATACTTACATCACGTACGTCCGCAGTGAACTGGATGGAAAGCACACAGAAGAATGTAAACGGTGAATGAAACTCGAGCGTACGTCGACCAATCACACCGGAGAGTTATTAAGAACGCAAAACCATCATGTTGAAATTTCCAATTGTGATCGATCGATTCGCGGAAGCCTCACCGCTCACGTTCTTCTGTGTGCTACGGTCTTGACCCCACAGTTAGTCGACCATGACGCAGCGCCCATCTTATTTTTAGTATCGAAACGAAGGCGTTCCGGGAGAAATCGGCGGCACTACTTATCGAGTACTACGAATCCAAGAATCATCAGAAGAAGCAACTGCAGACGGGCGGCTTTCAAGAGTTGCGCAGAGACCTGCAGGCTGTGCTGGGTGCGAGAACGAACATAAACATCGCTCAGATCGAAGACTACGGCGGAGAGACGTTTCTTTCGGAGGAGCTGGCGATCGCGATACTACAAAGAAGTAAACTCGCCTTCCAGAGGTGCCAGTTGCTCTCCCAACCGGTCGACGTACCCGTGAACGCGCTCCAGATCCTGGAGATACTGCTGCAATATCTGATAAGTGAGCACGTGGACTACGCACTAGAATTGGGCCTGCAGAGCGTGCCGATACCGGAAAGCAGGACCCAGCCGGAGATTCACTTCTTCAACGTGGTACACCAATGCAACGCGATCGTCCGGCTGTTGGAAGAGCAGTTCAACGATAGCGTGTTGCCTCTCGTCTTGTACGTTTCTTGTTAATTTTTCCAAAAGTTTATCTTTGAAAACAACTCGTTGTCTTTACTCGTTAGCCAAGAAGTAACGAATATAAATGAAGCAATGTTGCTTTATTGGAAATTGGCGAAGCGATACTTCTCTGTGACTTTTCTCCTCTCTTCAGGTCGACGCCTAAGCACGCTGATTGTTTGTTAAAGAAAAAAGCGATATTAGAACAGATCGACGTGAAGCTGGACACCGGCTTGGACAGAAGTATAAACGCCATCGTAGGCTGGGTGAAGATGTACCTGCAGAGCGAGCAACGGAAGACTGATTTCAAGCCGGAAACCGACGTAGATACTGTGAACACGCCGGCCTGCCTGATAGTGGTTCAATACGTGAGCGGCATGATACGGTTGATACGAAACACTCTGGACGGCAGGCACTTGGACACCGCTCTGAAGGAGCTGGGCATCCGTTTCCACAAGGTGATCTACGATCATTTGCAACAGTTTCAGTTCAATTCGGCTGGTGCTATGTGCGCGATCTGCGACATGAACGAGTATCGCAAATGCATCAAGGAGCTCGAGGTTGAGTTCGTTACGAATCTCTTTGATACCCTACACGCATTGTGCAATCTGCTGCTGGTGAAGCCAGAGAACTTGAAGCAAGTCTGTACGGGAGACCAGCTGGTATGTGTTGTTATCGTTGTTGCTACTCGACTCTGATCGTTTCCAGGAAATTATATGTGATCCAGAGACGCATTTGTGATTCATTGTATGATTGCAGATGACACTCGATCGTACCGTTCTACTGAATTTTATTCAATTGAGAACCGATTACAAGACACAAAAGTTAGCCAATTGCTTAAAAGGTCTAGCAACATGACGCATGCAACTCATGTAAAGAAAGGATGCTCGATACTCAGCCCAAGCCCCTCGTGAGTCAATGATGTGAATGAGAGGTTATGAGTTTGAAGAATCATTGAAATAAAAAAGTCGTCGTGACAATATTTGTATTTGTTTAGAAACGCGGCGAGCTTTATCGCCATCGGGGACAATCCCTGTATGCATTGTAAGATATACATGCAAAGTATTTGCAGCAGACTGTTCTAGCTCCTTATTTTCCTGCGAAAACGCATTCGTTTCGCTCGTTATCTTCTCGATAAAAGTTGCAATAATATTGGTGAAAAACATAGTATAGCGATGAATCGCTTCTCGCGCGAGAAGAACATTAATATCGAATTAACATTCCTGCGCTTATCCAAATATCCCTTGCATTCGACACTATATAACACTCAACGTTATATTTTGTGTACAAGCAAAACTCATTTAAAGTAAAAGCGAGTAATCTTCGAGACGGAGAATTTTGGCGCACAATTACATTTTATTGATCATCAGAGTAATTATTAGTTACAAGTGGTTATACTATAGTAAGTAATAATGCCTTTTCCAGCATTATGACGAGATTTCGCTAAGAGAGACGTTAACGTTCAAACTGAGATTTCTTTTTTCTTTTTTTTTTTCTTATCGGGTAATCTTGTCAGGAATGGTCAGTGTTGTGCGCGAAAATTCGTTTCGTTTTCTTATTACAATTTTGTCGAATTTAAAGTTATAAATGCGACTGAATATTCCAGATTTGCAAGTTTATAGAAGAATCTCTGTAAAAAGTCGTCACTTTACATTAAACGCCTAATTAGGAAGCATCTCGTAGTTTCTAAAATTAAAGGTTTGCGTTGCTTCTTGATAGCTCGTACTATCAACTGCGTCACATCGTTAAGACGCAACACGATCATTTTATGATTCCACAGTAAGTAAAGGACTCTCGAGACTTCAGGTTTGATTAAATGATTTTATGAGCACTATGAAAAAATGGGAGAGGGAAGAGAATACGGTGACGAGTCCATTGAATATCAGCGCATACGATAAGTATTAGTTTCGTGTACTTGGCACAGTTCCCCCTTAAAGTCCAACTCGATACTGAAATCCAGATCTCTGTAATTTCTGGCATTCGGCCTCATCGAGAATACGCCGTAAATTTCCTCGCCCTTCTTCACCGTCATGTACTCATCGAAGTAAAAGACGGTCTGCTTCCAATGCGTATACGGCACTTCTGGCGCGGTGCTGAAGCCAATGCGTTTGTGGCACTTGGTGAATTCGATGTTGAAGAATGTAACTAGGGCTTGAACGTAGTCGTTTCTGCGCACCTGCAGGGTGAATGGCGACGAGAACTCGAGATCAGCCTTTGTCACAGTGTAGAGGTCAACTTCTTTAATTAGGCATGCATTTGTGACAACTTGCTTCGGGTCCACGACATCCACCAGTGGTTCGCTGATAGCTACTTTTCTTATGCTACTCATGTCAAATCCATACACATCGTCCCACCAATTGATCTTTTCGTCTTTGTATTGTCTATCTTCAATTCCACAAATAAACAGTGTTGCTTTATCGGGAAATAGCATGCCATCATCCCGAAGCCATTTGTCCCTGGCAAACAACACTGTGTCTAACATAGATTCATAAAATAAGCAATAACCCATCCATTCAGATATTATTATATCCACTTTCTCAATGCCATCTGGTAGTGAAACTTCTTCAACTTTGCCCTTAAGTATGGTTATAACATTGGACAGATTGTTGGCTTCTACTATTTTCTCCGCATATTCAACGATATTGGAGCACTCAATACCAATGACTCTAGCAGCACCAGCTTTAGCAGCAAACATAGAAAGGATCCCGGTACCGCAACCAATATCAAGAACAGTCTTTCCTTTGAAAAGGTGTTTGTTATGATACATTGAGTTGCGGTAAGTCACAGTGCGTACTTCGTCCTTCAGCATTTCTTCATGTATTCCATAATGAGCATAAGAATCAAAATAATAATCCCTTGAGGTCATATCGTCAACAGATATAGATTCCCTGCAGGATGAGGCGCTGACATCCTTATTGACGGTAGTAGGTTCCGCTATGTCCATGGTTTCCATTTTGGATTCCTGCAAAATTTTTTATTTCTCATAAATATTGATTAAAACGAGTCGCTTGTGCATGTCTTTAATCTACAATTGAGTTTCAACTTTGGAATTTCAACAATTGGCTCAAAAATAAAGAAAAATTTATTTCAATAAGTCACATATAATAATTGTTAATAAATCACAAATAACTTTTACAAGTCAATTCTCTTGATATATTTACCACACATTCTAGTTTATACATCAAAGAAATTTAAATATTCAGGAAAATACGAAAAACTATATTTCTATATATAGTTTTTAATGTATAAAAATCATTTATTAATGTCGAAATAACGAAATCACAATGCTAAAATAAATTTGACGAGCATGAATTGTTCTAAGCACAATTATTGTTCTCATTTACTCTTTGTACTCGGACATTCTAACCTCGTGCGTGAGCACATTGTTCTGAAAATTCCATAAAAGGACTATCTAACTATCACGATAATGGCCTGAAAAATGCAAGCACACGCCAACAACCATTGTGTGTGTTACAATATCAGGAGGGAAGAATTCAGTTATATTTCACGACAGTCGGTCGGATAGTCGCGTACACGAACCTAACACGATACCGCGATTAATATGGCTTTGTAAAAAATTTACAATTTTGTTCATGAGTACGAGTGACGAGATGCCTAGCGGGATTCACACACCGGCTTACAAGAAACAACGCGCGCACACGTGCCCGCCAAAACGATGGCGTCCCTCTCTAACGATCGAATTAACCTCGAGTCGATACGCTCGAGCGCGTTCGCACGCGCTATATTACTTTATCGCTATATCGTCCTTTCTCTCTCTCTCTCTCTCTCTCTCTCTCTCTCTCTCTCTCCCTCTTTCATCGCCGTTGGCGAGCGACGGTTCCGGCCGAATTTTTGCACACGACGTTCGGAATATTCATCTTTCGTCTAACGTCTCCATCATGAAATCTGCCTCGTGAGAAATCGTGATTCGACGCGACATACGCATTGTCTGCCGCGTTCGGCAAATCGCAAGTTTCGTTTTCGCGCGAGGCTAGACAAGGCGAGAGGACTATATATTAGTGACAAACGAACGTTCCTGGCTGGCATTTCGTGCCTCGACGGTGCGTACGTTGGCCGTCTGTGGATCGCGTCGACGCGTCAACGGCACCCATTCGAGGTCGATCCGCCCGCTATTTCGCTGATAATTCGAGTTGTGAAAACTCACCGAATTCTCCGTGGCACACACGCGATTCTGGTTCATTTCTACCGGCACTTCATTACTCGTCGTCGCCATTTTGTTCTGCGTCACAGCAGACGACCGGAGTCATCAGGTCCGTCACTATAGCGCGGGAATGTAGGGCGATCCTCAACGTACAGGATGTCGCTCGAATGGAAATCTCTTTGCGTCTTCTCACGTGGATGTGATTCGTGGATAAGATCATTCTCACCGAGATTTTATAGACTGCCGTACATGATACTTTGCAGTTTCGGTTCAGGTGTTTTCGAAAAAGCATGCATTAGAGTGCATGCATATCCATTCAGTGTTCGTTCATTCTCGCCTTTAATTTGGTGTATTATTCAAAACGTATTATTTTCTTTGAAAATATGTGATTTCCTTATTAGAGAGATAATACTGAAAAGTGTGATTTTCTTACTAGATAATACTCGACCGATAGTGATTTTAAATATAAAGGAAGAACAAGGAGTAAACTGATGTAAGTAAAGAATTACGAGAAGTTTTACTCGTCGTAATCACATACTAACGCTTTCTTGCTGGCCGATTTACCGCCTAAATTAATTATTAATTGGGTTATTAATCGATTGATAGTGGTGTATATTGGGTTGTAGAATTCGATGAAGACCACTCGAAGGGCCGATTGTTCCAACTTTTTGGTAAGTTAACTAGTTTGGATAGTTAAATCATGTCAGTCTTTGTCTAAGTTGAAGGAAAAACAAAGACAAATGTATGATTTAGCTATCAGTTAACTTACCAAGAAGTTGGAACAACCGGCCCTAAGTATCAGAAATTGAAAATTGTGGAGAAAAAACTAGAATTCATTTAATCGAGAAAAAGCGTGGCATATCGAAATGAGTCGCTTCGTTGAATTGTAATCTCTGCTTCATATTTTTTGATCTCCAACACCCATTCTAACATGCGCTGGAACTCAGGCAGAAGAGAAAATCATGATGACATAAAAATGACATCAAAATGATGAGAAAAACTCATTTTTTCATCATGTTTCGATGATTTTGATATCATTTAGATGTCATCATCTTCCGTTCTGCCTGGAAAGAAATATCCACGTCTCCGTACAGACGTGACACGGAGCGCCCACTCGCGGCGTATCCGGTGTACGTCCCTGCGAGCGGCCACTGCGCAGTCGGAGCTGCGCAGTCGCGCAGCATTGAATTACTCCGCGTCCGTGCATCGCTCATCAGTGTGGTGTCGTGTGCGTGCTTGTGCTTAAGCAGTGAAAACTGTTTCTCGCAGACGTATCTCATCATTTCTCGTTTCGTCTCGTTACGTCTTGTCACGTCTCGTCTCGTCTCGTCGATCCACCATCGGCGTCGGTGGGTTTTTCGAGAACTACGTGCTCGCACAGTATGGCGCAGCAGCGATGGCGTTTTATCGTTTTCACGACGGCGCAAGTGTCGCGCTGTCCAATGAGGACGGTCTAGGCTGACAAGTATCGCAGCACCGTGGAAGTGGAGATGGGCAGGGAGCCGAAGTTCGTACGCATACGTCGCGTCGTCGCGGTGGAGGTGGAATTGTGTTGCTCCCCCGAAGGGGTCAGGCTCGCTTTTGCGTTACGTCGCACCGCTCGCGCGCGCCAGTTACACCGTGAGTGAGAGACGTGAGGTGAGGAGATGTGAGGACGCCGCCGTGTCGCACGCGTTTCTCCTTTCGATCGTATACGACCGAGTTCATCGTCGAGCGAATACATCTCGCGACAACGTGGAGCTCTTGGAAGATGCTGGTGAGTGTGTAAACAGGCAGTGAGAGTAATAGCGCAGCGGCGGTGTACGCGGCTGGCTGCGGCGAGCAGTCGCCGAGCAGTCAGCCAACCAGCTTCGTTCCTGCCTTTTGCTCATGCTAACTGCGTGCTTTCGTCGCCTACGGCTTCTCCCTTGCGCTTCGTTGTTTCCGCTTCTGTCCTCGTGTGTATTTTTTCGTCGAGTCCCCGTTATAACGTGCCGCGCGAATGCGTATCCGCGCTCTTTCCGCTTCTATGCCTCTCCTTCCCCTCTCAGCGCCTTCTCACTCCCTCTCTGTATGTTTCTCTTTCTCTCTCTACCGCTCTCGTTTGCTCATTCGTTAGTTAGCTTCTCTTGTTCTATCTGTTTTTTCGTCTCTTTCGTTTTTCTTTCGTTCGCTCTCTCCTTTTCTCTCTCCTCTCTCTCTCTCTCTCTCTCTCTCTCTCTCTCTCTCTCTCTCTCTCTCTCTTTCTCTTGATCCGTCTATGCCTACGTCTCTTGGAGGCGAGCCCGGGTGCGAACGTTCCGGGTGTCTTTCTTGGCGCAAGGCAATGTCTGTCACAAGCGGGAGACGCACTCGCGGAGAGAGCGAAAAATGTCGAACTCGGCTTTTCCGTCCCTCTTTCTCTCTCTCTCTCTCTCTCTCTCTCTCTCTCTCTCTCTCTCTCTCTCTCTCTCTCTCCGCTCTCGCTTCATTCCCTCCCTCTTCCCCCCTTTTCCTCCCCATACCCTCCTTCCCGCCCTGTCTCCATGTCTCGCTGCCGGTGTCTGTCCCCGTCTGTCTTTCAGTCTTTCTCTTTCCAACTCGCTGATATACGGAAGATTCCGATACAGACGATCGTACTTTCTAGGCGCGAAAGGCTGTACAGAACACTTCGAAGCGTTTCGATCGACACGGTGGTGCCGAAATGACATTTCGCATTTCGGCTTTTACTTTCAAGTACTTTCAAGCTTTTTCAAGCATACTCGCATGCAATATATTCTCCCCCTTCTACGCCCGCTCTCTCGCAAGCGCGAGCATATGCGCGTTTTATTTCGAGTGTGAGGAATGTAGAATCACTGAGCGACTGACAGAAACGCGTCCTCGTCGTACGATCGCTGCTTTGGTCAATATAATGCATTAATTCGTTATGCTACTGTTGACTTATGCTACTGACTTATGCAGTATTATACATTCCATCGTCCTCATTTCATTCTCTGTAAAATGCGGAATACATAAAATATGCAAGTTATAAAATAGGCAAGTTTAGGATTGTATATGTTTCTCTTCAATATATAGTTTGATGATTTTTCATGTTCTTAGCATAGTGGAAATATTTCTTTCATTAGAAATTTTTTGTCCAGATTAAACATGTTATGTAAATGGGAAAAGAATGGAATTATACGGAATTATCTAGATATTAATTATTAGTTTTTTTTGTCCTTTTTTTAAATATCTTTTAAGGATATATATGTTATATGTTTATATATGTTACTTTATCATATGTATAAATTATTTATAATCTGTATAAACCGAAATACTTGATATGCTTTATGAAAATCATAAATATTCTTGTTTTTGGTTTCTTCCTATTTACAATACATACATATATATATATATATATATATATATATATATTTACAACGGATCAATAATGAAAATTGTTGCATTTGCTCTTACTATTCAATAATTTATTTCTTATTTAAGTGCTGTATACAAAGAAAATAAAAAAATCTACGAATATTAACATATTTTTTTCTATTATTTTATACACCAATATTCTTACATAAGTATAATTATATATTAGTACATTGATATAACCATAGATCGTAAATTATTTTGGTGATACTGAGGTAAAAAAATAAAGATACCACTTACAAAAATATAACGTATAAAACGTATAAAAATATGAATGATAATATCTCCTTTAATCAGATACTGAGATGTTTCCCATTTAAAAGCATATCAAGATACAATATTATTTTAAGGCTCAGATGTTTATATTTAACATTTAAGATACAAAAAGTCAGCAATTAAAATATCAGTCATTACAATTCCGCATCAAAGAAGCGAGCATTTGCTTTGTTTAGATGCTTTATCTGAAACCTTTTCTGATCCTATGGTTTATGTCAATACTTTATATGTAACATTGTACACATTGACATGCATGTAATATATGAGATATTTCTATGTATCTCCAATTACTTCGTTTATACCTCACACTTATTGAATTTTCTACTTGTGAAACTTGAGTTACAAGTGTCTTGATACATAAATCATTATTATAACGCCCTCAGCACAAAATTTTGGTATTTTCACGTTAAAATGTCTGTTCTAACAGGGAGACGATCCACCGTACCTAGCGGTGGGTACAGAAGTAAGCGCTAAATACAAGGGTGCCTTCTGCGAAGCTAAAATCCGTAAGGTGGTGCGATCGGTAAAGTGTCGTGTGACATATAAACAAGGTTTGGGCACTGCTACGGTCACCGACGACCAATTAAAAGGGACTTTAAGAGTAGGTGCCTCTGTTGAAGCTAGGCATGGAGATCGGAAAGAATTTGTGGAGGCGACTATTACCAAAATCCAAGACTGCAGTCAATATACTGTAGTCTTCGACGATGGCGATATCACGACGTTGAGGCGAACTGCGCTCTGTCTAAAAAGTGGGCGACACTTCGCGGAGAGCGAAACATTGGACCAGCTACCGCTGACTCATCCAGAACACTTTAGCACCCCTGTGATAGGAGGTAGAAGGGGTAGACGATCAAGGCAAGCGCAGTAAGTGCGGTGGCAGAATTCTATATATGAAAGATTCTGATCGGCTAAACTAACGTGAGCTCTCCGTATTTTGCTCGTGAACAGGGACGAGAGCAGCGAAGATGAGGACAGTCCGCCGCGGAACGCACGCGACTCCGGCTTCATCGGAGGCGCGAAGGAGGGAATGGAAACGGAGCCGGAGATTGGCAGAGTGGTCTGTGTGGAGCTCGGTGACAAGAAGAAGAAGGACAATTGGTTCCCAGGACTAGTCGTCGCGCCGACCGCCCAAGATACCGTGAGGATACGCGTGAGAGACGATTACTTGGTGCGCTCTTTCAAGGATGCGAGATAGTGAGTGGAAATTTCCATACTGCCACTATTATACTTTTGTAAATCATTCATATATTCTCATTTATCGTTATATTTTCTTATATAGTTACACAGTACCCAAGAAGGAGGCCACAGAATTCACAAAGGAACTGGTCAATAAAGTGGAGAACAGCACGTTAAAGGTTGCAGTCGAGAAGGCCCTTCTGTTCTTAGAGAAAAATGAATTGCCGCCTCATTGGGACAGGGATTCCCTGTTCGGCCATTCCGTTTCTAGCGGGAACAGCGACTCCGACGGAGAGCTCGACTCGGATGTAAGACTTTTGGCTTGTTTGTGCGTTTCTTTCGTATCTTATACGACGATTGCGAGAAATTCTGCTTTTTATTCTTGCAGAGTTCGGACGATGAGCCACGCGAGGAAAAAGATCACTTCGTGGCACAATTGTACAAGTTTATGGACGATCGTGGCACGCCTATCAATAACTGTCCGATGATTGGATCGGAAGACATAGACCTTTACAGACTGTTCCGAGCGGTTTACAAATTGGGCGGTTACAATCGCGTCACAAATCAGAACCAATGGAAGACCATAACTCGGCGGCTTAGCTTTGCGATGCAGAACTCGTCGTCCACGCACAATCTCGTGAAACAGGCTTACAAAAAATTCCTGCACTCCTTCGAGGACTTTTATCGAAAGTTAGGCTGCACCATGGTGAATCATCCGCGCGGCAGTACGCGTAAACAACGGCCTGGAAGAAGTCTGATTCGCGATAAGGACAGAAATACCCCGATACCGCCGCAAGTCCCGGCAGTGAAGAATGACAAGGAGGAAGACGAGAAGAAGACTGCGGAAGACGAGAAGAAAGAGAAGAAGGAGGTGAAGAAAGAACAGGTGAAGGAGGAAGAGATTGTCAAGATAAAGAAAAAGGATGAGACGGAGGGCAGTGGAAGCGGTCAAGAGAGCGATGTGAACGTAGAAGTTGATACGACCGAATCGTCGTCGAATGCTAGTGAGAAGTTACAGAAATCAGCCGCGTCAAATTCCACGTTAACTTCCACCACAAACGCACCATCCAGCCGAGCTAAGCCGAAGAGCAAAGAGGAGACTAAGAAGAAGACGGTTGAGAAGAAGAAAACTGAGAGCAAGAAGCAAGAGAAGAAGGACGACAAGCCGAAAGAAGAGGAAGCCACTAAAACGAGATCCAAGGCGAAAGACGATACCGTGAAAAACAAAGGCGCCACTGAAGGCAGAGAGACCCGAACTCCGTCCAGAGAAGCGGAGAAAAAAACTTTGTCCAAACAACGTCGTTTAACCGACGAGGAATTAAAGAAACGCGGGAGGAAGCGCAAGGAGTACGAGACGGAGAAACTACGCACGGAGGAACTCAATGAGGCTACCGTGCCCAGTTACAAAGGTCCTGTCGAGTTCGGCGACCGATTAAAGGTTTACTACGGTCCGACGCACGAATCCAAAGTCACGTACGAAGCGAAGGTGATCGACATAGAGAAGGGTAGCTTATCGCCGATGTATCTCGTGCATTACACCGGTTGGAACACCAGATATGACGAGTGGATCAAGGCGTGCCGGATTGCGCAGAATTTCACGCAGACTCAAGGTAGAGTGAAACGTACCAAGACACCCCGGCCACAAACCCCAAGTACAAATCTGTCTGCGAACAATAAGGCAAAAGGTACTTGCAATTCAACGGCCAATGCGTCGCAGAGTCGTCGTCGGGCGCAGAGCGTCGCTCCTACATCCACCAGCACCACCACGTCCACCACATCCGCGAAGGATGGTAAGAAGGATGAAAAGGACAAAGATAAGGAGACAACACCACAGCCGATCCGGGCCAGTACACCGTTATCGATTGCTAGTTCCAGGACCAAGAGTCCCGCTACACCTGCTAACAACCGACAGACTAGAACAAGCAGAAACACAGAATTGCCGGGCACGATAGAGCATCGAAGACGCACCAGACGAACGTCAGGCCACACAGACATATCCGTGGTATCAGAGAGCGAAGGTAGCGACGGCTACGGCGACTCCGACACCACCGAGCCCGAGCAGACTAAGACCAGATTGAGAGGCACGGAAGAGAGAAAGCGGAAGGAGGCACGAAGCCGAGTGGAAGAGAGAATAAAGACGGAGGATGCCAGCGATGCCGAGGACGAGAAGGACAGTCTAGAGGAGCCACGCAAGGGCAGACGTTTGAGGAGGACACCCGGCAAGTCGCAAGGCATAAAGTCTGAGCCTGACAGTGACGAGGAGCAACCTAAAGGTCGAGATTTCGACCTCAACCAAATACGATCTGAACTCAAAGGTTTCGACAAAGCAGTGAAAATGGAGTTGGTCAGGATGGAACCGGAGCCAGAGGACGAGGTCAAGATAGAAGAGAAGGAGAACGTCGCTACGATCACCCGAGCGTCGCCCAAGTTGGACAAACTCTCTGAGACCTTGAAGGTGGAAACTGTCGAGCCAAAAGTTGAGAGCACGGAAGACATTTACGAGTTCAAGGAGCCGGAACCGTTTGAATTCGAGGTGAGAAACAAAAGAGACACGGCGAGCGGCGAGAAGGACAAGCTGAAGAAAAAGATGTTCGAGGATGAGCCTAAGAGCCCAAAGAAGAAGCAGAAAATCACTCCGATGTCTACGACGCCAGCGAGGGAGACGAAAACGGAATCAGCGGATGATAACCGGGTGAAGAAGCCGAGGAAGCTATTCACTAACAAAAGATCTGACGAAGTAAATGAAGCGCCACCGGTGACGGTTTCGCAATCGCACTGCAAACCGTCTCCCCAACCGACGCTACCTTCTGCATGCGAGGACGTGTTCGACAAGCTGTGTGAACCTCCGTCGTTCAATCAGCAACTGAAGCCAGCAGCGATCGTGGAGGAATCAACTAAAGTAGCTTCTAGCGGCTTGAATCTTCTATTCAGCGATCTACCAGCGGACGACGAAGTTACGCGCGACGACTCGGAGGACCGTCTGATCATATCAGAAACTGAAGTGTCTGAAGCGGAACAGGACAATACCTTCTCGTATCAGCAGGAGGTCCAGTTCCATAGTGCCGAATTGCCGGATACAACAGAGTCGAATAATAAGAGCGAAACGACGGTCGCCGGCATGGTTGAATACGCCAAAGAGGAAACCTCAACAACAAGCAATAAACCAGCCGGCAATAATTCTTTGGATCAGAAACAGAACATCGTCAAGTTGTCGTCTGCCAGCGTGCAGTCGCAGTCGGAGCTGAGAATTTTGGATTCCTCGAAGTTACTCGACATCGCTCCGATAGCTCCTTTGCCGATTGTGACACCTCCAGCGCCCATAAGCGCGAGGTTGCCGGCGACATCCACGATCGAGGAGAAGTTATCAGCAGCCGCAATGGCATTCCGTAACAAAACCAAAGATAACAAGAAAACAACTGTAGACGAGGACGTCGTGGCCGATGTGACAACGCGTAAGGTAATCAAGGAATCGTCCAAGAAACTGGATATGACGATTCTGCAAAGAATGAAAGAAGATGAAATGGACGAGCAGGATAAGAAACGTGAGCAACAACAGCAGCAGCCACAACAGCAACAGCAACAGCATGATACTGCGATAACGAATGAAGAGGAGCAGCGTAGGGAGATCATGCGCGTGGTGATCAAGCAGAAAGAGGAGGAATTACAGCAGCTGAAGCTGAAGAAGGAAGCTGAACTGAAAAAGTTCACAGAAGCAAAGGCTGTTGTTATTGATCACAAGGCCAAGTTGCAGGAAGTCCCCAGGGACGACAGTTGGAAGAGTACGGAGAAGGAGGTAGGTAAACGACCTGAGGAAGAATACAAGACGCTCGAGCAGACGGAGAAAGACAGAATCGAAAGTCGTAAGAAGCAAGTGAATCAGGATATCTTAGATTCCACAGACAGCAGCGACTCAGAACAGAGACTCGTGATCGACAACGAGGAGCCGCAGGAGCACATAAAAACGCCGAGCGTGTCCAACTTTGATATGAAGCTACGAGCGGAGCTCGACCGTCTGCAGGACACACAAGAGAGATACACGAGAATGCAGACACCGAAAACCTCGCAGAGCATTCAACAGCAGCAGCAACAACAGCAGCAGCAACAACAACAGCAAGAATGCACGGAAGTCAAAGTGTCTGATATAGCGTCATCTGTTTCGAAAACCGACGAAGAAGGTGAGACAATGAACTCTCTGCTGTGTGAAGAAGAAATACCTGGTTCACCGGCTCCTCCCGGGTCTGAGAGCATCGAGCAAGCGAGTGCTGATCCGGCATGCACCTCACCGAAGAATGAGGTCACCGAGAGCAGTATAGTCCTGATGGAGATGCCGTTTGCAAGCGCGCCTACTTCTGGTCAAAATACTACGTGCAGCAGCAGCACTGTCGCTACTCTCAGCATGTCGTTGCCAAAGATTGTTGAGACCTCGGTGCCGGTCCCCTTGCCAGTGCAACAAAATGTGTCCTTGAACGTACGACAGCAGCAGCATCAACAGCACCAACAACACCAGCATCAACAACAGCAGCTTCAACATCACCAGCAACATCACCAGCAACAGCATCAGCAGCAGCACATGCCACCGGCACTGCTCCCACCGCAGCGACGAGAGAGCAACGAAGCCGCACCAGTGATGGACAATACACCGCCGACAACCCCTGACTCGAGTATCTCCAATATCACTGGCTCGCCAAGGGAAGAGAGAACCGGTGGCTCATCGCCGACTTCCGAGGACAACATCAAACTGAATCGAGACAGTTCAGAAGCCGACAACGATAGTGCCGGTAAAGGGCCAGGTTTTAGCGAGGACGACACGTTACCCAACTCTGAGAACATCTCCACGGATAGAACGCTCAAGCCGCCGGCTAAACGCTCGATCGGCGATGACATGCAGTCTTCGCCCAAGAAACGCAAGAGAAACCGGAAACACTCGGAATGCAGCGGCATAGTGGCGCCCAAAAAACCCGTTGCTAGACAGACCAACAGCAGGCACAGCGGTAGATATGGCGCGGGCAGTGATAGCGATGATACCAGCGAAGGGTCGAACCTGTGTACTGTCAACACTACATCCACTGCTCATACAAACATCGCCAGCGTCACCGACCTGGCTGCTACCTACTCATCGAGATCACCGAGACCGACGAAGTATAACTTTTTTGTGGAACTGGGTACGTTGAAGTTCACTTCTGTGTGATGATTTCTTATATTTCAGTATATGATTTTTAATAAGTTGATACATCTTGATATATATATATATATATACATAATCTTAGTATAATTGATTAATTGATATTTTATAATGGAAACCTTGATGTAGTTGGAGTTATGAGCGCGCATTTTTCAAAAAGTAAGCGTCATAGACGCTTTTTTGTAAATTAATTTATCCTTGTTGTCTGGAACAGATCCTGAACTGGACGCCAGTCAGAGGATAGCACTGTTGCAGCAAAAGTTAACCGAACTGAGGAAGACGTACAATGCCGTGAAGGTTGAACTCGCCACCATAGAGCGACGTCGGAAGAAGCTACGAAGACGGGAACGAGAAGGTGAGTTGGGAGGTTGAATTAATTCTGGTCCCCAGCAATAAATGGCTTTAGTAACAAGTTAATGGTTAGTACGAATGTTTAAATCTGGCAACACTGAAAAATTTGATATTTCTCTATGACATATAACAGTTTGCGCGCTATTATTACTGATAGTTTCATTCATTGTTTATACGTGTCTAAAATGAATCGTACAAAATTGCATTTTCGATATTCATTACTTTTTTATTTAATTTGAAAAAAATCGGCAACTAAAGCTTATGAAATTCTTGTTATGATGATCCAGCTCCATCATATCCCAATTATAAATTTTGATTTCAACAATTCAAAGGTGCTGGTCAACTAAAAAATTTCGAGGATTCTGAATTACAAGCATTATTCAATGAAAGCATCACTCGAACGGAAAAACAATTGGCTGAACAACTCAACGTCGATATATCACAAATTTCCGAATGCCTACACGCCATGGGAAAAAATCAAAAGGAAGGAGAAGGGGTTTCACATGAATTTAATGAAATTGCCCTTGCAAAACGTTTCAATATCGCTATACCTTTGCTTACCAGACTGATGAAGAAAAAAGATTTTTATGACGAATTGTAACTGGAGATGAAAAGTGAATTTATTTTGATAATTCAAAGTGAAAAAAATTATAGGTTGATCCAGGACAACATTGACACCAAAACAGAACATTCATAGTCACAAAGCAATGCTCTGTATTTGGTGGAGTATGGAAGGTGTGGTGTATTATGAGCTTCTAAAACTGAATGAAACAGTTACGGGGGAGCGGTACCAACAACAATTGAACAAATTGAACACTATGTTGCCAAAAAGATGGCAAAAGCTGGAGAAAAGTCACAGTTAACGACGGAAAAGATTTTGATTTATGTAAATTTAATTACAATTTTTTAGAATAAAGAAAATAAAGCATCTTCATTTCTTTAAAATAAAGATAAAAAAATTGACAAAATAAAACCAGAATTCACTCAAACCCCTAATTGATTCAACCACTAATAATTTAACAACCCATCATCTAACTTTATCTATTTTGTTATCATCAGCATGTTCCATTTTCTTGCGTCGCATTTTATGTTATCATAATTTGATAATTTAATTTTCATTAAACAGTAAAATAATGTTTCCATTTATAACACTAATGATAGAAAAAAGATTTTACGTATTTCATAGCTATTAAAGTGAAAGAAAGATTAATGTCTTACATTTCAGATATACCATAGGTTTTCTCTTTTAAAGTTGTAACCATTATTCTTCATTAGATCGTCACGATTCGTCATCATCGGAACCTGAAATTTGTGAAACGAAATGGAAGATAGATCGTAATATTAATGGTTCAAACATTTTGTTTCAGCGGTGAAAGCAGCCAAAGCAGAGATGCAGCAAGCTTGCTCGTGATAGACAGTTCCGAAAGATCCGAAATATCCTTCCTTCGAGCACTAAGTGAAATTCTTTGAGATGTTTAAGATAGTTGAAATATCAAAATAACATCATGTATCACGGGCATCATGCAATCACGGTGAACTTCATGACAGTTTTTACCTACGTAACATCGCTTGATGGGTAAAATCTGTCCCTCCACATTTTCTCCATTAATATAAATTGTAGATATAGTATTAAGTTTTAGAACGTAAAGAGGGGGGGGGGAGATATGTTGTCAAGATGAGAGAAAAAGAGAGTCTGAGAGAATGAAACAGAGAGATGTACACATATATATGTAATTTTATATATATATATATGTATATATATGTATATATATATATATATGTATATATTAACATATATAATGTATTACATGTATATTCGTATATAATATTGTGTTGTTATATATTATTTTGTCAAGATCGTAATCTGACTACGTTAAAAGTGTTTATTCTCAACTTGGTCACCTCACCTGCTCAGACGCAAAGTACAAATTACCTACCCGATGATCGTTTCGTTGTTCATTTCTGTTTTCATTACGAGAAAAAAAAACGGAAAAAAAAGGAAAACCAGAAAAGGCTGAAAAAAGCGTTACCGATAGTATGTTATTGTAAAGACATCTTGGGAACAAGTAATTATCTAAGCTGTCTATCCTTTCTGTTTCCCCGGAGTATAATTATCATACCAGTTGTGGTTGAGCTGTTTTCACAAGAACGTTTAAAAGACACAAAAATCGTAAGAAACGAGGGAATACCAATTATCTCACGCAGCTATATCCCAAAAAGTCGTTGCGTGTCTTATAGTAAATAGAAAAAGTGTAAATATATTAGAGATATAAATTGTGAAAATCGCGATATATATGTATGTGTATACATATACATATATATATGTATACACCATCGGTACTTGTGATTCGCGTATACATGTATATGATGGACGATTTTCAATTAAATAAGATAAAGTATAAATAACGTTGCAATGTCATGTAATTCCGGTGGGTAGCAAATACGAATTACAATATTTATAATGAACTGTTTGTACGATGAGATGTAAGGGAAGAAATGTTTATACATTGATACGTATGTGAAGTAAAAAGCATGATTGCTATATAAAAATTGAAAGAAGAAAGAGAGAAAGCGATCACAGTCGCTATTTTAATTTCTGTGTATGTAAGTCTTTATATATATACATACACATATACATCTCTATCGAATAAACAGGGAAGGCCATATTATACTTATACAAAAAGATGCGAATACACAGTAATTTATAAAAGTAAAATTGACACAAGCGTATGTCAATTTCGACGTTCCGTCGTAAGTTTGATTCTTTTTCTTTTTTCCTTTTTATACGTTTTCCTTTGTCCTCTCCGTGATCGATTACGCGGCAATTTGTCGTGAATGCAGCTCAACGAAATACTATCAGTTTACTGATTTCACACCTTGTTATTATCTCTTGCTACCACTCTGCTCCTTACGATTATTGGATCACTCATCGTATCGTATCTTATCGTCACGATTGGTCGCAAATGCATTTATATTTCAATGTCGAAGAATACTCCGTGCATTAAGAAATTAAAAAAAGCCGCAAAAAGAACAGGAATTTAATCTTAAGGCATAATACATCGTGGAAGTACGAATCAAATGCTACCGAGTGGAGATAAATTTGTAAGAAAATACGTTGGCCGAGAAAAAGAGAATGTGAAAAATTTTATATAGATATATATATATATATCATATATTTTTTATAAAGGGATCAATATATATATATATCGTAAATGTGCTTTATGACGTGAGAATGCGATCATATGCGAATCCGAGGAGAGAATGGAAAGAGGTTGGGTTCCTCGACATTGTATATATTTTACATTACGTGTGTTTACAGATACAAGTCAGATTTTAGTAGTTTACCGCACACTGAAATGGTAGCATTATGCATTTTACTGCATAATGGTTTCAGAAATGTTGCAGTAGCATACGCGCATATACTTGTCTTGAGAAGACCAGAGGATGCATTTTGATATTTAACGTAAATTGTTATTAAATGATTCGTATGGAAATTTGCACGCGGAAATGATTACGAAATTGGGAGGGGGAGGGGGGGAGATGAGCATATTAAAATCGAACTTTACAATGACTACGCGACTCTCAATGTCGGTTGAAGTTTACGTATTAACAAAATATTGTAGATTTTATCATATCAGAAGTTTTGCACAATTTTTTATTTCATTAATGTACATTATTATTGTATTATTATATGTCATACCATATCTCATATATACATATATACATATGATAAAAAAATATATATATGTATATACATTTTTTATTATATTTATTATATTGGCAATTTAGAATTTAAATTGACGTTGCGTGAGGCTTATGAGTTATTATATAGCATCATAAAGCGTAATGTATCTGAATAAATTCAGTAATATGAAATTGTCGAATTGTGTCCTAATCTAAATTATATGATTCAAAACATTCAAAGTCTCTTCTATTTTAACGTAAAGTTAGTAAAGATATGCATTATTATACATTCAACTACAAAAGAATTATTATTCGATGATTAGGAAGAGAATATATCAAATTCATAATGAACGGTATTATTTATTACGTTATATTAAGAGAATAATTTTACTTTATAAAATACCAAAATATTTTGCATACAAGTCTTTACTCATGCAGTCACGACAGTCCTGCAAGGTTCAAATAAGTCAAATTATTGACTCATTGAATCGACGAACATGGATAGAGACACGATCGTGAGACAAACTCGAGTTGCAATTTTTAAGAATAACACGTATCTGTTGTTATAAGTTTACCTAGTTATCACAAATGTGACAAATGCATCCTCATCTTCTGAAAACAATTATTCTTCCTGTAAATCATATGACATTACATGTGAAATAGTATAATAAGCACAAGGCGAATTCGCATCTCGCTAAACAGTAATATTATTTCACATAACATTTAACTGTGTCAGTGAATATAATTAAGAAATAAATCTTATCTTAACGGAAAAAAAGAAACGATGTCAGCTTAGTAGTCGCCGCTCCTTGTGTATTCTCTTTATTTATGTAGATACCGAGTTTATTCAAATTGTCATAGGAGAAATAGGACAAAAACGAAAGTTATTCCACACATTATACTTAAAATCTGTTATACGTATTATTTATTATATTGTGGCTTACAAACAAAGATGAACAGATTAAGATCTCTGTAAAACTTACACAAGACTACTTGTTAATATAATATAATTGTACAAATATTCATGTTATTGTACTCTGCACTTATATATTAGGATAAGATAATTATATATGCTTTTTTTTCCTCGATTACAAACTTGATCAACTTAACGTAATGCACCATTGACGAAACGCACGATACATAATATCTGCATTTTCTCCTCTATCACTCGTCCTGTGTATATGTGTTGTATGTCAACGTAGCAAATAGCAACAGAAAACTTGAAAGAGAAATAGCGGAAATCAATCACTAAAAAATATATTGACTCGTTTTGTTTATATGCATTATAAGTTAATTCTCATATTTTAATTTTACGCTCTAATTTTCTAAGACTAAGAAATTTCTACATTATGCGATGTAGTGTATCACGATACTATATACTTTATTTATCTTTGTACACCAGTAGAATTGATGCGTCGAAGGTACAACAGTATCATTAGAAAAAAAAAAGAGGAGAAGAATATTATAAAACACATCCTTTAAAGAAAACACTGTAAACTCGTAAAATAATATACATACATATGACTAAGAGACATATTGAGTATCGAGTATTCGGAGTTAGGGCGAAAAATTTATCTTGCCAGACAATGCGGATATTCTTGAAGAGCATCTTATGCTTATTAAGAAAATAAAGAACTTGAGATTTATTTCATACTGCTAAACTGGCGCTGCACCATCTTGTGTACTTGTCTTTTAAGTTTCAAAAATGTACATTAGGTTAGCTATAGAAAACAAATATGTGGATTAATGAGAGTTCAGATATAAACTTTGTACAATTTTATTCGGATTAAATCGCGCTTTATAATTGTCAATTTAATCACAAATTAATTTTGATACTTATTGCTATACGCTCTCTTGAATTCTCCAAGATTATTTCATTAAATAAGATAACTATTGTATCATATAATAATATTTTCAGCGTATCGAGATCTGCACGTAATAATCTGTATCCATTTCGCGTTAAATTTTTTGTGCCTCGTTTTTAGATAAATTAAACTGTAAGAAATAGATTGCCATGCTCTACTCAATACGCTCTGGTTCAGTATTCAGTGTCGATTTGATCTGCACATCCGACGAAATTCTCGGCTACTGGGATCACAAGTGAATACTCCGAATGACTGCTAGATACCCGATAATGTCTCTCTCGAGTATGAATATGTTCGATTATTTCAATAGTATTGCGCTTGCCCAAAAGAGTTCACATCTCTTAAGGTATCACTTTGTTACAAATTACTAACCATGTATAGGTCAGTGAGAAAAGTTCAATGCGACATTACATGATTTCTTATTTAAATTGATTAAAGGACTGTTTTTACACAATATGCCACATATGAAAACGCACACTTGTATCTCATTGTATCTCATCTCACAATACATTAGCAAAGTTAGCATTTTTGTAAGATAAAAGTGTGCATTGGCAGAATGTAGCTCCCAAAAACCTCATTAATACCATGAAAGAATACTTAATCATGCTGAAATGAATGTGCAATTGTTACATGAGAACATTGTGTCATGTACAAAATGTATAATTTGACATTTCTTTACTTTGATCCTGTTAGGTTCTTTTTTACACGGTTCACTGATTGCTCACCAGGTTAGGGGGCTAAATGAAATGAATGAAAAATTATATGGGAATTATCCGATCTTGACGAATGTGGCGCATTGAGCGAAGGGGTTTGCTATCTTTCATTGCACTGGTCAACACGGAGGTGTGCTTGATGTCGGGGCTGTCGTCGTAGAAGTCGTTGTGGAGGATGATGCCACCGTAGTAGTCTTATTATCCGTGTTTAATCTCCTTCTGGCGAACATGAACTGCTCCATTAGTTCATGATGCGCCTCTAATCGTTCGATACAGTGTAAGCATGCAGTCTTTGGCAACGGGTCGTTTATGTTCACCTGCAAATCACAAACACAATGTTACTCCTCGTGGAATGCGAAACACACGAAATATAGTCATTCGAACGATCAGTAAACATTGCAAGAGAGTGACTTCGGATCTTGACAGGACGTGACAGTTCAGTGGCCTAAATTTGTGAGACGCATAAAAAAAAGAAACGAGACGAGCGACTTGCAAAGTTAGGAAAGAAAGACCTGAACAGCGGAAGAAGTTACATTTGCCATCGCTCTTCAAAATCTTCATCGTCCCCGGCAAAGTGCACGGCAAAAGTGCATGAAAAATGAAGAACAATCGTCTGACCGTGCCGTGCACTGTCCGTCTTATCTGAGCCTTATCTGATCGTCGTGAGCGGTGTCGTATTACGCGTGCGAAATTACCGTGATCGGCAGGTAAGCGTTTATCTTCTCAGCCAACTTCATCCTCTCGCCCTCTTCGCCGTAAATGTGGATCACGAAGCGGTTCATCTTGCTGCAGAGTCTGCATATGAATCCCGTGATCACAGCCTTGTCCGTACTGCCCATTTCCGCGAACGTCTGTGCTCCTCCGCGACGAGGACGTGCTTTTCACTTTCCTCAGCTGACCGCACCGCCACTCGCTCTAGCGTCAACAGAAACGCCGCTTAACGACTGACAGTAGATTGACAGCGTGCAACCGTTCGCTTCTTCTCACGGCTACTTCGCCGTGTTGGATACGGCTGCCGATTTCGGCTCGAGATCTCGGAGTTTGTTTATTGCAGACTCCGCCGTGCACCAGCGCGCTGCTCCGTGCGCGACGCTTCGTTCAGGAGCGTACACACCGCTCACCGCGCCCGCTTGGTAAGCTATTCCTCACTTTTTCACAGTCAATCAATTTGGAAAAGTGACTCTTCAAAAACGTCTTCTGTGCGTGTCGAAAACGGAAAAGAACGACCGTTCGAGGAACAAAGATAACGGAAAGCGTTTTCTTTTCCCTTTTCTTAAATCAGCGAGAATTGCAATAGAATTAAATGAGCCTCACGTGCAGAATTTTTTGTTAAAAAGCACTTCGAACGCGACGCGTTTGATGTGTTTTATTGACACGACGCGATACGTGATGCTTACGGCGATTTGTCGGGCCGTACGTGAGTAACTGAGAGAGAGAGAGAGAGAGAGAGAGAGAGAGAGAGAGAGAGAGAGAGAGAGAGAGAGAGAGAGAGAAGAGAGAGAGAGAAGAGAGAGAGAGTCTAGATAACCTTTACTAACGTCGGTATTTTCGTGCGGTCTTGATCGTTCGCGACTTATACACGCAATCCTGACGATACGCGACTAAAAGTTGATGCGAACGCTCGAGGCTCAAGAGGCAATACGAAAGAAATCAGCTGTCACATCTGTCACCGACGACACATCCATGAACATGCGTTCGTTTAATCAATATATATATATACATATATATATATATATATATATATATATATATATATATCTTTCTCAAAATTACTGACTTTAGGAGCACTTCTAGGTTTATTTCCCCAACGTTTGTTGACTATTAAAGGACCTTTAATTCAAACGATATCGCTTTCAAGACTCACTTTTCGGATGATGAACGGATCTGTTTGATCGATTCACCAGGAGATATTGCGTTAACGAATAGCGGTGAATCCTACACGTTTCTCTGAGAATGCAAATAACATATGTAATTGTGAAGAGACGGACAATAGATAAGCAGTTGATAAATGTACTCTTAGTGTAGTTTTACGCGATACTACAAATTCTACCAGACTCTTATCGACAGATATTCTCGATCACTCGATCCTGCTCGATACTTTTATACGTTAGAAGAAAAGAACACGAGACAAAGAGAACAATAATAGGTTTGTTTTCTATTGATGAACTAGCTGCACTAACTTGCACTTATTCTCTTCTCTTCCTTTCACTAACTCCTAGATGTATATCTATTTCTTTTTATGTTTCCTGAGTATACACTCAGAGTTCAGCGATAAAAAACAAACCTAATATCCAAAGTACCGAGAGAGAGAGAGAGAGAGAGAGAGAGAGAGAGAGAGAGAGAGAGAGAGAGAGACGGATTTGTTCATGTTACTGCACTTTTCGTATTGGAAATAAAATGAGTTAGGTTTATTTGATATTTGGAAAAAAATAACGGAGAAGCAACGAAAAATATGTTCATTTTATTTGTATACTGCTCTTCCTGCGTTTACAATATTCGTATAAATGTCTTGGAATTTGTCGAGGAACGAAGGAGAGAGTGTAATCGTGAAGAAGTACAGAGAGTGCAACTGAAAAGAACAGTCCCAAGGTATAGAGAGTGCAACGAAACACGAGGCCTGTTCTTTTTCGCTGCACTGCTGCACTGATGCAATAAGTTAGAGTGAGACAAATATATATTTGTTTCACTCTAACTTATTGCACCAGTGCAGCAGTGCAGCTAAAAAGAACAGACTTACGAACAAATCCATAATCCATGATGAAATGAAATTTCCGCTTCCGGAAAGAGCGAGAGAGATAGAGAGAGAGAGAGATGGAGAAGAGAGCGGCTGGAGAAAGGGAGCGAGAAGGAGGGGAAAAGAGCGAGTGAGTGAGAGAGAAGGAGAGAGAGGGAGTGAAAACCAGAGATTTTTAAATCGCGACGCGTACCGCGATTCAACATGGTGGCGATCAGCTGTCTTCTGTCACAATGATGTTCATATCGACGAGCGCGAGCGGATTATCTCGGCTGATCGCGGTGTACGCGCGCTGCCGTTGATCGTGATCGGGTTGCGGCGGATCTCAAATTCGGCGCGTTCAGTACTCCTGCCGATCGTGCATCGGGATTTGCTTCTTCCGGTGCTGACGCGTGCGACACGGGACGACTGATACGACGCGCTCGCTCATTCGCACATCTGAAGTGAGAGCGCGACGAGTGGACGCGCAGCCTATCGCACAAAAGCAATATGGTGACTGACCAACTGATCGGCTGTCGGGGGTGATAGAGCGCACATTCGAGCGGGGAATGTTTAATAATATTGTCATTGTTAACCGTGTGCGTCGGTGAGCGCGAGTGATGAACTTGACGTGATCCGGAGCCTCTTCAAAGGCTAAAGAACGTGAGAACCATGTGCGATGTGTGTGTCGACTTTCACGATCTTCTGCTCTCTTGTAAGCAACGTTCTATTGTGTATACAGTAACCCGTCCGTTTCTTAACCTATATCGTGTGTCTCACACGCGACGAAACGCGGGCCGATTTCCATCGGCAGCGGGAGACGGGCGCCGTTAATACAACGCGAGAGATGCAACTCGAAATCCCTCGAAACGCTGAGACACGAGTCACGTGCTGAAGATTTATAACCTTAACCGTTGATTGCTTCAGGAGCGCACGGACTTTAACGTTGAAACTTGGGCATTTCATTAAATAAATGTTTCCGCGTTTTATGTTATTTCACTATAAATATACGATTCTTCGTTATAACTTCGCATCAGCGTGTTGGCCACGACGATTTGACTTCCTCATTCGATACGAATTCGCGAATTTTAACGAGTATAACAGATTCTATCAGATCTCTGGTTTTCCCAACGACGTTTTGCAATACATTTTCCGCTGAAAAATCACTTTGTGAATTGATAACTCAATCTGTGCGTTATTAGAGATCGTTTGCTAAAGATACTCATGATCGGTTTCTAAAAAGTATGTTTCTAAAAGTGTATAAAAAGGTGTTTATCAGCAAAACACTTGAGATGTTTTTAAATATTATGTTAAATATGTTATAAAAATATTTTATAAAAAGAACTATGTAAAAAGAAGAGGGAAACATAGGTTTCATAAGTGATAGTTCATATTTATATTAGTTACATACATGTATGACTCGTGTACTGTTTTTGTAGATGACGAACGTTCGTCAAAGGAACAAGATGCATTGGCCACATTATGCATAACAGATGTGGACACAACATTGCACTATGTTAATCAATGGATACAGAGGTACTTAGGACTTGTCTGATTTGTGAATATGTGCATTGCATGTGATTTTCTTTCTTTATATATAACCATGATTAATTACAATATATTATATATGATATGATTAATTATACAATATATTTGCAATAATGATTTCAGGCAATGTATGTGCTGTTATCGCGAAATTAAGAATTTCGATCGGTTTATAAGGTTAATCCAAAGTGTCGTGCTCTGTACGTTGCAACAGTTGCAAGCTATACAGCAAAATGGACAGCAAACAAATATCACTAAGGAGACTTCTGAGGAGGGAAAGGATGAGAGTGAAGATAAGAGTATTAAGCGAAAATCGAGTGATAGTGCAGAGCATACGCAGGTTCAGGAGATTCAGACGAAACAAACTTGGTCCCAGCAGGACAGAGAAAAATTGTTTCATCTTCTCTCAAAGATCCTGGTACTGAATTTCCCTCTTTATCTCGCTATGAAGCATGGTGGTGTAATCAATCCGTTGGCTCCTGTCAAGGTGGGAACTCTATTTTCGTTTGTATAAGATACAAAGTTTGAATTGAACAAAATCGATGAGCCGATATTGATACATGAAATTACTCGACGATCTTTTAGGACGAAGGTGGTTACTGCGAGCCGCACGATCCGGAGGTACCAGCGCCATTGATCCGCGCAGTATCTATATTTTGCCATCAAGGAGGTTTTAATCTGATGTCCGCCTGCTTCGACATGGAGAACACACTGCCCGTTAGTCTCGCGCATGCAATGGTCGCGGTAGTTTGTAATTTGAAGCTCTGGCTAAATTACGGCAGTGTCATACAGTTATTCATACCGTTGCGCAGCCGTGTCATGAAGTACATGTGTCGTTTGGGCGACAAGGAATTGCGTACTCCGGCCGTTAGAACCATGGCTGGTATGTTATCGAAGCTGAGACTCTCTGACGTACGAAACGTTTAAACTGTTTAATATTAGAGAGATGCGAGCTCACTACTTTCCGCTTGAAACTTTCCGCTTGAACGTAACGCTCTTTTACCCAACCCTTAGATTTCATGTGGAGCGCGGTGAAAGATCCGATTGACGCTGTACTACCGAGCTTCGATCGTGACGGGCTCGATCTGGCATTCAAATACTTCACCAGCACGACGTTGACCATGAGGCTGGCCGGTGTGGCTCAAATAAACGCTCACATCACGGCGTCCAACGAACTCTGCAATAGCGAAACTGTCGCTGAGGTGGAGCAAGTAGGACATGCGCTTGCCGCTTGGTTAACCGAGAATAACATCATAGCCCACATATTCGGACCAAACTTGCACGTGGAGGTGATCAAGCAGAGTCACATTATACTGAGCTTCCTGGCGATGGAAGGTAGAATCACATCCTCGGACATGGACACCATGTGGCAGGCCGCGCAGCTCAAGCACTGCGGCCGTCCGGTTTATGATCTGCTGGCGCCTCTGGTCAAACATCTTGCGTCCACTCCCGTACTTCATTTGTACTCTTTGCTAGGTAAATTAGAACCTAAGGACCACACGGAGCAGAGTCTGTTCTTAGCGTCGGCTTTGATCAAATTCATTTGGACGTCTGGTGGCTCGGTAACTTGCTCGAGAAGTATGTCAATGAAGAACAGAGAGATTCTCAGGAGCTCCTCCGGCAGAGTCGGCGGTGGTAGCAGTAGTAGCGATCCGAGCGGAATGGACGCCAGCAGTCCCGAGGACGACGAAGAGGAAGAACCTAGCCCGACACCGTCCGACGGACCGTCGCCTAGGAAACAAGCGAGAGCTGACAGCAGCGATGGCGAAGGTACATATAATTTCAGCTCTACGTGCTTCTTTGATCTTTAATACGTCGTATTATATAGTATACAATTATTTTAACTATTAACATAATATATATTAGTGTATATTATTATTAATTTGTGGATTTTTTATAATTATAGAGAAGATGATCCATCTTAAATGCTCATCTAAAATATTCCCGAAAAAATGTGATATTAAAAAAAATATTTGAGACAACAGCTGTTCAGTCTTGCCTCTAAGAGGCAAATATAAAATAGTGACTTTAATCTGATCTTGTTTTTAAGATGGCTAACTCTGTACATAATTACGCTGTAATTATTCTTACATTATTAGCGCTACAACACTCTTCGCATTTGTAGGGCATTACAAAGGGAAATCTTTGACGACCACGACCATCGAGTCGAGTCCCGCTGAGATCGAAGGTCTCCATTCTGACAAGTCCGAAGGCAACGTGGAATTGGTGAAGGATCACTCATCGGCGAACGTTATTCAAGACGAAGCGAAGAACAAGCAGAGCGGATCCGACGCAGAAGCGGATACTGAGAAATCTAACACGGAAGAGGCGTTCGTACAGGAAAAGAAGAAGCGGAAAATCCTGCGCAAGCGAAAGAGACCCCAGAAGCGCTCACTGACCGCCGTTGAGAAAACCTTAGAAGACATCGTCGGTCAAGAGACCAATGTCAAGTCGAAGAATCTGTCGGACGCAAGGAGTCGAACGGAAGACGTGTTGAATGGCAGCCTGCACGTGGGCGCTTTAGCCTCCTTGGATGAGCCGAAAAGCGTGGACGCGTTGGATCGCGTGAAGCAACAGGCGATGGCTTTGGACCCGAGTGATCAACAAGTCCCTACCACGGCGGCGCTTCTGAGACGTGCCAACAAAAACAAGTACATGCCATCTTTGGTGGGTTATAACGGGATTGATCGAGCGGCCGAATCGGCGGATAGTTCGCACGACGAGGACGACAGCGATGTAGCGGGTGTGCTCGCCGCCGCGGACGGCCCCGGTGCGGTGATATCCGAACTCGCCGGTCTGGTACACGCGACCGGTCCTACATTCTTACCGTCAGGTTTGGACGAGATGCTATCGGATGAGGAGGGCTCGTACAGCAGTAGAATATCAAACAAGAGTGAGAAGAACATGGCTGATTTTGACGGCGAAGAGAGCGGCTGCGAAGAGGAGCTCGCTCAATTAGCCGCTCGTCACCTCACCGCCATACAAATGCAGGCTTACCATCCGCATCATTCACATTCGACTATGACGATCAGAAGAGCGGTATGTCAACCGCCGCAGGTACGAACCATTCGACAATCGGTCGCGAGACTGAGCTCACAATTCAACACGGAAACTGTCTGCAAGCCCGGCAATACGTTGCTCTGGGACCTCCTGCAAGACGACAAAATAGGACAATTGGGTGAGGGCTTGGCGTCGGAGGCCGAGAAAGCGTTGTGCAATCTTTTGTGCTTCAATGTCGATCAAAAGATCCCGGAGAAATTCATCGAGGGTTGTCTGGAGAATCTGGCGATGAACCGCTCCGTGGTTATCTCGCTAAGATTATTGCCGAAGCTGCTGGCGAGTTTTCAACAAGTGAGTCCGATAGCGGAGCCGTATAAAGCGATGCTCCAGGCCAACGACGACGGTATGATGAAGTACTTCTTCAGCAATCTGAAAACTTACATGAGCACAGGACCGAAGAGCAATCTATATTCGCATCAAACGGAGATACAAGTCAGGCTACAATTTCTATCGTCAATTTTCTCGCCCTTGGGCTCGCCGGAGACCTTCCGCTTAAGTCTGGAACAGGTGGACATACTGTGGCAGTGCTTGTCGCAGGATCCGACCTGTGCGGACGAACTTTTCAGCTGGCTGCTTAGCCAAGCGAAGTCCACGGAACAGCACGCTTTAGGGATGGACACCCTCAAGCATCTCTGTATACGCAAATTACCGAGCTTACCGGCGGAAACCATCAGTATGACGGGCTTGAGTCTATTTCAGCAATTGTGCAACTTGGCGCGTCTGGCCGCGACGCACTACAACGGGCTACCGGAAGGGGACTTTGTGGGTATGGATTTTCTGTGGCGGATCGCACTAAAGGCCAAGAGCACGGATGTCAGTATGGCGGCTATACAGTATATCAACGCTTACTACATGTCGCAGCAACTTAAGTACGAGGCGGAATTCGTTTCTCAGTGCATGACGCATCTCGCGGCAGCCAGCGCCGACCTTGAGACCAACGAAGAGGCGAGTTTACGCTGCATACAACGCGCCTTGCTCTTGCTGAGGACACATCTGGAGGCTTTTCGGAAACGTTATGCCTATCACTTGCGCCGTTGGATGTTGGAGGGCAGAGGCGCTGGTAGTTACGTAGCCATGAACACTTCCGACAAGGGCCAACAACTGCGGATTTTCGTGCAGCCGGCTGGTATACCTGAAAAGATGAGCTTTATTCTCCTTAATACCGACTACGTGGCCGACTTAAGAGCTGAAGTTGCCAAATGGTGGGACGATACGCAGAACACTCAAGAGAAGTCCGCGTCTTCCGGCCAGAACGCCCGAGCGCCGAACAGCGGCTCGGTTCTGGGATCATTGCTCACCGACGGTCCAATCAGGATGATCACCCAGGGTCAAGAACTGACGATCGACTTCGATGAGAAGACTCTGCAGGAGATGGGTTTCAAGGACGGACAATTAGTATTTATTTCACCCGGCGCCAGCAGGGGCAGCGCGAGCCGTTGCGCAGGCAAATTAGCGCGGGAGGCGGAATCACCCTCGATGATACCGCCCCCGTCAACAGACTCCTTTCCGACGTTGCTGCTGCTGCAGCCGCAGTACTTTGAGCAACTGTTCACGCTCATGAGGACCCTTAGCGCCATGAGAACGACCGTGAAGGGCGGTCAAGAAATACCGCACACGAAGGCCCAGGTGCTCTCGCGGAGAGTTTGGGACACGCTGACCCTCTTACCGACCAGTCCAACTTTGCTGCGAGGCTTCCAGAAGCTCGATGAGGCGTCTCTACAGGAATTGTTCGATCCGGCTAGTCCGCAGAAATTGATGTACTCTTTGTACATAGTCGAGTCCCTGGGTCGACGCGGCGCGATGAGTCAGCCGTTGACGAGCAACAATCCCATCGTAACGAGCGCAGCGTCGCACGAGGGTGGCGGTGACGCAGATGACAATCATGATGACAGGGAGAAAGACGTCGCCTGGTCCACGTTGTTTGTGCAACATGGCGGATTGCGGCATCTCTTCGATATCTTCATGTCTGGCTGTCTGGAGCAGGGAGACGGCAGCGAGTGGCAACAGGATTGCCTGGCCAGTCTGCTAAAGCAATTGTGTCATCTCGGGGTTGTGAAGGACGATAAGAAGCGCCAGAAGCCCGACAAGCTGCTGGTACCGAAGCTCAGCGAAGCAATGCTGCGGATGATGAACGTCGACACCGTGATGTCGCGGATAACCAGCATCTTGAACGACGCTTCGTTGCCACTTGATCCGAATCACTACAAGACCGGACTTTTTGGTCGCTCGCAGGTGATACATTACGTGATGGCCCTGCTCGTCTGCTGGGTACACAGTGACCCGGCGGTCAGACAATACCTTTTCTCGTCGTCTGAGCCGTTTGGAAAAACGTGGCTGCGCAGACTAGTGCTGGAAGATCCGGAGCCGGCAGTGAGACGTGAGGTGTGTACAGGTTTGTACAAGTTGTGTCTAGGTACCACCGGCGCAGAGGACGACGCCACGGACGTTCCGGGTCTGTTGGTGCCCATGCTGAACACCCTGCTGGAGCATCTGGTGATCGCCGAGGCGATGCAGCCCTCTCACCGCAAGCCGGACTTACCGCTGCACCTGCATCCCGTGTTGGACGACGGGAAGGAGCCATATGGGCCTGCTTGTCGGGACTTCTTCTGGCTGCTATGTCGCCTGGTGGACTCCTTACCGAAGACGAGCAGCTGTACACCCGCTCACAACGCTACGCTGTTGGTCGAGCTGGCGAAGTCAACGACACCTGCGACGATACGCGAAGGCCAGGACGACTCCTCCAGCGCCACCAGCATCGACCTGGAGGCATTGGCGATACGAGTGATCGATTCTGTACTCAACAGGGAGCACTTGGAGACGCGGCACAACACGGTAGAGGACGATGCGCTGGTCGGCTTGCTGAATCTCACGTGCAACATCATGGCGCACAATCCGCCCTGCAAGCAAGGCAAGATCGGGCAGAATCTACTGGACGAGGTGTTTGACTTCTTGTTTGCATTGCCGAATCCGCGCAGCAAGCATGTGCCCAAATGCAAGAGCCAAGTGTCCAGGTCCGCTGCGTTTGATCTGTTGGTCGAGCTGGTGAAATTCGCGCCTGGGAATTACCGGATACTGCACGAAAAGCTGCTCGCGCAGCACCGCCCTGGACCGCACTCGCCGTATCCGTGGGATTATTGGCCGCACGAGGACGGACGTTCCGATTGCGGCTACGTCGGCCTCACGAATCTGGGCGCGACGTGTTACATGGCCAGTTGCATGCAGCATCTATATATGATGCCGCAGGCGCGCGTCTCTATTTTGGGCGCCGATTGCAATCGTGCGAACAAACACCAGCTGACGCTGCGGGAGCTGCAACGGATGTTCGCTTACCTGCTAGAGTCCGAGAGGAAGGCGTACAATCCGAGGAGCTTCTGCCGCGTATACACAATGAACCACGAGCCGCTCAACACTGGCGAGCAAAAGGACATGGCTGAATTCTTCATCGACCTCGTCTCCAAACTGGAAGAAATGACGTCAGACTTGAAGAACCTGGTGAAGACGTTGTTCTGCGGCGTGATATCCAACAACGTCGTTTCTCTTGATTGCGAGCACGTGAGCAGGACCTTGGAGGAGTTTTACACGGTCCGATGCCAAGTAGCGGACATGCGGAATCTCTACGAGAGCTTGGACGAGGTGACAGTCAAGGACACATTGGAGGGCGACAACATGTACACCTGCTCGCAATGCGGTAAGAAAGCGCGAGCCGAGAAGCGCGCCTGCTTCAAGAAGTTACCGCACATATTGTGCTTCAACACGATGCGCTACACTTTCAATATGGGCACGATGCTGAAGGAGAAGGTGAACACACATTTCAGCTTCCCGCTTCGGCTCGACATGTCCGGTTATGTCGAGAAGAAACTGATGCCGCAACACTGTCAGGATGAGAAGAAGGCGTCCGAGAAACGGAAACTCGAGAACGACGGCCATGCGTTGCTGACGGACGACGTGGAGGAGGAAGAGGAAGAGGAGGAGATGGAGCATTATCTGTACGATCTGATCGGTGTGACGGTTCACACTGGGACGGCGGACGGCGGGCATTACTACAGCTTCATCAGGGACCGCACGTCTCCCAACAAGGACAAGTGGTTTTTGTTCAATGACGCCGAGGTCAAGCCATTCGATCCGAATCAGATCGCTGCGGAGTGTTTCGGTGGCGAGATGACCAGCAAGACGTACGACTCTGTGACGGACAAGTTCATGGACTTCAGCTTCGAGAAGACCAACTCGGCGTACATGCTGTTCTACGAATGGTGTGCCGATCCTGGCGAGCAACCAAAAGAGGAGGAAGCCACCGTCTCGAGTCCCACCGTCACCAGCGGTCGCTCATCTTCCTTGATGCGCAAAGACATGAACAAACTGCCACCGCTGGAGCTGAGTAAGGAGCTCGAAGACTGGATTTGGCAGGATAACATGCACTTCCTGCAGGACAAGAACATATTCGAGCACACGTACTTCGCGTTCATGTGGCAGATCTGCGGCTACATACCGCAGACCTTGCTCTCCATGCAGCCGGACATCACGGAGATGTCCGCGGAGCTGTCCACGTCCTTCTTCATGGAGACGTTCATACACGCCAAGGAAAAGCCGACGATGGTGCAGTGGGTGGAGCTGCTGACGAAGCAGTTCAACGCCTCGGCTGGCGCGTGTGCGCGCTTCCTCGAATGCATGGCCGGCAACTCGTGGTGGCCTATTCAGATTCTAGTCAAGTGTCCTAATCAAATGGTCAGGCAAATGTTTCAACGGCTATGCATCCACGTGATTCAACGATTGCGCGCTACTCAAGCACCGCTGTACCTTCTTTGCGACGAGGAGAACGATGTTAACACCGTCGGCACCCGATCCTGCGTCACGAGATTCGTCCGCATGTTATTGTCACTCATGGAGCACGCTAAGCAGCACCTCAAGCATCTTACCGAATACTTCAGCTTTCTCTACGAGTTCAGTAAGATGGGCGAGGAGGAGACCGTCTTCCTCATCCGTGTGCAAGCCATCTCCACGATGGTGAACTTCTATCTCGGCCACAAGACGCACGAGTTTGTTGACGCGGTCAGTGAGGAGGAGGAGGAGGAAGAGATCGTCACTGTACCCACGGAGAAACTCCGTTCCGCCTCTTTAGATAAGATGATTACGCTGATAGCCACCTTGGTCGAACGCAGCAGAGGACCGGATCACAGGCTAGCCTTGTCGCCGGCGGATCTCAGCGCCGTCGCGGGTGGCAAGGGCTTTCCCTTTCTGTACCAACAGACCCGAGACCTCATCAATCTCAGCCAGACCAGGAATTTGATACAATCACTGTGTCGTTGGAACGATCGGCTGGCTATACACGTGGTCACGATGATATTTCAGGCGATAATGAAGCACACCGACGTGTGCCAACCGTTCTTCAAACTGTTGACTTTACTGACTGAGAGCTCCGGGCCGAGCGGTCTGCCCTGCATGACCCAGCTGATTCTCAGCAGGGTCTGGGAAGCGGCGAGGGTGGCTCCGCACGGTGCCCTCGAGTGGCTGGCTCTAGCGGTCACGAGGAGCAAGCTGGCGCACGCCTGGGTACTGCAAGGCCTCGACACGTGGCTGCAGCACTTCCTCCTCGAACATTCGAATCAGAGAGTTCGCTCGGCCGCTGCTTTTCTGCTGGTGTCGTTAGTCCCGTCTACGCACTTCCGACAAGGCTATCGCAGCGCGCACCGCCTCGGTCTGGGCTGCAACGCCTCCAGAGAGCTTCAACTGTCGCCGGAAGCCACTCTGATACTGCATCAGATCTACACGGCGCTTCTGAGGCTGCTACAACCCGCGAGACATTACATCGACATACAAACTCATGGTACAATGAAGCTCACTGCCTATTTCGCATTGCTCACATACTGCGTAGTCTCTAAGACCGAAAAATTAATGGTGGGTAAACTACATACTAATACAAAATATGTATATACATATATATCTTGTACCTTCTTGGGTACAATCGGGGATCAGCGAGTCTGACGCTGCTCGCTTCTCCATTTGCAGTTCGGCCAATATCTTAATGATCTGTGGACCCTCTTTCATCCGAAGCTCTCGGAACCTAGCATTCCGGTGCATCATAACAAACAAGCGGTACTCCTGTTCTGGTATCATGTTTGCTCCAATTGTCCGGAGAACGTCGCTATGATACTTCACAACCCGCATATAACGAAAAACATTGCATTTAACTACATACTGTGAGTTAACTGTATTTCTGCTCCTTTTCTTCTCTGATTTCTGCAAGCAATACTTTGTATTCTTTGTATTTCAATTGAGTATAAGATTAAATTGAACTTAATTGAGCTTGGCTTAAACTTAAGTTTAATTGAAAGTTAGCTTGGTTAGTAAGTTATTTAATTTTAAGATTAAGCAAAATATCCTTTTACAGCTACTTTCAAAATTAAATAATGCGCGATAATGACGCAAAATATTTGCTAATATTTATTTGGCCAGCGTAATATTCTAGGCGCTACGACAAAAGGCAATCAATATTATTGTTTAACATATAAAAATAATATGTTGTTTCTTCTGATTCGATTTTTTTCTGATTCGTTCCAGAGCCGATCATGAAGATCAGGATGTCGTCCTGTTTAATAGAGTCATGTTACCCGCTTATTACGGCCTCTTGAGGCTTTGCTGTCAACAATCGCGCACTTTCACAAGACAATTAGCTGCTCATCAAAATATCCAATGGGCTTTCAAGAATATCACACCTCATCCTACTCAGTATTCAACCGTGAGTTCTGATCGAATTCGTATAATGCGTCTATTGTCGACTCGGTTCGATATTTGGACTCTCCAACGTGTAATCTCCAACTTCTGTGTTTGAGCGTAACTTTCTCTTTTATGCAGGCGGTGGACGAATTGTTCAAACTGATGCAACTGTTAGTCCAGAGGCATTCCGATCAAACAGAACAAGAGGAAGCGGAAATTGCGTCGTTTAGAAGAGGCACATTGTCCTCCTATTTACAAGGGCTGGATGGTCGGTCGTGTTGGGCGACTCTCATCTCTGCTTTTCGGTACACTATACACATCTATAGAATTATATCGTATTAATATTAGAGTATTTGAGTTACCACTACGTTATACTAACATCTGTTGTATTTTGTCATCATATTACTAATACTATTAGTGATAATATCGTAGTGGTAATATTATTACACATCTTGTTTTTAATACATTATTTTAATAATTTATATATTTTACATATTTGCATATTTTACATATTTATTTACATAATTATATATTTTACACATACAGAGTATGCCAAAAAGATGGAAACTCTGGATTAACTTGAACGAATGACGTTTTTGAAAAAAATATTAAGTACGAAAGTTTTAGGGTATGGAAATGGGCATCTAATGGTGAACTTGGACTTGACCTAGGGATCAAATTTTAAGGTCAAATCAGGGTCAACTTTAAAATTGTAAATTTACTCCTTACTTTATTTTTTTTTATTATATCATCTTTTTTACTTTGATTAATTTGAACAATTTTTGTCTGAAACATTTTTGTATTTGTCTAATATTTTTTTTAAGATATTTGAGAAAAACTTGTTAATTTTTTCGTGATTTTTGATAATTTTAAAGTTTCCAAAGGTCAATAAGTTAATAAAGATTAATATTATAACAACATATTCTTGAGACTAAATAGAGCAAAAAAAGGTCTTGTATCACCGGCAAATAGTTACTAAGATATTATAAGTTAAATATTGAAAAAGTTACTAAGTTATCCTTAAATATCTCAAAAAATATTAGACAAATAAAAAATGTTTCAGACAAAAGTTGTTCAAATTAGTTGGTAGAAAAAAATGATATAATAAAAATGAAAGTTTCCATTTATATATGATTTTACGAGTTGACTTTGATTTGATCTCTAAATTCGATCCCTAGGTCAAGTTCAGCGCTAGATGTCCGTATAAATACGAATTAACATGCAATGTATGAAATGTCTTCCAGAATTCTCATCGAGTCAGACGATGATCGTTTGTACGTTGTTTACAACGGTGGCCTAAGCATGGCTCTCGAAGCGTTTCATATGCTGCACATCATGTACCACGAAGCGACAGCGTGTCACGTTGCGGGCGACCTAGCCGAGTTGATCGCCATCATCGTCGAGTTGGTACGCTGCATTCGCACCGCCAGGGACGGACCGGATGCGAGAAATATCCTGGCAAACTGCAAGGAGTGGCCGGATGTGCTGCGTAAACTGGCGACATTGCTAAACACTTACAATCCGCCAGACATGAGAAATCTGGCCATCGACCTGTTGAAGGAGCTCGTGATGCTCGTCCCCGCCGAAGCAATACTGATCTTAGCGCCATTGCTCTCACACTGCCATGCAGCTCTTCAAGAGTCTCACGCCGCGGTCCCGCCTGGCCCGTATCTACCACGAAGATCCACTCCAGCTGGGAAGATGCCGACCAGACCCGCTAGGCCAATGGTGCAGATGGCAGTGCCACATTCGCAGCTGGAAGCGTCGAAGGGAGTTGATCCAGAATACGACAGCGCGTTGTTAGAGTTCTATCTACCTTATCACGAACTGATAGATGTCATGTGCAGATTAGCGATCAATAATGACTGCATGACGGATACGCTGGTGAATCTGAGCGCCATGCTCGGCTTCGAGGGTGAGTAATGGACGAACGGGGAGGCGACCAACGCGGCTCCTGGTGCTCATTTCACGCCTGTTGCAGGTGTCCCGCTGCACTTGGCTCTGTTCCCCAGACTGTGGCTGGACGTGCACGCTACTGCGCACATAGACAGGAAGCACATAGCGTCTCTCATTTGCTCTTCTTACACGGTGGACTACGTGGACGCAGTGTTGTTGGACGAGAGATCGTCGCTGGGTGTGCCGGCGATACACGCCTTCCTCAAGACCTTCTTCCCGAAGCTGGCCAGCCACGTGCTGACCGAGCAAACATGCTTACTCATCGACAATCTCGTCACTTCGATGACAACGATGGTGGAGGCAGTGGACGTCGAGACGTCCGCACAGAGGCTCACCGGCGACCTACGCGCCTTGGCGCTCGTCTACAGCAGCAGCACAAGACTGAAGCCGCCTACTACTTTGTTGCCGGCGTTGGAAACTCTGTTGTCGCGTACACGGACTATCACGGTGAAAAAGAGCGGTTCTTCCGATAGCGAGACACCCGCCAAGAAGCGCAAGCTCGTCAACGACGATAGTGAGCCGCCCGATAAGGACTTGCGCGTCGTGCAGGTGAAGGACGGCATGGAGAACAGCATGTCGTCAAAGCCGGAGGACAAGGCGGACATGATGAAGCACGGCGCGATGTCTTCCGAACCTGACGACGACAAGGCCGCTGTCGCCGTTACCGCCACCCGGCAGAAGTCGGGCAACGTTCAAACGGAGGCGATCGCCAGCGGCATCAGCAACGTGTCGCCGAGCTTGGTCACCACCGCGAATGCCTGTACAAATCAGTTGCGCTGCACCTTGACTAACGTCTCGTGGCTCGAGATGCTCGAGAGCACCATCGTCGATCTCCAGATGATCGTGCAAGTGCAGAGCAAGAATAATTAATTTTCACCCCGCGTTCGATGTAGAACGATCCTGCGAACGAACGGTGCGTCGCATAGGCAGGTGGAATACGTACGATGACGATGATGATTATGCGGCACTGACGTTGTTGCCCCTAGAATTCTAACGTTCCCCTGCTCTCACGTCTTATGTATGTGTGTGTACGTGCGCGCGCGCGTATGTGTGTGTGTGTATGTGTGTGGGGGATGTGTGCACGCGTGCGTGTACAGGGTGTGTGCGCGCGCGCGCGTGTGTGTGTGTGTGTATGTATGTTGTGTGTTCGTACGTCTTGTGTATGATCTTACGTCGATAGTCTACGTGCTAACGTGAATTCGCGCTCCTTCGCAAAAATCGGATGTAACTTAATATGTGTAATAATGTCGTAAAGGGAGATAAAAAAAGTATATGTACCGACCGCGATTTACTTTCCAAATATAGAAGGATATGAAGTATTTTCATTATGATTTAAGTTGCGTCACATGAAACGGCACATGAAAACAAACCTGACAGGGAGAGAAGGGGGGAGCCATGTCGTGTGGGATTGGGTATCCGGGACTGAATAATTTTCGAACTGAAATGTTCGTTAGTTCTGTGAGATTTCTGTCTCGCTGGGCAAACCGATAAACGTGATGCGCGCACTCGAACGTGCAATAAATAAATATAAAACCATCCAGTATTGAAAAGAGCGCGAAGTATATTAAGTCTTAAGGTACTCTTCAAACGCTACAAACGCTGTCGAGGGGACAACTTTCGTCGACACATCGTAAATTATTTCTACGGTTTCACGCTACACTCGCGTGTCTCACTCCTCTATGTGTGTGTATGTGTGTGTATGTGTGCGCGTGTGCTCGCCTGTGTATCTGCCTCTACTGCTGTGTGTGTATGTGTGAGTATATGTACATGTGAAAGGGATCTCACAGGGTTTTTCGCAAAGAAAAGAGAAGAAAACGGAAGTAAGGAGGAGCACGTGCAAAATCGTCCGTCGAAATGTCTGTCACGGTCGTGTGATATCACGTCGCTGCTGGCATACACTCGGCCCGTCTCTCGTTTCGACATATCCTTCCATTGTTCTCTCGCGTTTTGCAACCCGCCCTTATTTCGAGAACAAAAATCGACCTGCCAGGTCGTTCTACTTCGCGCAATTTCTCCAGATATTGGCGATTTCGCTCTCGAAATTTGTAAAAAAGAAAGATCGACGTTATCTCGCTCGTTTCCCTTCACCATCGTTAGACCACCGTCGGAGAAGGGAGAGACAAAGGAGGATAATCTATCGATACATATGAATATGATTTCGGTTCGAGCTCGAACTTGGACTTTTCATTTTTACAAATTCTCGTAGAGACTTAAGTTCTTAGTGAAGTAATAGCGTAGGATTAAAGTAAAATTCGCTAGCGTATTTATTTATTTTCGACCATCGCCGTGCGCGTGCGGACGAGCGCTGTAAATCCTTCCGGTGAGCCGAGGAACCCTTTCTCTCCTCCTTGTTTCGTCACCGTCTCGATCAACTATTCGCGCAGCTTACTTTCGTCAATTGTCCAATCGTAGCTTTCTCTTTTCATGTCCGCCAGCTAGCTCTCTCAGATCTCCATGTATCGTAGGATATCTCACCTAACGAACAAACGGTCGTAAGACATGAGAGACTTCCGAAAAGCGCGTTTTCGTCGACGACGTATCTTGATTCCCGCGAACCTGCCGCGAAGACGCCTCGCTCTTGAGGAGAAGCGAACAGTGTTTTTCTCCTTTCCGTTGAAATCCATTGATTCTCGTCGAGTAATGGCACTAAGAGATGCATCATCTCGTTTGATGTAATCCTCTTGTGTTCTCGCGACTTCTATCAGCATTTTTCACCAAACAAGCACGAAGTTCAAGCGTAAGATAACACCATTTGTATATTACCACGACACACACACGCTGACTCGGCCGTTCAACAGAGAGATAAAGAGAGAGAGAGAGAGAGAGAGAGAGAGAGAGAGAAGAACTCTTTCCCGCACCAATGCTAAATTCTCACTCTCATCCCCTCATAGGTGTTTCACGATAAGCAGTGACCTTGTATGTTTGTCGAAATTCAAATAAACACGAACTCGTTCAATAGATATCGCGCGAGATGAAATCGATGAACGATCGCTTTATCCGCTTCATGCAATATATAACTACCTTAAGTGTCGCTAACGTTCGATGTATGATTGTGATTGAAAATCAGGAAAAAAGAACAAGTAGAAGAAATATCGGCTCTCTCTCTCTTTCTCTTTCCCTCTCTCTAACTTTATCCAATTTCTATCTATCTACTTTTCTTTTTTCTTTCTTTAAATCTGTCCCTCCATCAGGCAATGTGTTCACTACATCCATATGATTCGATATTCAATCTGAATAATGTCAATAATCGCGCGAATTCATCAGCGACAAACTGAACGATGACGCGAATCATCCGTGCATGATTCTCTCTTTGAACATGCTCTTCCATGCTGAAAGAGGAAAGAAAAGCGAGTTCAAAGTTGCGAAAGGGAAAGAAAAAGAAAAGAATAAGTCACCATCGGAAGGTATGAAGTAAGAAACGAATCATTTGATCATTTGATTCGCAATCAAATTTACCCGATTAACACTTTACATCCGATGAATTTAAGGGATCTTGAATTTATATCTTTGGTGTTATCTTATCTGTAAAATACTATATCCGTTAATATCCTGAATATGAAGTAGCACAAAATTATTTTGAGATTATCTCTCGAGATTATCTTGAAATTAAGATTGACCAGATTGTATCCTGGATATACTGAGGAGTGTCCTGGAGCCTCCTGAATACATCCAGAATATTTTGCACTATCTTGGATTTTATCTGCCAGTAGATATTTAATAGATAAAATTTATAATAGACTTAACGCCATCGTGCAAGATCTATTAAATTGTACAACTAAATTCGCTTCGTTTGATGTGACCGATTGATAATTGTTGATAAATTCAATCCACGTACGAATATTGCGTCTGGTGAACGCGTTGCTTGCAGAGTTCTATCGTCTTCATATGAGATACTAGAAGAGTGATGTTTATTTTCTATTGCTGAACTGATGTATGCTTTCAGAATTTCGAAAGAGATGTATGTACAGTTGAGACTTACTCGAAGAAAGAGAAAAGGGGAATTAGTGCAAGGTAGAGTATAATCAGTTTAACAATGGAAAACATTGCTCTATGTACTACACACGCATGTGAAACACAAAAGTTCAAATTCGCTTAGAAGAGCGGATTTTCCGATGTCACAGGCCGAGAAATTTCTTTTATCTTTTTTTAATTATCAATCACACATCAATGATTATCTCTCGCGTAATGTGTGATATATACAAGTCGTAAGTGTGTGTGAGTGTGTGCGTGCGTGCATGTGTGTGTGCGTGTATGTGTTTACCAATTATAATATATATATAGGAGATTATACAAGGAGGAACAGAGAGAATGCGGGATGATAGTAGGCATATAAGCGAGAAATGCATAAACCATGAAAGGCGCGATCACGTAAGCATTTACAGAACTTTACGTGTTTAATTGATAAAAATTTCGATAACGACGTATATTACCGAGGGCCACAGAGAGTTGTGCTGTCCGACTTTCTCGACTCTTTTCGATGATAACGACGACGACGACATCATGACGAGCAGTCGACGATTTATAAACGATGTATGTATTATGACGAATGAAAGGCGCTCATACTCGGTGGCGAACTTGAATCAAGACTGTAATAACAAACAAATTTTTCGAGCGTGTTGTGAGATTCGTCTTCTCTTCTCTTTTTCGTTTCCCGATCGTTCTTATCCGTCGTCGCGAAACTTCTTACCGAAGAAGCTGTATTTCGTCAGATTTGTATCTTCGACATGTGTTTACATTTGCGTATCCATTATCATTAAGATGTATAGTTTTTCGAACGATAATAAAAATATCTTGATTTTAAGATTAAACGTCCATATTTTTTATCTTGCGCCGCCATCTAGGAAAAAGGTAAAGTCGCGAAAAATGATACCCGTCTTTATAGAAACTTCCGAACTGTATTTTGAAATAATGGCCGATTCACTAACGCTCCGTCTAACGCCATCTAGTAACGTCACAAAAAACTCATTAAACGAGATGCTTTTTGATGTGTTAAACACCCATTGAACTATAGCAGAGCTCGGCAAAATGTGCACGCAACGGCGATTTTCGACTATCTCCGCCCACCGCTATTCCCTTTACCTAGCCGCTCCGCGCGCTGCCTATAAGTCGCTCGAGTCTCAGGAGCGTGTTTCCAATAGTTTTCCACGTCACCTATAAAGTACTATTGTTGACGCGTTTTTTTTTAAGTGGTATTCCCAGTAAGCCTAATCCACTGATGACTGTAACAACCCGTAACTAATTGAACAGAAGCGAAATAAAATATGTTAAATGAAGAATATTCAATTCGATTTTCGGCGTCTTTTATTGGTAAGAGTGGAAACGTCAATTTGGATATTGTATGTAGCGAGCCGCATAAGACGAGGTAAGGAATCGTCGCTTAAAGAACACTTCTCATTTTTTATAAACTTCATTTTTGAAAAATGAAGAGGCCTACTGGGGATATCACTTAAAGAAAAACGCGTCAACAATAGTACCTCATGGGTGATATGAAAACTATTGGAAACACGCTCCTGAGGCTTGAGCGGCTTGAGGGCAGCGCGCGGAGCGGCGAGGTAAAGGGAATAGCGGTGGGCGGAGATAGTCGAAAATCGGCCGTCGCGTGTACATTTTGCCAAGCTCTGAACTATAGAACCAGAGAAACCTGAGAGCGGCCACAGCCGCGTTTTGCTTGAGGCGTTTTTTCGCGACTGTTTGATACCGCCCTCTGCATCCATTTTTAGCCGGGAACTATTTGCTGCATCCATTTTCTGGCGCGCCGGTAAAGTCTCCACTTGGTGCGAGTCCGTGCTACGTCCACTTTCAGTCGCACGGCAGCGATGGAAAATCGGTGACGGGTTTGCCAGCGAATTTCCCCCACCACTTACGCACTCACAGCCGACTCGGTCTATCTGTGTCGGCCACGCGCTCGGCAATCGTCGGCGCGCCGAGCGAGAGAGAGAATATCATTCCCTCTTTCTCGCTCTCGTATTCGCTCGGCGACACGAGCGAGAATATCTTTCCCTCTTTCTCGCTCTCGTTCTCGCTCAGCGACGCGAATTAGGCTGATTCTTTCTCGGCTTTAATCTGAGTCGCGGGCGCGACTATGACGATACTGAGTTTTTCCTATTCGGCGCGCCGAAATTATTATGAATATTATTTTATTATTAATAATTTTATTGTTTATAATAATAATATTAATAATGTTCCGCGCCGAGAAAATGAAATATATTTCATTAATTGTTTTACTGAGGCGGACAGGTTCATAGATTTGATTGTTGTTGGGAATTGTTTAATAATATTTGAAGAATAATTTTAAGTTGTACAAAGATGTAGAATAAAATATTATAAAAGTATTATACAAAATTAAGAAGGTACGAAATGAAACCTTCTTGCTTTCATTACAATATATCCTCTGAATTAACAAATACTCTTCAAACAGTATTAAACAATCCTCAAAAACAATTACATCCGTGAAATCTTCTGTTTGTGCGAAAAAACTTCATAAAATACGTCTGTTTCGCCGTGCTGAATGAGAAAATCCTCAGAACAATGTTCCCAGATAGCACACGGACGTCCACTGGACGTCCGTTATATGTCCATTTTTTTTACAAAAGACGTCCATCGGACATGACGTCCGATGGACGTACATCGGACGTCCTACAGGTTCGATGTTCAAATAAGGACATCCTTGTTACGTCCAATTTATGTCTACGGACATAAATCGGACATACGGACAAAAATTGAACGTGAAACGTACATCCATTGGATGTCCGGTGTTATCTGGGCTATATTTAAAATGATGTACAGTGCATTAATAAATATGCAGTCTAGTAAAATGGTAATTTATTTGCCTATTATAATATCTTCGAATGTATTCACTTGTTTGCGAAACGGTTTTTTCCCATGTATTTTCGATGCAGTGTCGAACAGCACAACTGTTAATCCAATGAATCTGTTTAAGAGAAATAAGTGGACCATTCCAAATAAGTAGCAGTGCTCTGAGTTCAGTGTTCAGTGCACCACTCAATAAAAATATAATAATACTATGTTTGTATTTAAATGACACAAAGTTTAACGAATTGTTTGTGAAAAATCACCGTAAATAGATGAAAAACTAAAGTGTACAGTTATAGCATACAGTTTAGAAAACCCACTCTTTGCTAGCAACGTGGATAGAATCAAGTTGGAAAAAGAGTAAACATTCTTCTTGCGATGATACCAAAGTATGAAGCAAATGCATTATGCATGTAGTATTGCAGTGGTATTGTGCATGAATGCATGAAGAATGAAAAACTATTAATTATTAATAATTATTAGTAATTAAGTAAGTAATTAAGTAAGTAAGTGTTTAAAAACATGTACTGTGTCGTGTATATTAATGGTTTTAGTAAAAAAGAATATGTAAATCCACATTACTGCTCGATGGAAACCGCGAGAAGGTGGTGGTTTTTTCCATCAGGAGGAAATGATAAACAAATGTCGAATAAGTCACTTATGAAATGGAATTATTTGACATTGGTTTATATTTCCTAAGGAATGGTAGGATGTAAGGAAAGGAAGAAGCAAACATAAAGGGAATAGTAATGTCATGCAAGCGTCATGCAGACAAAACATACAAACAAAGAAAATGCGATATTAAAATACACAAAAGATATTACAGCTACTGTATTTACAGTTGCAATAATGCATGCATTTGCACAATGTTTTTATGAAAAGTCTTTCACACAGTGGAAAGCGAGATTTAATGCGTAAATCTGCCTTTCTCTGCCAACACCAAGTATCTGTGACATGTCATCTATTTTAGAATTTTACATTCAATCGTGTAAATACTATATAACACATGGTGTTATGTAGCATTTACATAAATGAGAGTGACATTCTAACATAGATGGTATGTAAATGATACTTGTGGTTTATTGTGTTAACTCGCACAAATGGGATGTGTAAATAATAACACCCAAAACTATACATAGAATGGGAGAACGAAATCTTCACAGACAAACTTTGGTGAATCTTTGGTATCAGGATATTTTAAAGGATTTGTCCAGGCGACGTTGTTCTGCGTCATTTATTCCCAGTTCAGTCTTCTAGTGCAACCTCACGCGAAGCAGCGCTCACGTTTTAACAGAATGCATCCTATACCCGGAAGTATCTCCCTAATACTATGTGCGATTTCTCAGTACAACTGTACGAGTCCCGAAAACAATATTTCTCAGTGATGCAAAATTACATTGATCTTTGCATTCAAAACCACGCTTCATAATGTACTATAAATGTTATCACTCGTGTTTGAATTCACCACTCGCATTTGGATTTCATATATCATATTATACTTAGTTTGAATTGGAAAGAAGGCTGACATATATTACACCGCCATTTTTATTGTCTACTATAGAACATGGAACATACTGTAAATGTTCTGCATATTTCTTAATACATAATAGAATATAGCGTGTCGACAGTATTAATGATATAAAATCCACTTAAATTAAATCTTTGCGTTCTTCTTTCATTTTTCACATGGATCTTCAGTGTGAGTTCGTACCATCTCATTTTCAATGATTCCTAATATATGAGAATAATACATTTTATTAATTGTTGATAATACATAAATAAATAAATGAATTCTCAAATATAAATGTCATAACTTACTGTCAACTTAAAGATGTGATAATTTAAGGCCAAGGCATTTTTTGGAGAGTAATCACCCCTCTGTTTCAGATAAGAACGAAGCTTAACTTTCATTTCGCTGTGTATTTTTTTAATAAAGAAATATGGATTCATCCCGATTACTCCCATTTATTGTTAACGACCTGTAAGGAAGATTTGCAAATATGTATTATTAACTGTTAATAGTACATTATTCTTCTATATTAAGAATAACTATTGTAAAATATACTTACATTTAATGTAGCCAAGGCTTTTCTTTGGAAGTAAACATTCATCGTACTTCCTTCTGCATGAGTTTGTCACCATCAGACATAATATTTGAAGATCCGATAATTTTTATATGAATATATCATTAATAATGAAATACGCTTTGTTTTACTTGGAGTAAATCCGCCATTGCAATTATCAACTATACAAAAAACTCATCGGAGCTCCTTCTCAATCCAATAAATGACGTCTATTGGATATGAGATAGCTCCGATGTACTGAACATCTATCCCAGACTCTTTATTTCCTTTACGAAAGTAAAGGGTTTAGATAGACGTTCAAAAAAATGCATAGTTGACAATTGCAATGGCGGAAGTATTACACCGTAATACACACACTTGTCAGTCTTTCATCAATTCAAATTTAATATAACGAATATATAAAACGTGAGTGGTGATACTTGTACGCGAAGTTAAACACGAGTGGTAACATTTATAGTACATTATGAAGCGTGGTTTTGAATGCAAAGATCAATGTAATTTTGCATCACTGAGAAATATTGTTTTCGGGACTCGTACAGTTGTACTGAGAAATCGCACATAGTATTAGGGAGATACTTCCGGGTATAGGATGCATTCTGTTAAAACGTGAGCGCTGCTTCGCGTGAGGTTGCACTAGAAGACTGAACTGGGAATAAATGACGCAGAACAACGTCGCCTGGACAAATCCTTTAAAATATCCTGATACCAAAGATTCACCAAAGTTTGTCTGTGAAGATTTCGTTCTCCCATTCTATGTATAGTTTTGGGTGTTATTATTTACACATCCCATTTGTGCGAGTTAACACAATAAACCACAAGTATCATTTACATACCATCTATGTTAGAATGTCACTCTCATTTATGTAAATGCTACATAACACCATGTGTTATATAGTATTTACACGATTGAATGTAAAATTCTAAAATAGATGACATGTCACAGATACTTGGTGTTGGCAGAGAAAGGCAGATTTACGCATTAAATCTCGCTTTCCACTGTGTGAAAGACTTTTCATAAAAACATTGTGCAAATGCATGCATTATTGCAACTGTAAATACAGTAGCTGTAATATCTTTTGTGTATTTTAATATCGCATTTTCTTTGTTTGTATGTTTTGTCTGCATGACGCTTGCATGACATTACTATTCCCTTTATGTTTGCTTCTTCCTTTCCTTACATCCTACCATTCCTTAGGAAATATAAACCAATGTCAAATAATTCCATTTCATAAGTGACTTATTCGACATTTGTTTATCATTTCCTCCTGATGGAAAAAACCACCACCTTCTCGCGGTTTCCATCGAGCAGTAATGTGGATTTACATATTCTTTTTTACTAAAACCATTAATATACACGACACAGTACATGTTTTTAAACACTTACTTACTTAATTACTTACTTAATTACTAATAATTATTAATAATTAATAGTTTTTCATTCTTCATGCATTCATGCACAATACCACTGCAATACTACATGCATAATGCATTTGCTTCATACTTTGGTATCATCGCAAGAAGAATGTTTACTCTTTTTCCAACTTGATTCTATCCACGTTGCTAGCAAAGAGTGGGTTTTCTAAACTGTATGCTATAACTGTACACTTTAGTTTTTCATCTATTTACGGTGATTTTTCACAAACAATTCGTTAAACTTTGTGTCATTTAAATACAAACATAGTATTATTATATTTTTATTGAGTGGTGCACTGAACACTGAACTCAGAGCACTGCTACTTATTTGGAATGGTCCACTTATTTCTCTTAAACAGATTCATTGGATTAACAGTTGTGCTGTTCGACACTGCATCGAAAATACATGGGAAAAAACCGTTTCGCAAACAAGTGAATACATTCGAAGATATTATAATAGGCAAATAAATTACCATTTTACTAGACTGCATATTTATTAATGCACTGTACATCATTTTAAATATAGCCCAGATAACACCGGACATCCAATGGATGTACGTTTCACGTTCAATTTTTGTCCGTATGTCCGATTTATGTCCGTAGACATAAATTGGACGTAACAAGGATGTCCTTATTTGAACATCGAACCTGTAGGACGTCCGATGTACGTCCATCGGACGTCATGTCCGATGGACGTCTTTTGTAAAAAAAATGGACATATAACGGACGTCCAGTGGACGTCCGTGTGCTATCTGGGAACATTGTTCTGAGGATTTTCTCATTCAGCACGGCGAAACAGACGTATTTTATGAAGTTTTTTCGCACAAACAGAAGATTTCACGGATGTAATTGTTTTTGAGGATTGTTTAATACTGTTTGAAGAGTATTTGTTAATTCAGAGGATATATTGTAATGAAAGCAAGAAGGTTTCATTTCGTACCTTCTTAATTTTGTATAATACTTTTATAATATTTTATTCTACATCTTTGTACAACTTAAAATTATTCTTCAAATATTATTAAACAATTCCCAACAACAATCAAATCTATGAACCTGTCCGCCTCAGTAAAACAATTAATGAAATATATTTCATTTTCTCGGCGCGGAACATTATTAATATTATTATTATAAACAATAAAATTATTAATAATAAAATAATATTCATAATAATTTCGGCGCGCCGAATAGGAAAAACTCAGTATCGTCATAGTCGCGCCCGCGACTCAGATTAAAGCCGAGAAAGAATCAGCCTAATTCGCGTCGCTGAGCGAGAACGAGAGCGAGAAAGAGGGAAAGATATTCTCGCTCGTGTCGCCGAGCGAATACGAGAGCGAGAAAGAGGGAATGATATTCTCTCTCTCGCTCGGCGCGCCGACGATTGCCGAGCGCGTGGCCGACACAGATAGACCGAGTCGGCTGTGAGTGCGTAAGTGGTGGGGGAAATTCGCTGGCAAACCCGTCACCGATTTTCCATCGCTGCCGTGCGACTGAAAGTGGACGTAGCACGGACTCGCACCAAGTGGAGACTTTACCGGCGCGCCAGAAAATGGATGCAGCAAATAGTTCCCGGCTAAAAATGGATGCAGAGGGCGGTATCAAACAGTCGCGAAAAAACGCCTCAAGCAAAACGCGGCCGTGGCCGCTCTCAGGTTTCTCTGTGCTACTAGCAGGTACTACATGATGCTGCGTCACGGCAGTGGTTATATTTGTTTATCAATTACGATTTATACTTTGTTACTTTATTAATTCAAATAAATTTATTTACAATATTGAGTAATTTCTAAGAGAAATGGAAAGCGCGTAGAAACTCTGAAAATAATAATTTGAATTATTTATAACCTATAGACTCTAACGATCTCTGTAGTAAATAACGCGAATTTTTTAAAAATTTACTGAAAAAATAATAAGAAAGTGTATTGTAAAAACTAGACATATATTTTTAAATTGCGGTGACATGGCAAACACTGGTTTACTAATTTTAACAAATCCTGCAAAAGTGAAAATGCTTCTGCCTGTAATCAACAAACATGTTTTAAAGACATTATACATACAATATCTTCCGGAAAAAAATATCTTCGCCTCAGGAAAATACAATAATAGGACATCACAGCGAAGTAGTTTGCAGTGTTCCCAGAATATCGTGGACATTTACGTGAATACTTCCACGATTGCTTCTAGGCTTGATGTTCGTGTTTTACTCACTATCACCAAGTATCCTGACAGATCTGTCATAAACACAAAAAAACCTGTAGAAATAGTTATTTTTGATCGAACATATAGTAAAAAAGAAGCTGACACATTCATACAAGACTGTTTAGTAAATACTTCAATAGACTACAGTTTTGTTACTTGTAATGATAATCAAGATCAGATTGACCATAAACATGAAGAATGTCCTGTTCAGAATGCAAAGACTTATAGGAATGTAGTACTGGGTGGCACATTTGATCGATTACACAATGGTCATAAGATATTATTAAGTGAAGCTGTTCTACGTTGCACAGAGAAGCTTACTGTTGGTGTAACTGATACAAACATGATTTCTAGTACGATTATATTGTTTATATTACTCAGTCTTATTCAATTTAAGCATATAATAACAATAATTCTAATAAATTCACAAAGATGAGATATGATATATTATTATAAAGTGATTTAATAATATAGTAAAAAAAAATGTTTTCAGATAAAATACTATGGGAACTTATAGAACCATGTACATACAGAATAAACCAAGTTAAGGAATTTTTAGAGGATATAGATTCTTCAATAACATACAATGTTGTTTCTATCGATGACATGTATGGGCCTACCAAAGAGGACTCAACACTTGAAATGATAGTTGTGAGTCAGGAGACAAAACGTGGTGGTGATAAAGTTAATGAATTGCGTTTGCAAAAGAATTTAAGTAAATTAGATATTCATACAGTAAAATTAGCAAATGATGAACATTATGATGAACATGAGGAGGCCAAAATCAGCTCAAGCAATCATAGGATACGATTACTCGGCACAAGACTTCATCCTCCTGTAAATCATTCTTCCTATATTTATAATATGTTATAAAATCCAATTAATATTTTTTGAAATCTAAGACTTTTTATACAACTTTCATCTAAACATTAGAAGATTAATAATCTGTTTGGTTTATTAGAGACTGAATGATAAGCCTCTGAAGCCATATATTATTGGCTTAACGGGTGGTATCGCAAGTGGAAAATCTTCAGTTGCTGAGAAATTGCAAAAACTTGGTGCTAGTCTTGTAAACTGTGATAAGTTAGCTCACGATTTATATTTACCTGGAAAAGTATGTTTTGATAAAATAGTAGAATATTTTGGTTCTTCTATTCTCAATTCAGATGGATATATTGATAGAAAGGCACTTAGCAATATAGTGTTTAATGATAAGGTATGTATATATGTCCATAATTGTCCAAAGATCATTATTTGATATAATAGATTATATATGTGTTTGTATCATATGTGCATTTGATAGGCACAATTAGAAAAACTAAATAAACTGATCTGGCCTTTGATTCTGCATGAAGCTAAAAAGGAGATAACTACTCTTCATTCTAAAGGTCATGATATCGTTGTAATGGAAGCAGCAGTTTTAATTCAAGCCAAATGGCAGAATGTTTGTCATGAGATTTGGACTTGTATAATTCCACAAAAAGAGGTAACTAGATAATTATGTTAGTGCTTCTATTCAACAATAGACATTCATTTATGTATTTTACAGTCATAAACTATGCCTTTCCACCTATATTTTTACATAAAATATTGAATATAATAACGTTAATAATGAAGATTTCTTACATTGAACAATATTCACATAATATCAATTTGTTTTATTTTATTATCATTAAATGTATTTATATATAGGTTATATTTATATTATAGGCTATAAAACGGATAATGGATAGAAATAGATTATCTGAAGAAGCAGCGAAATCGCGAATTCAAATACAACCAAGTAATACAGAGCAAGTTAGAGAAGCGAATGTTGTCATATGTACTTCGTGGAGTCATGACATTACACAAAAGCAAGTGGAAAGAGCATGGAAGGAACTGACAACTATATTATTCAAAGAATCGCGAAACGAATAAATTCTATATAGATAGGAGATTCACATTATTTTTTAATAATAGATATATAAATAAATGCAAATAATATTGTATTTATATAGAGTAGAATTACTTTCTTATATAACTATGACAACTAACAAATTGTTTTTGAAAAGTAGCTTTCTTACTTCTAATGTGCAAAATTTCAGCTTTATATGAAAATGATGTTCAATTATTACTCTGTGATAAAGTTTTGTATATAAGAATTATCAACATAAATAATGTATTTACTGCTGTTTAACACGTTTCATGCTGTGTAGATTACTAATAGTAAATTTTTTTACATTAAAATTTTCTTTTCAAGCTACTTGATATTTTTATTCTAAAATGAAACAATTGTGAAGTATTTTTTATAATTGTAACATAAAGTTGCTTTATAATTATAACGTAAAGTTAATTGTACATTACTTATTGTGAAATTAATTATTATGAATGACATGTTATTTACAAGGTTGGACAATAACCAATTAACTAGCTAAAAGTAAAGTTAAAAAGTTAATAATTTTTAATTTAATTTAGTTCATTTTAAACTTGTTAACTTTAATTTGAGATAATTATTTTTAAATACATTAACATTAACTTATTAACCCCTTTTAAATCACAGATTAAAATAATTTATCAGCATTAGAGTCGTGGTTCACAATAGTTATTAAGGAATTAATTAAACAGTATTAGCGAACGTATGCGCATGATGTGGGAAGATCTCTACAAATATTAAATCTCTACAAATTTAAAATGACTCAAATTTGTTGATGATTTCCTGACAAAGGTGGATAGTTCATGATAATAGATATTGGAATTGTGCAGTTAATATTATGCATCACCTGCTGTTGCCAACAAATCGTCAAATTCAAGTCATTTTGAGTGAGCTCTTGTCTATAGAGCGTTCTCTCGCTTCTGCGTACTTATTCGCTAACATTGTTCAATTAATTCTTTAATAAGTATTTTATAATTTGTAAAATGGTGCAATATTTTCCTGTTCAATTTGGTTTGCTCTACCTGCACACAAGCATTTTTCTTTCAAAAGTTTTTAATTGGCCTTAATTGAACGTTTTGTTTTTAAACATTCCAATTTATAACTATTACTACTGCAATATATTATTGTACTTTTTAAATAATATATATTATTAATAAAGAAAAAATATACATTACCTCTCTTATATAATCTATCTTTTTATTGCTTCCTCTAAATTTAATGTACAATTTAATATACAATTAAAAGGTAAAATATATACAGGGTGATCCGAAATTCCCGTATTCGGAATATAGGACATATTTTATACTAAAACGAACAACTTTGTCCTTTAGCAAAATTGCGTCCGACAAGTAGTTTTTGCAGAAGAGCGTGTTAAAGTTAACGAATAGGCGCTCTTGTCTATGTAGCGCTCAGGGGCGGCGCGTGCGGCTCATTCGCGTGTACCTAGTCAGTGACTAGTATTCATAAATAGTCTTTCAAGATGCTCATACGGCTCTGTTATGATTAGTTTATATCTTAAGACTGTACTTAAGACAATCTTAAATAATAAGAATTAACTATAAACAATACCGGGATTTCACAACTCGCAGAGCGTATTATTATTTACATTTGTTTTTATTTTCAGATGATATTGTGCAATCAAACAATTTTTTATTTATTTATTGCGTAAGAAATAAAGGCAGTACTTATTTTATTAACTTTTCATTATTTGAGCAATACAATACGGAAGAAACTCAAATCCCGGTATTGTTTATAGTTAATTCTTATTATTTAAGATTGTCTTAAGTACAGTTTTAAGATGTAAACTAATTAGAACATAGCCGTATGAGCGTCTTAAAAGATATTACTTATCTATACTAGTCACTGACTAGGTACACGTAAATGAGGCGCGCGCGCCGGTCCTGAGCACTACATAGACAAGAGCGCTTATTTATTAACTTTAACACGTTCTCCTGCAAAAACTACTTGTTGGATGTAATTTTGCTAAAGGAAAAAGTTGTTTATTTTAGCATATGATATCCTGTATTCCGAATGCGGGAATTTCGGATCACCCTGTATATAGCTTAGCATAATTAACTTTTAACTTTAATAAGTTAATTTAACTTTTTAATTTAACTTTTAATCGAATTAGTTGTTTAAGTAATTTTGAAATTTGGTTAATTTATGGGTCATTAATTTTGAAATTAACTTAATTTAAAGAAAAATTAACTTACCTAATCCTGGTTACTTGACAAAATGTGGCTTATAATATGTCTATAGGTTACCGATGTGGCGCGAGCAAGTCACATAAAAATTAATCTGACACAGAACACGTTGAAGATATTTACTAGGACATATAAAAAAAAATATATAAAATATATGTATATATAGAAATGGGAAGTGATAAAAATATATTAAAATATATTCTGGTTACTGGGTGCGCAATTTCTGATTGATGGCGTCAGAAGTGAAAAAATACACCCTAAAAATTCTTATAAAATACGCTCAAATGAAAAAATATTCACAAAATGATACTTGTAATCGATTATAATCGGTTGTGATATTTGTAATCTGTAAAATAATCTGAATATTTTCCTTTCGCTCCTTTAATATATTATTTAGCAAATAATATGTTATCGCTCAATATCAGTTTCTCTTCCTTGTCCTCTTGCATTTTTGTCATCAAGGCGCTTAAGAACAAGCGAAAATCAGTCTTCAATTTATCACCACCATCATCCACGTTACACTTGACATGAGAGACGCTTAAGAAGCTAGATGCTTTAATCATCAGATGAAAGTTTAAAAGTTAATTAATTAGATAAAAAGCATTTTCATCTATCTCATATTTTAATAAAGTTTCATTAACTATTGAAGTATGATTCTTTGACATTGTCGATACTTGAATACTTACAAATTATCTTCGACGTACTTGGTGTAACGTTATCGGGATCAAAGTAAAGTATTACGCAACTATTCGGACCCAATTTCGAACCAGCAACGAAGTAATCGTAAAATTCCTTCAACTCCTTCGAGGAATCTTGCATTTGCGCGCTATATACGAGTATTACGCCGTGTACACCTTTGCGCATAGCCGACCAACAATTTTTGAATCTGCAAAATGTTCACCAAAATATTCCGTTTTTTTGTCGTTCATATTCGAAGATTCCAATCTTGCGAATAAACGTCGTGTGTTCTCTACTTATAATCTCCGCTACAGTCCCACAGTTCAATGTCCCTCAAGATGAGTTCGTTGTTTACTTCAATATTGTTTGCTTCAAACTCAAGTATCCGGACTCCTTCAGTAGGATAATAATCGTATGGGATTTCCGTGGCATCAGCCAAAAAATTCGCTATCGTGGTTTTCCCACTCTAAATGGACACACGCTCGATAATTGTTTCTGCTTTCACATTACTCGATAATAAAACATTTTGTGTTAAAACGCTTTAAAATGTTCGTTTGAAACATTTACGCAGAAAAGCGAGAATTATCTTACCCCAGCTGGTCCTATCATTACTAATTTCAACGCGTGCATTATTTGATAATGGTTACAATGATCATCGCAAGAGTACCATCGCATCTAACATGAGTATACACAACAATACGGAGCGCATTACTGTTTGGCAATTGTTGCTATAGTGATTGTCACCTGTGTATATGATACAATCGATTTTATAAAAGAATCAAACGTATACACATGATTCGCTGAACCAGCGCTTGATGTCATATCGATTACACAAATTATACATACATATGTATATATAAAATGTGTGTCTTACCCTTGTATATAATTTTAAGATTCATGAGTATTTCATGAGTTTCTCATTAGGGAATAAGAAGTAAAATATAGTAAAATATCTTTGATTTGTTGTTGCAGCTTAATTTGTTTTACTACAGGACGCACAGTTGGTCAACACAGTTCTTTATAGCATATAAAACTGCCCACTCAGTAAAATCATGATTTTATTCATTACATTAGTATTCTTACACATACATTGCAGTATCTGTCTATTTTTAATAACAACATAATGAATTATTTTTTGCTGTCAGAGTAACATTATTATAGCGAAAAACATACAATGCATCAATATAAATTCGTTATAATTATAATATATGCCTTTGTAGTTCTATGAGAAATTCAATTTGTTTGTTGCTACTATGTAGATATATTGCTATATTATGAAGTACACTTTTTTGTAGTGATGGAGAAAACATGTTTATCAGTGAGTACATGTTGCAAATATGTGATAATTCCTTTAGAATATTCATAATACTAACGAAAATATATTGAATATTATTTTTTTAGACATATTATTGACATAGTAATGGTGGTATACGTATGGATGAGACCAAGTTTAACAAATATTCATGAATCTTACTCCATTCAATGGCTTGAATCAAGAAATATTTTGAAAAATTATTTATCAAATTTAATTGCAGAACTTTTATTATAATCGAGTTTATACCATATAGCATCGATATAAAGTGTCATTGAGAATTCATATAAATCATGAATCAATAGATATTCTCTTATAAATTGAATTATACACATACACACACATGTATATGTGTATGTGCGTGTGTGTGTGTACACACACACACACACACACACCATACATACATATACATATATATATATATATATCAATTGTTATAAATGTGTAATCACTGAAGATTTAATTGACCAAAAATTATTCTTCAATTTGTTGAAAATTTTTCATACGTGTAAAGATGGAATCAATTTTACAGAAGTATAATTTACAATTAGCATATATAATAATCATGTACATATATATTATATACATATATAATACATATATAATACATATATACATACATATACTCATACGTCATCCTTACTATTTAATTTTTGTGTTTCAGCAATTATTCAATTTGTAAAAGTTTAGATAATCATTTTTACGTAATGCCATTTATAAATTATACTTCTCTAAAATTTATTCCATCCTTAGACATATGAAGAATTTTCAGCAAATTGGAGGATAATTTTTGATCAATTAAATCTTTAGTGATTGCGTTCATGACGATATCATAAAAAGTGATCATAACGCGTTTTTCATATTATTAAATAGAGATATACTATTACACTATATAGTAATCATGAGAATATCTCAAAATTTCTAATTTTTTCATGCAAATAATATGAATGTTTATGCGTAATAATTTGACAATTATTAATGTAATGTTATAATTCATAGGTCTGTCAAGGCAAACATAGGAAAAAAAAGACAGTACAGAGACTTAAAATATCGGGCGTTTCATTTGCTTTAATCTATTTGCATAGGTTCTTTAGCAATTTCATCAGGATAAGTTAAGCTGTATAATGATAATAACGCTGCCTTGGCCGCTGCTTTTTTAGCATCTTTCTTGTTCTTGGCTAAAACGATAATAATTTTCACGTAAATACATATCAATAGTTTCAACATTTCACGATACAATCATTTTACGAAACATACATACCTGTTCCTGAATAGCTGACTCCGTTAACTTCAACAGATAGAGTGAACGTCGTGTTTGGTGGATTACCAAGACGGTTAACTTCTACGTACGTTAACCCGGGTCTCATTTGATTCAGCAACATAACCGGATGTATGTTCGTAGGATTCGGTGGTAGTTCCTTCTGAGTAGGAGCCCTGGGAGAGCCACCAGCACTCTCTTTCTTAACTCCTTTTGCAGCTGGCAAACCAGGACGTGTGACCGGGACTGACGTGCCCTGATTGTGCCATTCGAGGAAAAGCTTATAAAGTGCGAAACTGGCTAATGAGCTCCATGGGATCTCATCCTCAGCGGAATTGTTATCCATTGACACATCTTCGTTGCTTTCATCCTTCATAGTATCCGAAGATGAATTGGCTTGTCCATCTGATTCGGCATCTATACGCGCTTTCATAGATGCAGCTGTCATTTTTTCTAATAACAACGCTTTTAAAGCATTCTCTGCTGCGGCTTGACGAGCAAGTGGCTTCGACAAGCCTTGTCCAACATAAGTTTTACCATCGAGCTATAATTATATATATTAGCATTGAGGAAGCATTATATTAAAGGTAAGAATACGCAAATTATTTAAGTTAATGCCAACTGGGGCAGAAATTTCGCGTTGATTTTAATGTTATGAATTTTTACGAAAATGCTCGAAAATTTTAATCTGAAGTACATTACTAGGGATTTTCGAGGTCACTTTTTCCGAATCCGCTGCGAAAATCATAAAAAAATGAGTGTTTGTATTGATTTGTAACGGTTTTTTTCCAATGCGAAAAAATGCAATTTTTTCTCGTCAATTTTTTTTTTAAATCATGGATTTTATCTTGATAAAAATATTGAATATTACTGAAAAGTATTCCATTCGTGTCCTCGAGACTTGTACTTAAAATATATGTGGTTCTGAAATTTTTTGCAATTTAGTAATTTCAATATGGCGACCATATGCATATATCACTATAGATATCGTCGGATCCTTGGGAACTCGGTTGAATAACTCGTTATGAGTGTATTTTTATGAAAAATTATCCAAAATAAAAGTTGTCCTGTTGATCGAGTTCTTTTACGTGGTAGGCCCCAAATTTGGGTCCGATGTACTTTTTGGGCCTAACGGAGTCCAACGTTGATTTTTTTGGTAAAACTTATATTTTTTATTACAGATTTGAAAAGTACAGAAAATTTTACGTCCAGATATATATTTTTGAAATTACAAGTCTCGAGAACACGATTGGAGTACTTTTCAATAATATTCAACATTTTTATCAAGATGAAATCTATGATTTAAAAAAAAAATTGACGAGAAAAAATCGCATTTTTTAGAAAAAATTGTTACAAATCAATACAAACACTCATTTTTTTATGATTTTCGCAGCGGATTCGGAAAGAGCGACCTCGAAAACCCCTAGTAATGTACTTTGGATTAAAATTTTCGAGCATTTTCATAAAAATTCATAACATTGAAATTAACGTGAAATTTCTGTCCCAGCCAGTATTAATGGGTTAACAGAACACATTGAAGCTTCCAAGGTGATGTCTAAAAAGTAGCGCATCATGTAAAGATTATCCCGCAGCCTTACCTCCGCGTGAACGAGATAGAGCGAATTTGACACGTGGCCTGGTGTTTCGGGGAATGTAAATTGACATCCAGCTTTCATCTCGTTTAATACCATGATCGCGTTCTTAGGCTGCAGGGTCTTCCTCAAACGTTGATTCATACGAAGTCGCTTCAGCTTTTTGTTCACTTTAACTACACAGATAATAATATTAGATGCGTATACATGTGACAATGCAAGCAATTGTGATTTATCATGCGTATCAGCAAACAAAAGTTCACACCGACTGCCGGAGGGTCAAAGTCTAACGGTGGATGCAACATTCACCGGAGCGTTCGACGCGTCTCCTAGATCTTCAAATTTGCGCAGTGAATTGTCATCATTAATGTGTAGTTTCGATATCAGTGACTAACGTGCGTGTTTCTTGTTTTTACGTTTGCAGACTTCAAGTTACATTGTTCAGACAGTGACGAAAAGACAGCAACACTTTTTCTTTTCCACGAGTTTCACAATGCATCCGTATTCAATAATTTTCTTCTATTCTAAGTTATTCTCAGAAACTAAATTTTCCTCTTGGATACACGGGATGTATTCCGAAGCTCATCGAGGTAAGTGTTGTAAGTAACGGTAATATAATTATATTCATGTACTTATTAAATAAAACAAATTAATAGACGTCTGCAATAAAGAGCGAGAAGGTGCGACCGTTTCAAGTATGCGAATTACATTAATTCTAGAAGCAACAAATATATGTCGATGTTAAAGTATACAAATTGCATTCTAAAAACACTTACATCCAGGTGTCTTCCTTCGCCACCTCGGTTGCTCCTGCAGATCGATGTTCATATTCTCAGACATATCTCCCTTGTCTACACTTTCAGTTTTGACATTACTAGAGGTTGACGCAGCTGAAAGCGGTGGAGGTACATTAGGCTGAGAGGTCTTGGATTGTGGAGTAGCAGTGAGACACACGGTCGGTTGCAACACACTTTGCTTCAAGATCGGCTTCAATCGTTGAGGCAGTGGAGCCTGAGGCGACGACTGCTGCTGTTGCACCGATTGTTGTTGACCCTGCTGATGCTGCGGTGATTGCTGCTGCTGCTGCTGCTGCTGCTGCTGCGGCGGCGGCTGCTGCTGCTGTCCTTGTTGCTGTAATTGTTGCTGAGATGTTACTTGCTGTTTTACTTGCGGTAATGGCCGTGTCGGTGCAGAGGCTGATGTCATTTGCATCGATTGTTGTTGTGGTTGCTGCTGCTGCTGCGATTGCTGCTGCTGTTGTTGCGGCTGCTGCTGTGATTTGACGCTGGGTAAATTTTGTTGTGCGCTTCCTTGTTTGTAATTGCTTTGCTGATGGGATGCAGATTGCGACGATTGGTAACTTCCCTTTGTATTATACTGCAAAACATAGGGTGGGTCGCCGCTACACAAGGAACCTCTACGGTTGTGCTACCCCACCAAGGTCTAGCATCGTACGTGCACTTTAAAGCAATTAAACGCTACCCCCATAGCTTATACCAACCAGGTCACCTTTACTGTGGCCAACGTCTCTTTACTCATGACTGAGCCGAGTTTGTTCAGAACTGATGATGTGTACCACCAATAAATGGTGTTCGACGTAATAAACATTTTTAAAGATAAGAATAATGAGATTTTACTCCTCTTTTGTTGTGGATCTCGAACGTTTGGACCACTTTATGAAGTGTAACATAAATAAAAGGTCCAGAAATGATCGTAGGTGGATAGTCGGCTCATGCTTTTGGGTTAAATTCACTTATCCATCTGCCTACGATTACTAATAGAAAATTGCGATTGTTTATATCTGTTTATGTTTATGTTGCAACTGTGTTCTTTTTTACTGCAAAAATTAAACCACCTTCGAGAGTAAAAAGCATCGATACTAGTAAATGCGTTAATTATCATTATTATAGAATATTATAGGATCTGGACAATGATGAAAACTGATGTTTTAATTTGGATAAAATGTCCAAGTGTCCGAAAACGCATCACACAATTAATGCCGCAAGTGGGACGCTTAGATCATTTCTGCAGCATAAGAACTTGCTTAGTTCACGAGTTCAGTACGAACTACCAAGAAAACGGCCTATGTAGGGTATGCTATGTGGGCAACTGACGACCTAGTCCCTGGTCGAATGCACCTCCTCGGTATTGTTGTATAGCTACTAGAACCTGCGTTGCAGGGGAGGGGAAAGTAGGAACCACTAATTAGTACATGCAAGTGGAATAGTATTCTGACAGGAAACGGAATTCATATTTGGAATAACTATAGTAACTTTGCTACTGCATTATATAATTGAAAATAATCCTTCTCCAGTTGTTACTCTGCATAATAAATGCTTGAAATTATTAACTTGTAAAAAAAGAAAAAAAAAATACTTATTATTTACAAGTCATTTAGATGCAAAAACTTTATCTTCTTAAACCATTTCATTTTTCAGAATATAATGTTATATAAATTTCTATGTATATAAATATCTAAGCTTATAACTGAACAGTTTTCTGTCTTTTGATCATTTTACCTCTGAAGTAAAATTCTTTTTAGGGAAGCAAGTAAATTATATGAGTAAATATAAAAATATAATATTTGTAAAACTACTTATATATTTGTACAATATCAAATATAATGAAATATATAATTAATATAGAATGTGTATATATAAGATATGTTTAGTAAAATAACACAAATATAGATTTATTTAAAAAGATATGTATCATTGTGTGAAAAATGATGCAACAGCAATGTATTTTTGGCAATAGAATATGAAAGGTAAAAGTTTACTTAAACTGAAAATTTTTAAGGGATAGTTTTTAATATCAATAGTATATTATATGATTATTAGAAGCAAATTATAATATGAAATTAGTATGATATATTGTGTAAGAATTTCATATGATATTCTGTAAGAATATCATACAATATTAATGAGAAATATTAATATAATCTATAAAAGAAGTGACGAGTGATTATCTATAAATATATTTATATTTAAGAATTAATTGCATGTAATAATATTTAGATTCCTTTTACTTTCTTTCCTGCCTCTTACATCATAGATCAATTTTGTCAAAATATGACAAAATTATTTTAATGGTATTTACTTTCTTCCAAAATAAAAACTATTTATTTTGGTAATTATACATTAAATGACACCTCACTAATGATCTTGAACTTCATATATGTTATCAAAGATATGTCTCTGAGTAACTTACAAAAAGTTTCAGTTAGCGGTCATTGTTTATTAAAAAATTATTAATAAAAAAAGTTTTAGTAAATATTCAGAAGTATTACTGCACTAAACATCGTGATTTTTTGCAATAATTATAATAGAATTAGTTATGAAAAAGCATATATATAAGGTTTTAAGGGAAGGAGAAGTGATAAGTTTTTTATAGGAAAAGATCCGAAAATATAAGTTTTATATTAACCAATAATTTTACCGCAAAATTAAATATATAATAGTCTATTTCACTGAAGTTTGCAAATTTCTATATAATTTCTATATAATAAAAATTAAATCTATATACAAAACCAACCTGTGAATCAACCTGTTTGCCTAATGATAATATTAATAATCTTTCCATCATATGTAATATATTGAAAAGATTAGCAAGGCCTCTACGCAAGATGGAACATATTACAAACATATCTAATTAATCTATAATTATTTCATCGAAAAGTAATACTATGCAAAACAACAATATATAGTAAGTGACAATATCGTACATTATAGTCGAAAGAAGTATAAATATAAATGATAATCAAAGAGAGATTATGTTATTGCATTTCTTCAGTTATGTTAGTATGTACAACAACTTATAACATCGCCATTTCATTTGACTACTTTCTTTTTACAAAAATACCATTATATATTTCTGAATTTATTTGTTGAATTTTTGTTTGAACATAAATATTCTTTATATATTTTTGAGTGCATTGTTATTTATAAAACAGATTGTTCTATATTTAATAATAAAATAAATTAAAAAGTAGATAAATGTGCAATATCTTACAATATAACAATTTTATTTGACTTTATTTCCTAATACCAAAAATAACAGCAATTTAAGTTGAATTAAGTCATTAGGTCAGGTTAGGTTAGGATCAATTAGGGTCAAATTATTTTTTGAAGATGGAAAGTGCAAAAGGAAGAATTCTGTTTCTCTTTTGTCAACTACATATTTTTTGTCATATACATATTTTGCATGCATAAACAAATAAATATGGAGAAGAGACTGTCATTTATGAAAATTCTTTTGTTAATAACTTTTTAATAAACAATGACCACTCCCTAAAATTTTTTGCGAATTACTCAGAGAAATGTCCTTGACAATATATATGAAATTCAAGATTATTGGGAAGATATCCCTTAATATGCATAATTACCTTTATTTTTTCATACAGTTAAAAAGTTATAAATATTTAATAATAAATAATAATAAATTAACCCATTCATAATAATTTTATTTACTGTATTCCAAAATAAATTACTTATAGCATAACTTATTTTAATTAAATAATAAACCATAAGCAAGGTCTATAATAGAAGTTGCAAAGTTCTAAGTTGTAAGGTTGTAACAAAAAATTGATCAATCACAATTTATTATTCTTTGGCTGTAAGGAGAATAATTAATTGCAATTAGTCAATATTCTTATTACCTTATAACTTCTATTATAAAATCTGCTTTATAATAGAATCATTATATATATATATATATCTTTTATATATATATATATATATATATAAGAATCATGATTGAAGATTAATGTTTCATATTTTGCTGTAGTGAACCAGTTTTGATACTTTTACAGACACACTTTGACTCTAACTTCTAAATAAATCTTCCTGAATTTAATACAAATTATTTTGTTCAAACCTTTATTAATTTTTGTAATTTATTTATTCCTTTTTATTGTAAATTAGCACTTTGGCAGTAGAAATCAACATGTAAATTAGTTAAAAGTATATTTGCTAAATATATCACTCTGCACTCTATATGTATTTTTTCAACATAAACTATGTTTACATGGCAATGTTAATTCGGATTAGTAACTACCATAGTTAATGTAGTCTGGAATCTAATTTGAGTATATTTTTAGATCTAAAAGAATATACTAATCGGATCAAAGAATTCACTAACTACAGTTGGTATTAATCCGGATTAACGTTGCTGTGTAAACGTAGTTATTGATGAAATATTATTCATGATCATAAATTATTGCTCAGTATTTACTTTTATTTATTTCCCACCCAATTGTGTCGATAATCATATGTAGAAATATGGAATAAACTCGAAAAGAGAGTAAGTACATAAGAAACTTACAGTAGAAGGTGGACCAGATCCTGACATTTGGGAATTCGAATTCCGTGCTACAACAAAAAATAAAAAAAATATTTACAAATATATAAAGCAAAAATATATTAATATGAAATATAATCAAAAATATATTAACATGAAATCGTATAGCCAACTCTATCAACCGAGAAACAAAAATGCCCAAGAGCGATATCGATCGAACTATGTATTCGGCGGTAATCACTAAGAATCTTCTTATTAATCCGGCGTCTAGATTATAAAAATGAACTAGCTGTGCCATATCGCTTGTAATTATTAATACAAAATTCATAGCGGTCAAATTTATTTATCATCACAGGCATAAAAATATCATAAATATATATATATATATGTGTATATATATATATATATTTATATATTAGTTTTGCTCGAGTACACTTAACAGGACGTTGTTGTACTCGCGATGCGCGTCGATAATGACATGACGACTATGAGGTCTTTGCATTTCCAATGAATAATCTCACCACTGCCGTAGTTTTGGTTTTGCCTGTTCCTTGTATACATTTTGTCACTGATCTGTTATTAATTCGTTGGCTAAATTCCGTTATAAGAATCGGCGCGATACGTTCTTGATTCACAGCGTGAACGACAATAAAGTTCAGGAAAATTCCATGCAGCAAGATCAATTCTTAAGATGCTTCACATCCGTCCTTAAACAAGAATAATAAATACTGAACCGAAACTCACTGGCATAATTGTTCCCGACACTGGAGAGGGACATGACTTCATTGGTGGAGATACTAGGGATCTGTTCTTCTTCTTCTTCTTTATAGCGCCGGCAAAATGCCATTGGCCAGTCTTTACAGCATACGCCGTTCTGTCCTAGCTGCCAATTCGCAGCTGCGCAGAAATCAAACCCTCAGGTGTGCCAACGGCACACCGCCTTATCAGGCGAGTTCTCCCGTTAAGGATTTACCCCAATTCTTCTACAGAATTGCTCCAAGAGCCTCCAATCCGATTCTCACAAAATATGATGTATTCCAACTTCAAACTGGAAAGCGGGAGCGATGATCCCGTGCGAGCTAATTTGATGCAAAGCCAGTCCGCTTCAGAAGTGTTAATTGACACATGTAAGCAAGTGTTCCACTGTTGCTTCTTCCTTCCACAATGGCAAACGGCCGAGTTCACCAACCCGAGCCTATAGAAATGTTGCTTCAAATGAACATAGAAAAAGCGCAAGCGCGAAATCAACAAAATCGTGCTCCTTGGTAAGTTTGTAGAGGGTGTTTACGATAAATCGAGTTCGAGTTAGTTCCACTAGGACTGAAAGATATGATAAACATGACCATCTACTATCTTCATGATTTATGACGACTCAATGCTGTCCGATAAATCGAGTAGAGTAGAATAGGCTGACTTAACAGTGTTTGTGCGAGACAATCAACAATATTTTATCAGATAATAAAGTTTTGTAAAATATTAAATAATTACATTAAAAAACAATAAGTTGTTAAATTTTATTTACTGACTTTTAGAAATTTCAAAATCATCAAATTAACAAAAATCAGGCGCTATTTTAACAATATATTTTTGAGACTAAATAAAGCAAGAAAGTTTAGTACCACTTTTTCTTCTGACAAATAGGTAATGAGATATTGTAAGTTAAATATTGAAAAAGTTATCAAATTTTCCTCGAATATCTCAAAAAATATTAGACAAATAAAAAAATGTTTTAGATAAAAGTTGTTCAAATTAACTAGTAGAAAAAACAGTGTAATAAAAAATAAGGGTTTCTATTTAAAAAACGCAAGTTGATCTTCAAATGACCTTGAAAATAAAGGTAAAGGTCAAAGTCAAGGTCATCATAAAGTAGCTCACTTAAATCCCTACAACTTTTATTCAGATCATTTCCCTTGAAACTTCAATACTGAAGAGTTATTAGGATGGTCCGTTACTTTTGGAACATCCTTTATAACATTTTACATGGGTTAATATGAATTAGCAATATTGTGCTATTCTGAATTAAGCTTTATGAAAAAATTTTGATTATTTGATATAAAAACCGTGAATATATATTTCCTCTGGCAAATTATATGCAATTACAAAACTAATTAAATCACAATTTTTATGTGTAACGAAATAAAAGTACTTTTCCAGTTATTTCTACATAGCATTTTATTTATTTACAAATTTCTTTAATAGTATTATTGCAAAACCTATTATATTCATTGTATACTTGTAAAATTAAATACATTTAAAAACATTCCATAGTTCTCAAATTTATACACAACCTTTTACTATTTATTTCTGACATCTAATGACATCTAATGACATATATTTATATAACACTATTAATATTTTAATATATATTGATTTATAAGTAAAACATTTTATTCCTACCACACAGATATATCCTACCACACATATACAATTGTTAATACAATATTTCTTACTTGTTGCATTTCGCGCATTTATGGTTTATAACTAATCATTGCTTTATAAGTATTTTATAGCCAATCATCTGTGTGGCACCAAATGTACCACGTGACTATAGTTCTTCCGTCGCGCAGTAGCTTCACTCCCCTCAACTAGGCTGGTATTCATTGTCAGGTCTTATATTTAAGACCGTCTTAAGTTCACTTTCAGATACTGTATAGCTAATAAAATACTTTGTACAGAGTTTGAAGATAAACTTAAGACGGTCTTAAATATAAGATCCGACTATGAATATCGGCCTTAAAGTTCGGGTTATTGCACCGTCCCCTAAAGCCCCTTGCACAATGCCAGGCAACAGGCAATAAGAATAAAAATACACTAATCACAATAGATTATTCTTGTAATAGTCGATTGTGATTGGTCTATTTTTATTCTTATTGCTTGTTGCCTGGCATTGTGCAAGGGGCTTTATTTCTGGGTCTATTCTTTTTAGTTGCACTGCTGAACTGGTACAATAAGTTGGAATTTCAATATTTTGTGGTTCTTCAAGATTCATCATGGATAAAAAATTACAAGCCACTTCAATACAATTATACTGCTGTATTTAAATGGGTAAAATAATGAGGTTAGTATCTTAAGTCATCTTTCGACACGACTTGACGAAGACCGTCTTATTTGCCGATATATACGTCATATAAGATGTTCTTAAACGATTATGAAATAACAAGCAATAAGAACACCTCAAGTCTGTACTTATGTCAAATAAGAAACGTTTATGAAACATAATAAGGCGTTCTACAATAAGATTGTCTTGATCAAGTCACAACTTGAGAATTTGCCCAAGTGTTTGCTTATTCGTCGACTATGGCTGCATTCCAAAATTCACTGCCAGTACTGAAAATCTATAGTATACGTGACACAAATTATATATTTTCAGTACTGGCAGTGAATTTCGGAACGCAGCCTATGAAACTAGAGCGCGTCTTAAGGGCCAGAGCACAGACTTCTGCATAACGCATAATACACAACGCATAAGGGAATCAACCAATCAGAGTTCTTCATTTCTGCTCTGAGGAGGGAAATGAAGAAAACTAATTGATTTATTTTTTTATGTGTTATATATTATGTGTTATGCAAAAGCCTGTATTCTTGCCCTCTGTCTGTCTTAAGATGATCTTATAAATAAAGCCAGCGGCACACGGTGCTTGTTTTCGTGCTGGATTGCTTGCTGAAAATACTGCGTTTTGATTGGTACATTTTCGAAGATGGGTGGAAATGCACCAATCAGAACGCAGTATTTTCATCCAGCAAGCAATCCAGCACGAAAACAAGCACTGTGTGCCGCTAGCTTTAGTCCTGACTATAAATACGGCCCTATGGGCAAGAGTACAGGCTTTTACATAACACATAATACATAACGCATAAGAGAATAAACTAATTAGTTTTCTTCATTTCCCTCCTCAGGATAGAAATGAAGAACTCTGATTGGTTGATTCTCTTATGCGTTGTGTATAAAGGCTCGTCTACAATAGCTGTAAGAGTAAGGCTGTAAGGCTGTAACGTAAGCTGTCAGCGAATGAAAATATTTCATTTCGTGTCTTGCAACCTTACAGCCTTACTCTTACAGCTAATGTAGACGAGCCTTTACAGCTAATGTAAACGAGCCTTAAGAAGAAAGCGTGAACAGTAAGAAATGGACCAATCACAATTGATTATTTTTGTCATAATCGACTGTGATTGGTTTATTTCTTACCGTTTACGCTTACTTCTTATACCTCGTCTACAATAGAAGTCTTAAGGCTCGTCTACAATAGCTGTAAGAGTAAGGCTGTAAGGCTGTAACGTAAGCTGTCGACGAATGAAAATATTTCATTTCGTGTCTTGCAACCTTACAGCCTTACTCTTACAGCTAATGTAGACGAGCCTGTAGAGTTGTAAGTCGTAGAAATTGACCAATCATAATCCTGTAAGAAAAAAATAATCAACCACGATTGGTCAATTTATACGACTTACGACTCTATGACTTCTATTTTAGACGAGGTATTACAGCTATTGTAGACGAGCCTTTATATAGAAATCTATAAGTTCAGTAGTGCAGTTAAAAAGAACAGATAACCTAACCACGTGGTATTTTTGATGTAATGGCCGCAATGATGATTGGCTGTGGTCTTTAAAGGTTAGAGTGCCCAATGTTAAACAAGAAAAATATCAAAAATATCGAATTTTGTACACAAATAATGCCGCTGTGTATTGTAAAACAGTGCAAAAATCGTACTATAAGCCGTTCAGTGTTAGGACAAATAAAACCAAAGAGAACTCACGATATATCATATTACCGGTAAGAAAGAACATTCTATTTACTTATATAATAACTATATTCTGTCATTAATGTGAAACATTAATAATATAACAAAGTAGCACGTCTAAGTAATTATTTTATAGATTTCCAAAGAATGAAAAAATAAAGAAGCTGTGGTGCGATATACTGGGACTAACTGTGGAGTCAGTCCCAGTTGGAGGAAGGGTTTGTTCAGCACATTTTGATCAAGATGCTTTTGATATTTCAACTGGGAAAAGAAGACTTCGACCAAACGTACTACCAGACAGTATGTATCATATCGAGTACCTAGTAAACAATCTATTAGCAGTTTGACAACAAATTAACAGCAAATTTGAGCAGAATCTATCGACAGATAGATGCTATTTGTATTTCAAATCTACTGTTATTCTGTCTGTCGGTAAAGTCTGCTGATAGACTCTGCTAACAGATTGGTGGTAGAATGCATGTAGTATCTGTAGTATTTTCATTTATAAACTTAGAACGACAACCTAGAACGACCTAAAAAATATAACAACCTAGAACCTTAGAACGACAAACTTAGAACGAGATCTACTGATATCGAGCAGACTGTTATTATACTCTGTTATTAGATTCTATAGTATTTCTATTGGCAAGTTGCTAGCAAAATTTGCTGCAGATATTGTGCAAAATCTGCTTTTGCATATTTGGCTATTTAGATATAATATTAAGAAGTGTTATTTATGATTGGTATATTTGATTTATAATGCTGTTATTATAAGGTATTTTTTTATTAATGATTTACTTACGTTATTTTTACAAAGCAATTTTTTCCCTGGTTAACATATTAGGTCTATGCATAAGTTTTGTAGGTTTTTGGGCTGAATTATTTTATTCACCAAATGAAATGTATACATTATTTTTTAATGAAAATATTTTCCTCCGTTTTCTACAACCTTTTGCCATCTTTCGGGCAAAAAATAGATTCCTCATGGGAAGAACGCGGCATCTTTGGATGCGATGAATTCATCGACCCATTTTCGGACATCGGCCTCATTTCGAAAGCGTATGCCAGAGAGACCGTGCGGCATCGACTGGAATAAATGATAATCAGAAGGCGCAATGTCAGGCAAGTATGCTGGGTGAGGTAGGATTTCCCATTCGAGCTCGAATAAAGTTTGCTGGGTCGCCGCAGCGACATGGGGTCTTAGCGTTGTCATGAAGCAGAATAATCGGACGACGTCCTGTGCCAGTAAATGGTCTTCTTTGCTCCAGATTATCGTTCAAACGGATCAACTGTTGACTATAACGCTCCGCAGTGACAGTTTCGCCCAGTCTCAGGAGCTCATAGTATAGTACGCCCTTCTCGTCCTACCAGATACAGAGCAGAACTTTATGTCCATAAATGTTTCGTTTTGGCGTCGAAGGTATCGCTTGGCCGGGGTTTACATTTTTCCATTTAGGATTGTCGTAATAAATCCACTTTTCATCGCCCGTTATTATTTTCCACAAGAAACTTTTCTTTTTTTGTCGCACAAGCAATGAGAGACAAATGTTCAGCCGGTTCCTAAAGGCGCCTTCGGAGAGTTCATGCGGACTCTATCTTCGTTCCTTCAGAATCATTCCCTGTGCATGTAATCGCCTAGAAACTGTTGTTTGATTAACTCCTAGTTGTTCTGCAAGCTGTTGTTACGTTTGGCCAGAGTTTTCATCAAGTAGTACTTGCAGTTCATCATTTTCCATCTTCTCAGGCCGTCCTGAGCGGTGCTTGTCGTTAACGTCGAAATCACCAGTTTTGAATCTATTGAACCAGTATTGACAAACGCGATCGGTCACAACGCTATCTCCATATGTCGCACAAACCATTCTTTTTGCTTCTGCGGCGGTTTTGTGTTGATTAAACAGAAAAAGTAAGCAATATCGGATATGCAACTTTTCGTGCTCCATTATTAATCCTCTGACACCACACTATATTTTTCTCCCATTCACACCACCGTGGGTTAGCGTAACCCGGAGAAATTTGTTACTTATTATGTCCGGTTCTATAAAAGCAATTTCAACGATTTTTCGATCGAAAGAAAAAAGACTCACAATTTTGAAAATTTTAGTCAGAAATAGTTATATTTAAAAGAAAAAAAAATATGATGGAAAAATGAAAGAAAGCATTAAACAATTTCTTAGAAAATCACTTTTTTTCAAACAACTGAATTTTCATGAAAAAAAAAAGATAAAATATTTTTATAGGTGGTCGTTGGAAAGCTAAAGAGTTGTTCTTGAAGAAACTATGGCCGGTATTCATAGTCGGATCTTATATTTAAGACCGTCTTAAGTTTATCTTCAAACTTTGTACAAAGCATTTCATTGGCTATAGAGTATCTGAAAGTGAACTTAAGACTGTCTTAAATATAAGACCTGACTATGAATACCAGCCTTAGATTAATTTTTTTACCTTCAAAAAGTATATTCAAAAAGTTTCAAAAAGTATATTTTTTCAAGCAGTTGAAATTGCTATTTTTTTATGTAGCGACTAAATGATGCGAATGTGAATAACTTGATTTTTTTATTAGAATAATTGCTTAATGTTAATAAATAAACAGTAAAAATATGTTTTTTGGATAATTTATTAATTATAAAAAATAAATGAGAAAAATTAATGAAATTTCAAATTTTATTGAATTAGGCTGCAATTGATACAAATTTTAGCTACGTGTTCTCTACACATTGCTTTTTTACATTTTAGGCATTTATAAAAAGTTTTCCGGTCCAAAGCTGGTGGACACAAATTACAGCGCCTTTGGTTCGACATTTTATTTTCTGCCAGAAGATCTCTGATATCTTGATCTTCTGGCAGATCCTTTGTATTTACAAACTTCAATTTGAAGTCGTAAATTCAAGCGTAGCGTTGGTAGACATAAACGTTTGATCAAAAGTGGTTTAACGAGTACTAAACATAAATCATAAATAAAATGTATTCTCTTTAATTTTTTATTATTTTCATTTAAAGTATATAAAATAAATGAATTGACGTTGGCCTGACCGAGCATATCATAAAAAATGTGCATCGGCCAACGTAGCGTTTTTCTAACTACACTATATTGATGGCACTTTTGATCGAACGTATCTGTTCCTCCTTTGGTTTTGTTATAAAACAATACGATCTTGGGTTTTTTCGACTATCAATAACACCATTAGTATGTAGCGATGATAATAATAATACAATTTTTTCCTTTTTTGGATTATATGACATGAGTATTTTGCCATCAACATAACAAAATTGTGCGCTTGAACCGTCTTCTGGAATTTTCTTAAATGATGCAGGGATTTCGCGCTTATTTTTTTAATCGTCCCTACAAGTGTTAAATTGAACTCTTTTTTTAATTTATCACAAATTGGGACAGAAGTAAACCAGTTATCACATGTGATATTTCTCATATGTGATATGATAAATAGGCTCGCACAATTTTCTAACATAGTATGAAAGAACAGCCTCATTTGGTTCTTTGTCTACACTTCCGACGTAAGATATCGCATTATACATATAATGGCCGCGTTCAGCAGACACAACTGTTGTAAAACTGTTGTACAACTGTTGGGTGGATGTCTGCTGAACGCACTTTGATCAGTTGCTGCTCCTCAACATGTTTAGGGAGCGGACGTCATTTTTTCCACCAAAGATTTTCTTCGCTACCTAAGCTCAACATGTTGGAAAACAATATGGCGGCGCCCATGTGTTTGGATGTATTAGCTGAACTTATAAAACTTATTAAATGTAAAAGAAAAAATAATGAATTGTCGCATTAGTAATAATGATATGTATAGTGTTAACTATACATTTAATGGTGCCGAATATAGTATAACAGACACAAACGAGGTACACTCAAGACTACGATCAGGTAAATACTGAATATATATTACATATTGTTTGTTTCTTAAAGTGTACTTGCAAGTAACTTTTTCTTCTTTTTTCATTTAATAATATTTTTACATGTGTTAAGCTTTGTTTAACTATTTTGATATTATTATAGAATAAATGTTATAGAAAACCATCATCCACTGCAAATAACGCTATAATATCCAAATCGTCCATTTTTTCCAATTATTAAACACACTAATGCTTAATTTCTTTCGGCTCTTTCTTCACCTGATGGTTAAATTTAATCAGTTCAATCGAATTGACAAATCGTATAAAAGGTTAGAAAAATAATGCAAGATCACGTGACACGCTGTATTCTGAGGCTAAAATCCCCGTTCAGCAGACACGATCCGTATCACTTAAAGAGCCTGAAATCAAAGAGCCGCAAACTGCCTCCACGTTTTTGATTGGCTGTACTATATGACGTCAGAATACGTCATGTTTGCGAGGAAAAATCGTACAGTTCGCTAGCTGTCTGCTAGATAAGAAGGTTGCGAGGTTATTTTACATTAAATCTTTTGAAACATGTTTCTAATGTAAATACATTGTCTAAAAAACTTGCTGGAATTTGAACATAACCTTTTACAAACTTGTTTTATTGTATTTCCTTAAAGAGATTTGATGGCTATTTACTGTCGCATGAAACATTTATAAGAATAATTTCAAATTATGTAATTACTTTATTATTTTTGCAGTATTTGTAGTTATGTTGCGGTGTTTAAATATTGATTTGCATCATGGTACGAGTATGTAGTGCAAATAATTGTTCAAATAAGTACTGGGATAAAGTTCAGGAGGTGCCCTTGTATTCCTCATCTGCAGCAACAATGGTTAGAAAAATTAAACAGAAGTACTATGGGAAATGAATTTTATCTTTCTGAGGTATGAATGCAATTATAAAATTATAAAATAGTTGTTTCCTTTAGAAAATATATATGTTTAGATGTTATGTCATAAGATTTTGTTTTATGGTTCTTATCTTATATTGTAGGAACATTTCAGCAGAGAAGATTTACAAACAAATACTCGAAGCCTTATTCCTATAATTTTTTGCAACTGCTCAAATACTTGTAGGTCACAATCTTGCAACAGCTTGTCACAATCTTGCAACAGCTATTCTGAAGAGATTCATTCAAATGCGACTAAAAATTTTCACTGGTCATGAAGAACGAAAAGAATCCGGTTCAGAATTTGGTAGTTTCAGCATGGGCTCGCGTTTGTTAGGCAAAAGCATGAAATAAAACTTTATTATTAGTCAGCAGAGACTTCCAACGATATTGAGTAAAGTAATTCTGTTTTTATTTTTAGTATGTTAGTCTAATTGTTGTCACAAGAAATTTCTATTGAATGCAATAACCCAGATAGAACACAGTGTTAGCAAAATATTTTAGAGATATAGATGTGAAATATTATATAAATATTGTAATGTTCGAGATTCTCAGATATGAAAAAGATTATAATAAATATCTAAAAATATTTAAGAAAACCATTTTTCATTAATATTTTTATGAAACAACTTATGACTTATAAATCGATTTATGAAACATATTTTGCAGACATATTTTTACATATTTATTATAATTGTTTTCATAGCAGAGAATGTTGAACATTACAATAACTATAAAATATTTGATCTATATTTCTAAAATATTTTGTAAATATTATGTGCTGTCTGGGAACCTACATTTTAGTAACAGCAATAATAATATAATGTAATTATTAAAAGATAATTATGTTCAATACAATTATTATAATATATAATATAATTGTTATAATATATAATTATTATAACTGTTTTCAATAAAACTTATGTTCGTTCTCAAACGATTATGTAAATTTATTTCAATTTTATTTGAATAATCACACTAATACATTTACGAGATTCAGATATTAGTTTCGAACTTCGCGCGAAGGGACGCCATGTTTGCGAGGAAAAAGATTCCCCTGCCTAGCAGACAGTTTGCGGCTCTTTGATTTCAGGCTCTTTAGTATCACTAAGCGCTCACTGATTATTCGCTCACCGATTTGCAACTGTTGTAATCTGCTGAACGCCCCCAATGGGTGCATTCAGTACTACAACCGCTCACTGAGCGCTAAGTGAGCTCTTGCATCTGATTGGTGTATATTTTTAGATCTAAAAGAATATACCAATCAAATGTAAAAGCTCATTGAGCACTCAGTGAGCGGTTGTAGTTCTGAAAGCACCCAATGAGCATCGTTCAAAAAAACAATCTTTAAACCGTACTTATCTGGTTTCTGTGGAATATACATTTTAAATCGACAGCGTCCCCGAAAAGAAAGCAGTTATTCGTCAATTGTGCATTTTGTATCAGGTTCATAATATTTAATATAATTTTGAACGAACAAATCCCAGATTTCATGTACGGTCGCGGACATAAAGGTTGTCACTTTTTTTTTTAATGACTTTCGGGACGCATCCCGACTCGAGGAAGATGAGAGCTGCTGCTCCGCCTGCGGAGTACGCCTGCGCAGTAACTTACAACGAAAGAAATGAAATATACGTGGTATGACATAAGTATGTCAACAATCATTGCGTTTAGCGGAGAAAACCGCTCAATGAGCGATTAGTGACTATTGGTCCTTACTGTTAGATCCTTACATTCAGACCAATAACGTTAACAAATTATTCAACAGTTGTTCAACCGTTGAGTGTCATGACCGCACCCAATTCTTACATTTTGAAAAATCAGTAGCGGAGGGATAGATACATAGTGCAAGTCATTCAAATGGGAATGCGTCTTTTGCAAGGTATTGAACTAGTATGTATATTAAATTTTAAGTGAAATCGTATTTATTTAGTCACTAATCGCTCACTGAGCAGTTTTCTCCGCTGAACGCAATGATTGTTGACATACTTATGTCATACCACGTATATTTCATTTCTCGCCTTTCGTTGTGAGTTACTGCGCAGTGCTGCGATTCTGTAACTCGTTATTGGAGTTAACGACAGTTTCGTTATTGTTGCGCAGCTTTTCTACGGTATACAAAAGCTGCGCAACGATAACGAAACTGTCGTTAACTCCACTACAATAACGAGTTACAGAATCGCAGCACAGGCGTGCTCCGCAGGCGGAGCAGCAGCTCTCATCTTTTTCAAGATGGGATGCGTCCCGAAAGTCATTAAAAAAAAAGTGACAACCTTTATGTCCGTGACCGTACATGAGTGAAACGATTAAGTGTTCTCCTTTCGAGGCGCGTGTTTTTGTCATCAAAACGAATACAGTTCATCAAAAAATTAAAACACTGTTTATTCATCACCAATTTAAATAAAAGCATGTCATGAATGCCCCACTACTCGTTCGCTTGTCCTTTAAACAGTTTATGTACGCCGGCATAATATAATAAACCAATTACAGCTTTCATCTTGTCAAGGTCAATTTGCTTCTGATAAGACTGAATATTTTTGTTTTGATCTCTCAAAATTTGAATTTGTTTATCAATTTCTTGATTCATATGATGAACAATATTTAGTAAGTCGTCACTAAATAGAAGATTCCAAGCGGACATAGGTGTATTCGCGTTCAAAGCTTCACCTTTTATGGCAGGGACGTAGTCAGCCGCCGAACGTGACTGTCTATCTCTCATTTCGGAAGCGTTTATTAACCATGGAAATTCACTTTTAGAACGCAAGTACATCGGGCGACCTCGTTTTCGTGCAGGCTCAGTAGATGTTCGTAGATTTTGTCCTGCAGCTGCCTCTTCTTCGTCCTCTTCTTCGGTGTTTGTCTCTGATTCATGCGAACTATCTTCTTCCATCGCATCCGTCTCAAGGCCCATCTACAATGGCTGCAAGAATAAGGTTCTAAGCGTAAGCAGTAAGAAATAGACCAACCACAATCGATTATTATAAGAATAATCGATTATGGTTGGTCCATTTCTTACTGCTTACGCTTACAACCTTATTCTTGCAGCCATTGTAGATGGGCTTTTAAAGCGTCGTCTACAATGGCAGTAAGCAGTAAGAAGTAAGCGTGAACAGAGGTGAAGTAAGAAATGGACCAACCACAGTTGATTATTTTTGTCATAATCGACTGTGATTGGTTTATTTCTTACCGTTTACGCTTACTTTTTACTGCTTACTGCCATTGTAGACGCGCTTAAGGCTGGTCTACATTAGCTGTAAGAGTAAAGGTCATTCTACAGTGAGGTTGTAGTAGTATGCAGTAGGCAAATTGACCAATCACGATCGATTGTTCTCTTTGCGATCGAAGAATAATCGACTGTGATTGGTCAATTTGCCTACTGCATACTACTACAACTTCATTGTAAAATGACCTTAATACTTCGTCTACAATAGAAGTCATAGAGTCGTAAGTCGTACAAATTGACCAATCGCGGTCGATTATTTTTCTCTTACCGGACTATGATTGGTCAATTTCTACGACTTCTATTGTAGACGAGGTATAAGGTTGTAAGGTTGCAAGACACGAAATGAAATATTTCATTCGCTGGCAGCTTACGTTACAGCCTTACAGCCTTACTCTTACAGTTATTGTAGACGAACCTTCACTCTCAGCTTCCAACTCTTTGTCGGAATGCTCGTTTTCTATAAACAAAGAATCGAGCTGCTCGATTCTACGGTTTTCACCGCGTGTCATCATCTAAACAAAAATATCGTTAAAAATTCATTTCTGCAAGTACTGCAGGCATAAAAGCTAATTATAAACGAAATAATATATATAATATAACAATGTAATATATATATATAACAATTTATATATAAAATAATATAACAATAACTTTTACTTACATTGAGTATTTTATTTTTGCTCACTTTTGTCATGTTCACATCACACTAGGTTACGTTTACCCATGGTGTAACTTTGAACGCTTCTGCCTCAGCTTTTTTTGTTCATACAGGGGAAATCCATCATGGATACCCCCTTCGGAGGGGGGTCGGGAGTTATGCTGAACTCTTACCGGCTAAAACCCCTGCGGGATGCCTACCTGTCGGACCGTTGCGTGGGGAGTTAGGGGAACTGCTTCCGCATTCCCTCCCCAACACCCCGGTCTCAGGGCTCTCCTGGAGCCCCCCGCCTCGTATACCGCACCCCCTTTTCCCCCTACCAGGGAAAAATTAGTGGGGGTACGGTCCCCAGCCAGTTTCCTGGCCGGTTGGCCTTCTGGTGTCACCCAGAGAGGGGGCATCCGTCCCCCTCCGTACCTCCCCTCGTTTGTCGAGGGGGAGGATTTTTTGGGGGAGTGGGCCCAGCCCCGACTGGGGTACCACTCCCCCCTTACTTTACCTGTCCGTGCAGTTCAGAGGGAGGATGTAGGGGTTCTATGCCCACTACTCCCCTCCCCCTGCTGACGGAAGCGGGCCCGAGACGGCCAGGGGGATCCCCGATCCCTACGAATCGGTGGTCCCTCCTCGGCCGACGCTACCTCCGGCCCGCTTCCGATTCCATCCCCCCCCCCCCGGGGAGCGCCAACCCTGGCGTCGTCTTCTGCGACGCCTTCTCGGTCGGCACCGCTTCTGCCTCAACTGCAGCATAGCAACATAACCTCAAACAATGAGGAATCAAGAGAGGAGACCTCGAAGTTTTTTTCCCCTCAGATCCGAACCCCCCACCACTACTCATTTCTAAAGGGTGCGCTTTTTAAAATCAGTCTGGGTTACGCTAATCTAGAGTCCCTATAAGGTAGAGTCTGGCCAAGTACGTGTTACTTTTCAATGGTCGAAACAAAGTTTGTAAAAACATGGCGGCACCAATAGAAAGTGTTGCGGGAAGCAGGATAAGTATGAAACTGAAGGAAATAAGATACTTGCGACAAATATATATTTCTCGATTTCATACAATATAAAATTCAACAAAACAAAACACATACATTGTACATAAACATATTAACAGTTTGTATCATTAAGTAACAACAGAATGCATAGCCATTGTTTTACTGTTATATGTTGGTTTTACCAGTCGGCCTTTTAGACACGCAATTTTCATCCGAAATGCAATAAAGCGTTTCATAATTTTCACATTTAATTTATGACAATTTTTCAGGCTTACACAAGAAATATGTTCCATTTTTTCCATAAAAAAGGTAATTAAATTACATTTAGAATTGCTTACATGAGAAAGATATTGTCTAATTATAAATTCCATGTCCATAAAATATTCAAAAACATCTTGGGTTACAAAAAATAATGTGTTATTCCGGTAATATTTGAGATGAACAAAGTTTGCGTATTTAACATTTGCGTTATATTTAGTTGAACCTGCCGAATTTAAACAAGTTGTGCATATTGCACTTTTGCCTTTAGCAATACTATGAACTATATATCCAGCTACATTATACAATACGTTTAACTGTATGTTATTAAAATAGATATTGTTTGCAATACTGTCAACAGAGATAGTTGGGAACTGTTCTACCTTTTCTGTTTTCGGTTTGTTGAAGAAATTGCATAGAAATTCTCTGTCATCTTGATCATAACTTGAATATTTGGATGGCCTAATATAGCGAGATATGCAAAGTTCTTTCAAGTCTTGCTTAAATTGTACAGTATTGGGTATTTCATGTTTTGCTCTTATTACAGAAAATAAATTTTCTACACAATCCTGTGTAAACCGGCTTGTTAAAACA